GGTATGCAGCTTCATATCCATAAGATCTTGTATGAGTTAAACAATAGAACCTATATGATGTAACTTATAAGAGTTAGGGCTCTAGCTTTGCAGTTTAAGTTCAGTGGAGATTAATCGGGTGAATGTCAGGGCCCATGGGTCTCTTGTCTGGAAAAATTTTAACTTGAACCCAAATTGTTAAGTTTATACCCAATCGGTGGCTGGCTGTAGGTAAAGTAGTATTTTATAGAATAAATCATGTTATGGTGCTATTGGTCTCTTCTTGTTTATGTTTTTTATTGCTCATTGTTAAAATTGTTTGTCCAGAGCACAACTTTTCCTGCATTTCAACTAGGCTTATCAAACTTGGTGCATGCATTGATCTTGCTAAGACAATATGCAGTGTACTAAAGTCAATGCTCGTAAATCCTTAATTACAGAGTTACCACGTTTATCAAAATTTCATGTCTGGAGTAAAACTGTATTTTGAATTTATACTTTTAACAATAAATGTTCATTAAGTATCAGACTGAGTGAAACTGCCCTTACTTCTGTTCACAATTATCAGTTTGTGTTGGACATAAATATGTTTGTAATGTTTGAAAACATAATTACAAACAAGCCTTTTTTTAACATATTTATAATAGATATCTGTTATTATTATTGATAATTTAAATTACAAAACTCGTAGACAGGAAATGCTTCCTGTAGTTTGGGTTCAGGAGGCATTTATCAGTTTTCACTATACTCTTTTAAGAAACGCTCTTACACTCATTCCAACTTCATCGCATTTCTTTTTCTGTTCCAGCGTTCTGCTTTCAGGAATCACTTGGCAACAAAGTTTAGCTCAGCATTCAAGAGATGTATGTTTGGAGCAACCATAGGAAGTATTGCCTTCACCTTGGCCTACGTAATACCTCAACTAAGGAAATATGAAGTAGCATTGAGGTAAATTTTGAGGTTACCTTAGAAGTCTCATGTGACTTATTGTAAATTCAATGGACAAATTTTCATGAAATTTTGCGGTAACTTTTTTATGTCATATAAAATTGTCAGCCCTGTTCTCTTAGGAATTATTTGATTTGTCTAAATTTGGTTTGAAGCATTCTTTAAAGGGTATTCAATTTTGCATAAACATTGGGTCTTGGCCAAAAGGGGAAATAAGACAAATTAATTCAAATCCTACTCCTCTTGTCAGAATGATTGGATTTTGTTCAAATTTTGGTCTCAAGTATTGTTGGGGGAAGGGGAATTAGTTTTGTATAAATGGTGGACCCCAGCAACTGGGCCCAATAGGGGAAATTATACAAATTCTATAAAATCCTACTTTTGCACAAATATAAGGACTACCACCAAAATAAATAACAATGGTATGTGTGAGAAGAATACATTGTATCCATTTATGTGAGCCAAAATTGCAATTTTGAAATGTACTCCGATATTTGAGTCCATGACTTATAATTTTCCTTCTCGGTCTCACTCAAGTTCTGAGTACCCACTTTATCTGTCTGTAATGAAACTCATCAAAATATTGGAAATCACTTTCTTGACTTCTCTGTAAAATTTTTAAAAAAATTCCTGTGAAGTAGGGGAATCAACATTATATAAATGGTGGGTCTGTTGGCTTGTTTGTGGCTGGAGGAGCAAGGTCAAATAGGAGAACTAATGAAGTTAAGTTTTAGATCTTTCCACTTCCTAAATGTTGCAGGTCTACCCACCTCATGTGTGTTTTTATGCCCCTGGATTGTAAGATAGGGGGCATATTGTTTTCATGCCGTCTTTTTATCTGTTGTCACCTTCAACCAGGCTCATAACTATTTCTCCATAAGAGATAGGGCGGGCTTTTCATATTTGAGATGTGTGTTCCATAATTAAAACTTTTAAATCATTACCACAATGTCGACATAAGTGTTTCACAAAGTGTGCATGCAATATGCACATGCCTTACACAGTACAGTGTTCATGTCCCACTTCAGAATTTTGTAGCAACCAGGGGCATAATGTTTCATAAACACATCTTGTTAATTGCCATCTTTTTTGTTTCAGTTCGATAGACTCAAAGAAGTTATATAACAACATCAAAGCAGCAGGCGCTTACAAAAATATTGACCAGTATGGCATACCCCATCGTCCTGATGCTGATGATGATGACGATGATGATGAATGAGCTGGAACAGGATTCTAATTAGGCAGATAAGGTAAATTGCTGCAGGCCTGAATTCAATCTATCACATATTTTGAGACTCCCTACAGCTTACCATGCTGTCAAAACTGCATCACATTAATTAAACAGTTCCATACTTGGAAGTTCAGTGGGGGGTTGTGGGGGATTCTTTCTTCCTGACACATCTTCTTCTTTAAAATGCTACCTGTCTGTAATATTTCTTTGTGTATTGGGATTTGAATCATGATTTGCTGAAGGAGTCTTGCCATCACCCACTATTCAATTACAGGGACGAGTTTATTCATGTAATTTGATATTCATATTTGATTAATGACGGTAACTCATTGTATAAAAGGACTAATCTAAACTAAGAGCAGACTAAACTGAAGTTGATTCTTTTTATGATACTTCTTGAAAACGGAGCCATCTTGGATTTGGACAAATGAAAAATTTCTTTTGAAAACCTTAATGGATGTCAAATTTCATGTGTAATCTCAGCTTGTTCCCCTTTTGATTTTTGAAATGATTAAAAGAACTGAATGGCTCACAGGCACCAATCTCCTTGGATTTGGCAGTGAATGTACTAGTTGATGGGTCTTTCTCAAATTTCATGTGTAGGTTCCCGTTGGTCTGTTGTTGTGTCCTTTAAACATTTGGATTGATGATATAAAACAAATGACTGATGTTTGGCCATTTTTTATAGTTGAAAAGAAATCTGTTTTTTCTGATTTTTAAGACTGTGTGTTAAATATATTAAGATGTATCAAGTTGATATCAAGAAAGCTCAGTATATGTGTTAAGTTTTATCACAATTTTCAGATTTTCAATATTATTAAATATTACATAATTATATGTATTATACCACATTTTCTTGTTTCTAATCCACAGTGTCACATGATGAGAAGGATGTCCTGGACAATTCTGTTTTGAAAAGTGTGTTGAAAGATGTGAAATTCAAAAACAATTTGTACATGTTGTATATGTAGAATAAAAACTGAAGTTTTCTTTGAATAAATTTTAAGAAAACCATTGGGTGTTCTTGTGATTACAATTTTCACAATCTGAGTTCTTTGTGATCGATTAGGCTGTGACAGGTTAGTCTGCTTGCCCACATTACATCATGTAGAGAAAGATCAACACTCCTTACCCTTTTCATTTCATGTTTCACAGAAAGTTGAGAAACGAACTCATCTGTGAGTGGTTGTGCCATTGGGCAAGATACTTACCCTATTTGCTCTCGATGGCATGTACGGGCCTCCACAAGGAAGCCACGAGCTACAAAAACGAGGCCCCTACCTCAGAATGGCACATTTACAATAAATCCCCACTTCTTTGAACTTGCATTACTGGAGTACCCCTTTGTCAAATTGATTACTTGGTCCTAAACGTGTCTTCATATATTCTTTGTAATCTCTGCTTAAGCGATTCATTGTTCCGCAAACTATTGGTGTGGTTTTGAGGAATTTGAGTTAGTGGGGTTTTACTCTCAAATAAACAGTATAGGGTTTCATGACAAATAATATCATATCAAGAGTGATAAAAAAACAAACTATGATCTACTTTATATGTAACCTTTATTTTAACACTACATATGGTGCCTAACAGTAATTGCACCAGATGGAGAGTGTTTACAATTCATTTGTATCATTTATATATCTAAAAAACAATATTGTTGACATTCTGGTATGTCCTTGTTTGTGTAGACTTTTGTGAATGATATAATTCATAGATTTGGGACGTGTTGCTTTTGAAGGAAGTCTGCTTCACAATAGTTGAAAAGAGCATGGGGCATAATATAGTGTACAAACACTACCAATATCTTTCTTTATTTGTTGATAAAGTTTAAGATATAAAAATTATTCTTGTCAGATTGATATGTCTTGGAACCTGGCAACATAATGTAGTTTTGGAATCGCCAGTACCATGAAATATATAGTTCATGAACGGAGTTAAAAGACATATTTCTGATTTTTCATTTATTTTTCAGTTTCACTATAAAATAAATAATAGATATGTGTGCTAAGATCCATTAAAAAACACTCTTTACTTAATGCTATTCCTTCTGGAGGTCAGAAGGATGTGGATTAGCATGCAAAAGTGGTAATACATTGGTAAAACATAGACCGAAGGGAGACAACTGGGGAAAACCTGCATGTATAGCTTTTCATAAGTGGGCATACAGTGTTGTTGATCCGTCAACAAGAAGCTTCTAGTCATTAATTACTTGGTGGTTTTTGACGCAAATCCCAAAACAGGATATAGAGCAAGTTCTACAAAAGTCTACTCCTTTAGAAAGACTCCCCAAATTTGAAGCATCCTAGGGTGAAAGGGACTCAATTTTGTACAAACAGTGGGTTTCTGCCCCTGTGGCAAGAGAGACGGGACCTTTTACTTGGAAATTTGAACAAATTATCTAAAATTCTTCTCAAGGAATGGTAGAGGATTCTGTCGCAATTTGGTCTGATTCGGTCAATTTCTTTATGCTGACTCACTGGGGAAAGGGTTTGGGCCCAAATGGAAAATAGATACAGTGTTTGTTGTGTGCATGGATATTAAGAATTATTTTTCTTTAATTTTGATAAATCAATTTCAGCGATACAGGCCCATGGACCTCTTGATTTTCTAATACCAAAAGTACATGTAAATAACTACAGCTATGTGTTTAACTTTAAGATGAGAACAGTAAATGAAATGAGAAAAAACGAGTTCTCTATCATGAGAGACATGTTATGTAAAGAATGTTAAAATACTGACCAGAATATATCGCCAATTTTCTGTAATTAACTTTATGGATAATAAACAAAAATAAATATATATGTAAACAATAATACATAGTTAGATAAACAATACACACTATTTGGTTATATAATTTTGATTATCTAGTAATTATATCAACAAATATTACCCAGTTGACATTAATCATTTGCATGAAACTAGGAATTGACCACGAAAATCTCTAATAATCTGATTTTGATATTCTGGTCAATCATATGCCAGACTGGTAATTGTCATAACTTGTATGCTTTTCCCTTAGCACTTATGTGCCTATACGACTATCGACTCCTTGTTACCAGTGGGATCGTGATGGTTGAACACTGTTCATTCTAATAGGTCTGTTGAACAACATATATCTATGTGTAGTACTAACATGCAAATTCTTTATGCATTGCACAGTTTGATTATTGCATATCTGAACATTTTTTTTTACATAGAATCATTCTGTAATAAATAGTCTATGTTTAAGTACAATTACGCCATCTTTTTCTGACGTCACATTTCTGTTTCACAACTGTCTCTGAAGTAAGTGTTGTTGTAGGTTACACCATAAACATCATACACGTTTACATGACTAGATTCTACTGATGTGGAAACAGAGAGCATGTCCAATATAAACCTCAAAATTTGGACGTTTTCCTCCGGAATCTCCTAGGACGAGGAGGCCGTTCTGAAAAATAAATTTTAATTTTGTTTTAGAATTCCTGTATGGTTGCAGCTGATCTATCAAAATCCTAGATATATTTAATGTCATTTAGACCATATACTTGTTGTGACCTGACAAATCCCATGAAACCCACAAAAACTAAATTCTACTGAGAAAATACTCTTTTTCAAATAATCAACATTTTAGTTAATCTTAAACGAGTACGGGAACTACCAAAACATGGAACTTCCGGTAAGAGATTTGTGACGTCACAGTTGCAGTTATTGTATCAAAACTAAATTAGCACTATTACGTCCTCACAATACTTTAAGCAACTTTGATGACGTGTCTTTGTCAAGTGACTTCTTGGACATCCAGTTGTCAAATTCAGACTCTAAAACATTATATTGTCTACTGTCATCATTTTAGGTTATGATTTCTCTGTTCCACATCTTGATAGACATTAAAAGAGGTTCTAAAGACAGTCCGAGAACAGGGGAAATGTGTCTTTAGACGGACTGAGAATATGGGAAATGTCTCTTATAGACGGACCGAGAACAGGGGAAATGTGTCTTAAAGACGGACCGAGAACAGGGAAAATGTGACTTAAAAATGGACTGAGAACAGGGGAAATGTGTCTTAAAGATGGACCGAGAACAGGGGAATGTGTCTTTAAGACGGACCGAGAACAGGGGAAATGTGTCTTAAAGACGGACCGAGAACAGGGAAAGCGTTTCTTTTGACGGACCGAGAACAGACGAAATATGTCTATTTGACATCATTTTGAGTTTTCGAGATCACTGTAGTGATTGTAGTTGATTTTTTTGTCTACCTAAGTTATTTTACTGGTGTTGGTACTAATTAGCGACATATGATTGCTGTAGACTATATAGTACCAACTGTTCGATGCTAAGTATCAACACTATACTGTTACGATATCACACTGTCCTTTTATTTACTGTCGTGTACCATTTAAACCACAGTAGTCTTTTAACCACAACTTACCTGGTTTAGGTGTGGGTGGATTGTAACTCTCGTAGATACATTCATCTGGTAAATATAAAAAAAAAAAAAAAATCAGGCGTCATTAAAATATAAAGATAGAGGATTAGGACGTGCTGAAATTAGTCCATAGATTTACAAGGTCTACTTGGGGTAGATCTTGTCTCTGACACCGTTAGAGGACAAGTGTTTCTGTGTGTTAAAGTAGACAGACATGCACTACAATGATAAATATAATGATATATAAAATAACATCAAACATTTACAAATTGATTATGAAATCAGCTGATTTCAAACACAAATCAAATCGTTTAAGACGCATGATAAACGGACAAGATATATTCTAATGGTTTTGGGAAAGAAATTAATATAAGCCCTAAAGGGCTTGTCTTACCATCCTTTACATATCACATGTGTGAGTAATATTGTTCAATATTGAACGAAATCTTATCTAAACTATATAGTCAATGGAAATATAATGGAGATTGTGTGTACTTTACCAAACACTTGGTTAAGGAGACACAGACGGTCTCCAAGACACGTCACGATGACGTAAGCAATACCGAGAGATAATACACAAAAACTGTACCTGCATAAACAATGTCGTCCTGCATGGATTCGGTGACTGCCGCCTCCTTAAGATCACTCTCGCTTTTGTATGGAGCCTTGCTGTCTAGCTTCTTTGACTGACGAGCGTTTTGTGGAAGGGTAGTCAGCGATTTGTTTTTCTTTCTCATCAAGTTATAATTTTCTTCTTCCTTTGCTCTGAAGTGAATAAAAAATATGCACATTATAATCATAGTGGCAGCTTACTTAATATGTCACATATCCTAATCAGATATACGTCAGTTCACATCGCCGTCCAGAGAGACACAACTTATAACCAAGATAAACGTCAGTTCACATCGCCGTCCAGAGAGACACGATTTATTACAAGATCAACGTCAGTTCACATTGCCGTCCAGAGAGACACAATTTATTACAAGATCAACGTCAGTTCACATCGCCGTCCAGAGAGACAAGATACATTACAAGATAAACGTCAGTTCACATCGCCGTCCAGAGAGACACAACTTATAACCAAGATAAACGTCAGTTCACATCGCCGTCCAGAGAGACAACTTATAACCAAGATAAACGTCAGCTCACATCGCCGTCCAGAGAGACACAATTACAACCAAGATAAACGTCAGTTCACATCGCCGTCCAGAGAGACACAACTTATAACCAAGATAAACGTCAGTTCACATCGCCGTCCAGAGAGATCACATCGCCGTCCAGAGAGACACAATTACAACCAAGATAAACGTCAGTTCACATCGCCGTCCAGAGAGACACAATTACAACCAAGATAAACATCAGTTCACATCGCCGTCCAGAGAGACAACTTATAACCAAGATAAACGTCAGTTCACATCGCCGTCCAGAGAGACAACTTATAACCAAGATAAACGTCAGTTCACATCGCCGTCCAGAGAGACAAATTATAACCAAGATAAACGTCAGTTCACATCGCCGTCGAGAGAGACAAAACTTATAACCAAGATAAACGTCAGTTCACATCGCCGTCCAGAGAGACAAGATACATTACAAGATAAACGTCAGTTCACATCGCCGTCCAGAGAGACAACTTATAAGCAAGATAAACATCAGTTCACATCGCCGTCCAGAGAGACAAATTATAACCAAGATAAACGTCAGTTCACATCGCCGTCCAGAGAGACACAACTTATAACCAAGATAAACGTCAGTTCACATCGCCGTCGAGAGAGACAAAACTTATAACCAAGATAAACGTCAGTTCACATCGCCGTCCAGAGAGACATTGCAAGATAAACGTCAGTTCACATCGCCGTCCAGAGAGACAACTTATAACCAAGATAAACGTCAGTTCACATCGCCGTCCAGAGAGACAAATTATAACCAAGATAAACGTCAGTTCACATCACCGTCCAGAGAGACAACTTATAACCAAGATAAACGTCAGTTCACATCGCCGTCCAGAGAGACACAACTTATAACCAAGATAAACGTCAGTTCACATCGCCGTCCAGAGAGACAAATTATAACCAAGATAAACGTCAGTTCACATCGCCGTCCAGAGAGACACAATTACAACCAAGATAAACGTCAGTTCACATCGCCGTCCAGAGAGACACAACTTATAACCAAGATAAACGTCAGTTCACATCGCCGTCCAGAGAGACACAACTTATAACCAAGATAAACGTCAGTTCACATCGCCGTCCAGAGAGACACAACTTATAACCAAGATAAACGTCAGTTCACATCGCCGTCCAGAGAGACAAATTATAACCAAGATAAACGTCAGTTCACATCGCCGTCCAGAGAGACAAATTATAACCAAGATAAACGTCAGTTCACATCGCCGTCCAGAGAGACACAACTTATAACCAAGATAAACGTCAGTTCACATCGCCGTCCAGAGAGACAAGATACATTACAAGATAAACGTCAGTTCACATCGCCGTCCAGAGAGACAACTTATAACCAAGATAAACGTCAGTTCACATCGCCGTCCAGAGAGACGAAAACATATACTAGTACCCGAGATAAGTGCCGTGATAATCGATAAAATGAATGTAACACGAAAGTATCAATATCACAGTGAATCTTACTCTGAAATCTGATTTATATTACTGTACATTTTTTTTCCATATTCACAATTGTTTTATTGAGTACATGTATTAGAGGAACGGTTATCACTAAATGTTAGCGCGTTATTGAACTGATCACAGCAGTCATTTTTATATCGATGCCTCCGCTCGGATTCGAACCCGGTACCACTGACTTACAAGTCTGACATCTAAGAGATTGAGCTAAAGAGAAGTTTTCTCTAGCTGAGTGGTATATTGCGGCTAGTACTTACAAGGTTACAAGAACATTATGATAACTATACAACTTCCAAATATCTATCAACCTACATTTTCTCATCAGCTTTCGACATCTATCACGGAAATTGGAGATACTACGTAAATATCTATCAACACCTTTTGAAGGGCAAACAGTAATAATACGATCTCTTGATCTACATAACAAAATACGTGTTTAAGATAAGCATCGAAACATTTAAATTATGTAATAAACTTACTGTTCCTCGAAAAATTGAATCGTGACAGACAAAAGAGAGTCATGATGACTCGACGATGGCGTGATTAGCACAATAACATGCCAATATTTGTATTTTATAACAATAAAAAATATGAAATCATCTTAAAACCAGGTTATCCCTGCCTGGGTCCATCCTTCCTGGTAATCAGATCACCACAATTTCCAGGACTCGAGGTTTTCCAGTTTGATATGTAACTGGGGACACTCGAGTCCCAAAGGACATTTTTTAGTCACAATGAGTACATGTATGTATTGCAAACCCATTGTCTAGTCATACCTTACAGTATCTGTACGCCTTACAACAGCTTAGATTACAAAATTAATATGGTGTAACCTTTTTTAAGTGGAAATGATGTCAGTTCCATTTTGATACTGAAAATTACTACTGAAACTAATATTTTCAAATTTCAACAATGAGAAGGTGACATAAGCTTCCGCATTGCTGTAATTAAGATCACACTAAGATATGTGTACATCCAGATTCTCATGGTCAATCTTTATACATCACGTACTACGGTAGTCAAATGACATATTATGTGTACATTCAATCAACTTTCCGCACATTCTACCTAATTAACGATACTGTATGTCTGGAATGCGGGATAGAATCGTTTAAAAAAACGTTTACTATGGGTAGTGTTCTCGGGTCAGCTACTGTCCCGGTCATTGTACTCCGGCCATTGAACTCGCGTCAATATTTAATGATTTTTAAGACTGTTTGGGAACAGCGATTCTTTACTTAAGTAACAAACCGGGTTAAATATGGAAAGTTTTTTTCGTTAGGACAAGAGTGTAGCAAAGAAAATGGTAAATAGTTAATATAATCAGCCATCTTTTTCGATATTAGTGTATTTTACTCCAGTTACTTTCTTTTCCAGTTATCACTTCGATTTAGGATTTTTTTTTTTTTTTTTTGGGGGGGGGGGGGGGGGTTGTGTATAATTGTTATTTCTGTCACTATTTCTTTAGAAGTACTGGATGGATCTTTCCCAAATTTTATATTTAGGTTCCCCTTGTACCATAGTTGTGCAATGTCCCATTTTCGGAATGATCCGAGAAACAACATAACCCACAGCTTAGTTTTTGACAGTAGTAAATTGTTGTCGCTATTTATGGAGTACTCAAAGAATCTTTTCAAATTTTACACGTAGGAAACCATTGGTCTCTAACTGCACATTTGTTCATTTTGGTATTGATTACGGAAACACAATCACTGTCAGGCGGTCATCTTGGATTTTGACCACAATTTTTTTATCTCTGTTTCTTGAGAAGTACTGTATGGATCTTTCTCAAAATTCATTTGAAGGTTATCATTGGTCCCTAGTTCTGCCAGTTTGATTTTGGGACTGACCAGATAAATAAGATATACAAAATGGTCGACAGGTGGCCATCTTGGATTTTGACAATGACTTTTTTAGTTGTTTCTTGAAAAGTACTTGATGGATCTTTCTGAACTTTTATGAGTAGATTCACCATTTCTGTGCCCTTTTAAATGTAGAACTGATTTGAAAAACAAAAATTATGCCTGACAGGAGACAAACTTGGATTTGGCAGTTGGTATTGCTATTTCTTAAGAGGATTAAAAAAAAATCATATTATTAAGAGCAAAAACAGAGGATGGGAAGGATGGAAAAAATCAGACTTTTAAAGAATAAATAAAGATCAAATGACGGTGGGCGCCAAGATTTCTCTGTGATCTCTTGTATAACGATGATTTAGTCAGGATCATTGACTACAACTAACACTAACTGAAAGGCTTATAAACATGTTGTTCTGTATTGTAGGAATTTGATACTTTAATGAAATGTGTGTAAGTAAAAACCCAATAGGAGTTGAACTTATTAATTGTTATTCATATCTAATATCAGTGCTCTTTCTAACTACAATTTCGTCACTTGTCGATCTCGGTAGACAGACCCTTGTCTCTGGGATCTTAAATAATGTCCGATTCTGTTCTTGCAAGAAAATGGAGAGGTTGCTTTAATCCAGAAGAGGACGTTGGCAGGTTATATGGATCAAGGAAGAGGCGTTGCTAGGTTACATGTATCTTGGAATGAGTGTTGTTTGGTTACATATTAGTTAAGATTATTACTTAAACAGTATATAGTGAGAAATGCGATGTTATTGAAATATTTTCAAATCCTAAACTAAATCTCGTTGAGAGTAAATTCCCTTCTTTGGAAAAGTCCATGTCATGCTATGATTTATTTGCTAAAGCTCGAAAACATTTGAGGGGGTTTGTCTCGATGGGTTTGGGTATACCAAAGAAAATGTCTCATTTGAAATTATCTATGTTAACAGGACTGCTAAATCATATAATTACCTTTCAATGAGGCATCCTACCGAGGCGCTGGCTTTAGGAACTTCTGGAGCTTGATAGTCCTCGTATGCTTGGTCACTGTATTTCACCAAATGCTCATATACATCCTTGTCGACTTCCTCTACATCTATCTGGGTCCACGTTTCTTTGGGCGGAAACCGAAAATAACTTGTTGGAAACTGTAGTTTTTCCGATAATTTTAAAGTCACGTCATGCCGTAGCGGAACTTTCATGCAAACATCGACTTTAGCGTCCAGTCCAGACGTCCGACGTTGACGACGGGACGGTATTGTCGATATGACGACATATGGGTCGGAAACTAGATATTCAAGGCTAATTTCACGATCACAGTGAAGCGGCGATATGGTGTCATCGAATGGGAGAAAATCGACATCTACAGGTAATGACACGCGCCCTGAAAATATGGCGTCGGCCCGGAACCCTTTCTCCTTTCCAGGGGGCGGCGTTTCAATCAGTTTAAGGTCAAGGTCATCTGGCAGATATAATGACTTCTTTGACCCGTCCTCCAGAATTTTATAACATCCTACAACTGGAATATCAACATAAGACTTTTTACTAAATTTAATTTTGTATTTAAGAACTGTTAATGATTTGAACACCAAAACATCACCTGTTCTCAAGGAAAATGGCGCGGGTACATCTGAAGCAATATCCTCCATCACCTTGACATTGATTGGTTCATTCAGTTCAATAAGGTCTAAAATTGATCTAAAACGTCTCAATGCTTTCCGGAAACGACCTTTTACATTGTCCGATATACTGTAGAAGTCTTTTTCCGTCGTCCCCAATAATTTTGGGTCGTGTTCGATATGATGCACTAACACTTCCAACTCTTGTGAAAAATACCTTCGGAACGTACCCGGGATAGATCTGTAGTTTGTGATTACAGCAGTGATTGGGAATTCTGATTCGAATTCGGTCACAAAGTCACGTAGTGAGTACTCTTTGGCCATTGGCTTCTCGTACTCAGCCTCCGTACTTGATACAACCTCTAGATCTAGGTTAAGGTCAAGTTTCCATCGGACGTCCAAATCGTCCCTAGGCGATGCCACAAAGAACACTTCCGGTTTTTGCATGGTTATTATGCCTTTGTGAGACAAGGGCAGTCCTGTGATTCTAGACAATGACAACTCTTTGTTTGTAACATTACCGTATAGGGGTTCCTCCTCATCCTTGCATTTCTGAGATTCTTCAACGGCCACTAGATTCATATTTTCACCTGACAACTTAAGTTTTCGAGACACCACCCCAAAGGATATGATCTCCTGCAGTGTGTAACTTCTGTCGTCTTCAAGCACTGAAAAGTCTCCGTGGCAAGATTTCGGAAGTTGGATCACATTTCCTTTCTCGTCCTCACATTCCATAAATACTTGTTCATCCATTGGGCTCCGGGTTTTTCTATGGAATCTGAATATTTCATCCTTACGGAAAATAGCTGGCAAGTACGGGTCATCATATCCTTTGTTGGCCCGGAATTTCATCGGAAATACATCCAAAAGGTCTCCGACGGTTGGAAATATCTTTGGTTTTTCTTGCTCTCCCGAATTCTGGAGAAATGTTGGAGAAATAATTTTGAATTTGATAGCGGTTTTAGCCGGAACTCGGGCAAACCGCCTTGACCCAGTGTCTGTGTCATAAAATGACAAGTTAATGCTGTCAACGGCGAGTGTATGTAAATAGATGAAATCTCCTTTCTTAATGCCCGTTCTCCGGTACACACTTTTTAAATCTCTTCCTCCAACTACCCTCACAAACTTGGGAAGTTTATAACATTCCGTGATTTCCTTCAGTGAGCGAACCCGACGGGTCTCCGTTGAGTTACTCTCGGAGGCCGCCATCTTTATATCTCTGTATCTATAACGGAAACACTCACCTGTGTTGACATTCACAAAACCACACTCACGTGGAATGCTTAAAACGTTTGAATCGCCTATCACTAGACGGGTATAACACAGATTATATTGCGTTATCGATCCGTTTAGACGCCATATTGTTTACTACAGGCACAAAACCCAAATTGTGGCTACGTTAAGGCTGCACCTGTGTAATCTTTTGTATTATTTATCACACTGACACAATATATACACACACCGCAATATTTACAACACTAGACATGGTATTTGTCCCGAACGTTTAAACAATTTGTCATCTTTCCTGACCCCATAACATCACACTTTCGGTATTATAATTGGTCCCTGTACACTTCGCCTCAACGTTCGGAGAATTAGATGTTCTATGTCCGACAAATATACCAGAAAACTGTGTGATATTCATCAATGGCTACTGTAGATCTATATCTGTATGTACGTCCAGGTGCCTCGGGGTAAAAATTACTGACACGCTAGATTGATTCGAAAGGTAAATATAGCATACCTGGATTTTCCACGTCGCGATTTTAAAGTTCACAAAACACATGATAACACGGCACAGTAAATACTCGTGTTTAGTAGAATATCATAGTGTAGTTCTGTTTTCAGGTAATTACTCTTGGAAACAGGCCAAACATATAGATGAGCAATGGTTTTATGTCAATGATGTACCGACTATTTCTAACGCCACACAAACTCCATGAAAACTTGCTGTCGAGTTACTAGTGAAAGTACGTTAGGATCTCTCTAACCGCTAGCAAATCAATTAAACCTAATGGCGATTTCTGGTCTTTGGATTCCGTCTCCTTTGCTGAACGATGTCAATAACAATTGGCCAATCCACATAATCCATTAAATAGATATTACACCTTGTAGAAAGCTATCATATCTCGATCACATCTCCACGTGTTCCTCCCTGGTTTCTCAAGCTTATACAAACTGTAGGCTTTCTGTCACTCCCCACTGGCCAACGGTTACCAAAACTTCTACAGAATTCGGTTTATATTGAGCAGCGCGTGATTGTGGTAAAAGTTCCGGGCGTAATTCTAATTGTTGGGATTCAGCACCGTCCTTGGGTTTCAGCGGCTCTCTACCTACATACGTAGCATAACCAAGAGAATGTGTTTCTCCAGCTGCCGTACCACCAATTTACACAATGTATATTATCTTACCCGCACACCGTTGTCGTTAGAGAGGTAACTTATTCGCAGTAAATGATTATTCAACACTTACACCCACTGGAAACCATTCCGAATCGTTTAGAATTTTTCGGGAATTGTACATGTAACAAACTTCGTTTTTGTCTACAGTAAATCCTCAAATTTCGATTTGTAATATTCAATGTCGCTCTCTTATACCTCCAGGGTAACGCGGCCACGAACTGGGCCTGTTCTATTGAAAACGTACAAATTTCATAATCTATTCATAATTTGCCTCAAAGCCAAAAAGCCTGCCAGACGTGGAGTGGAAACAATTTAATAACTGCTGCACATCACTAAATATCTAAAGCCAGGCTATGTTATGTGTTAAACAGGAAATCGTTCTACCTCACCGCATGAAACACGGTTTTATTGATACAAGTAACCCCATGGGACCGTGCCCCGGTACAGCTGACGTCACGGGGGAGGTGAGATTGGGGTTACCTCGATTGACTTGTAATACGTCATGCTGTTCTCGGCACATATTGTGTTGCATCGTAGACACGACTGGAAAAAAAACCCATAACTGTTTAATATTAATTTACATCAAAGATTGGATAAACTTTGCTAATACACTCTGACAGAAATAGTTCTGTGGGGATGGTGAGTATCTTTTGTGGAGAAATTAACCCCAGTCTTACGCAATTCGCTTCAAAGCCTTTTTAGAAGATCCAGTAAATGTTGTACATCCGTCGGAGGAATATTTCCCTATCAATAACCGTCTGATCGAGATCAAGCTTATTATCTTAGACATCGTTTTTTCTTTCTCTTAAAACTGTAAGTTTTTGCACAAATGACTTGGCTTAACTGTAGTAATCGGCCTGGGATATGTTTTAGTAAGATATATTAGGAAGGATTCTGGTTTCATTGGTTTTAACTTTACATCTATATAGAATTTATATTGTGAAGTTTGAATTCTCAGTGTGCGGTACATACATGGAAAAAAATAAGATTGGAAACAATTAGTAAAACATAAACGCTTTCATATCTGTAAGCGTTTTTACAATTAGTTTCGCTACCTCAGTAGATCTTATATGAAGATGTTTACGCTTTACTCATCAGAAGTGTTTACAATTTTATAACCTTCCAGTACAATTACTTCAATATCGTTATATCTGTAATACCTGGTTTATTGTTCATCGTGAAGTATGATGTATGGTTAATCGTGAAGTCTGATGTATGTTTAATCGTGAAGTATGATGTATGGTTAATCGTGAAGTATGATGTATGGTTAATCGTGATGTCTGATGTATGGTTAATGGTGAAGTATGATGTATGGTTAATGGTGAAGTATGATGTATGGTTAATCGTGAAGTGTGATGTATGGTTAAATGTGAAGTATGATGTATGGTTAATCGTGAAGTATGATGTATGGTTAATCGTGAAGTATGATGTATGGTTAATCGTGAACTATGATGTATGGTTAATCGTGAAGTATGATGTATGGTTAATGGTGAAGTATGATGTATGGTTAATCGTGAAGTATGATGTATGGTTAATCGTGAAGTATGATGTATGGTTAATCGTGAACTATGATGTATGGTTAATCGTGAACTATGATGTATGGTTAATCGTGAAGTATGATGTATGGTTAATCGTGAACTATGATGTATGGTTAATGGTGAAGTATGATGTATGGTTAATCGTGAACTATGATGTATGGTTAATCATGAAGTATGGTGTATGCTTAATTGTGAAGTATGATGTATGGTTAATGGTGAAGTATGATGTATGGTTAATGGTGAAGTGTGATGTATGGTTAATCGTGGTTTGATGTATGGTTAATCGTGAAGTATGATGTATGGTTAATCGTGAAGTATGATGTATGGTTAACCGTGAAGTCTGATGTATGGTTAATCGTGGTTTGATGTATGGTTAATGGTGAAGTATGATGTATGGTTAATCGTGATGTCTGATGTATGGTTAATCGTGAAGTATGATGTATGGTTAATGGTGAAGTATGATGTATGGTTAATGGTGAAGTATGATGTATGGTTAATCATGAAGTATGATATATGGTTAATCGTGAAGTATGATGTATGGTTTAATGGTGAAGTAAGATGTATGGTTAATGGTGAAGTATGATGTATGGTTAATCATGAAGTATGATGTATGGTTTAATGGTGAAGTAAGATGTATGGTTAATGGTGAAGTAAGATGTATGGTTAATGGTGAAGTATGATGTATGGTTAATGGTGAAGTATGATGTATGGTTAATCATGAAGTATGATATATGGTTAATCGTGAAGTATGATGTATGGTTAATGGTGAAGTATGATGTATGGTTAATGGTGAAGTATGATGTATGGTTAATGGTGAAGTATGGTGTATGGTTAATGGTGAAGTATGATGTATGGTTAATCGTGAAGTATGATGTATGGTTAATGGTGAAGTATGATGTATGGTTAATGGTGAAGTATGATGTATGGTTAATCATGAAGTATGATATATGGTTTAATGGTGAAGTAAGATGTATGGTTAATGGTGAAGTATGATGTATGGTTAATGGTGAAGTATGATGTATGGTTAATGGTGAAGTATGATGTATGGTTAATCGTGAAGTATGATGTATGGTTAATGGTGAAGTATGATGTATGGTTAATGGTGATTTATGATGTATGGTTAATCATGAAGTATGATGTATGGTTAATGGTGAAGTATGATGTATGGTTAATCGTGAAGTATGATGTATGGTTAATCATGAAGTATGATATATGGTGGTGAAGTATGATGTATGGTTAATGGTGAAGTATGATGTATGGTTAATGGTGAAGTATGGTGTATGGTTAATGGTGAAGCATGATGTATGGTTAATCGTGAAGTATGATGTATGGTTAATCGTGAAATATGATGTATGGTTAATCGTGAAATATGATGTATGGTTAATCGTGAAGTATAATGTATGGTTAATCGTGGTTTGATGTATGGTTAATCGTGAAAATTGATGTATAGTTAATGACTGAAGTGAAGACAACATATCACTGAACGTTTCTAGATGATGGGGCGTTGATGCACCAGTTATATCAGTAGTCTAGACACTTGAGAAGGTAGAGCCGGACTCTTTACTCGCTTTCTGTGGTGTAAATTGCTTAACGATGTCTTCATCGATGCTGTGTGTTGATTCTATGTAGCGTAACACAATGTTAACACGTGGCCAAGAAATAAATTACAAGGCAGTTTGTAGTTGTAGTCTACAGCCAACTAACAGTTCTACCACTGACGTTTTTTTTTTAGATATCGAAGTCGTGGATCAGCGAAATATGATCGTGGAATTTTTTTTAAAGTTTGACATTTTCAACTTAAATACAAAATCACATCTGATTTGGCTAAACAAGACGAAATAAAATATGTACAAGTGTTGGATAATTTACTGAAGCTCGATACACCGGGAGCAGCATATCGCGTGGTATACATTGTTCTGGTGTCGGATTGTTGACAGTTGTTACAAACATTCTGATCATCTTTTCACCTGTACGCCATAGCTACCCGTGTTATTACGGATGTTTCGGATATACGGTTCAGTAATTAGGAACGCCATGCCACATTTTCTTGAAAATGAAACTTCCACTAAAACAACTTTTTTAAGTATCATATTCCAGACACACGAGTAAACACGGACACACGTGCGATTACTGAAAGCAGGGAAGATTCGTTAGTTAATGACGTTCATAGTGGAACGATATTAAGTAACAAGCTATCAATTCCGGTTAATCTATCTATGAACACAGGTTGTTCTTTTGTCAATGATCCTGTTTTAAATCGCTTATAGTCGGATAAAATTACTGTATTTAAGGTCGACTTTTTAGTGTTTAAAACTAACCATCGGCCTAGTTTATCGGTTAATTTTTAGCGTTAGGATCGGTTATGAGCACGAAAAACTTACTGCTTCTATATAAAAATACTAATGAGATATACAACACAACATTTTGCCGAACTTTCTAATTAAAATCTTTCGCTATGGACTGTGAGTATGAAACACACCTCGGGTCAAACCGTCCATGTATCCTGTAGTCAGGCGTGAGAGACAACCCCGAGGGCTAGATGGATGTGTTGTATCAGTATGTACAGCGAAACAGTAGCCAGTCGTTCTGGTATATACCAGATGGTAATGACACCAGGCATCTATAGCAATTAGTGTTATAACCTTATTTAGAAACAGCTTCAGAGTGTGCTACATATCAACGTTTTGTCTTAAATCACACAGAAATGTTCTTTAGATACCATAATGCCAGTTTAGATTCCGTTTCGATGTGTAAGAATTTTGTGTAAACTTCGGTGTTAAAAGTCCCTGTGTGTTAGGATGCGTTTGATATTCCTGTGTGTGGGATGCGTTTGGTCTCCCCGTGTGTGGGATATGTTTGATATTCCTGTGTGGGATGTCTGATCTTCCCGTGTGTGGCATGATACCTGTTTGATCTTACCCTTGATCTCCCCGTGTTTGATCTGCCGGTGTGTGAGATGTTAGATCTTCCTGTGTGTGGGATGTTAGATCTTCCTGTGTGTGGGATGTTAGATCTTCCTGTGTGTGGGATGTTAGATATTCCTGTGTGGGATGTCTGATCTTCCCGTGTGTGGCATGATACCTGTTTGATCTTCCCGTGCGTGGGATGTTTGATCTTCCTGTGTGTGGGATGTTTGATCTTCCCGTGTGTGGGATGTGTTTGATCTTCCTATGTGTTGGATGTTTGATCTTCCTGTGTTGGGATGTGTTTGATCTTCCTGTGTGTGGGATGTGTTTGATCTTCCCGTGTATGGGATGTGTTCGATCTTCCCGTGTTTGGGATGTGTTCGATCTTCCTGTGTTCGGGATGTGTTTTATCTTCCCGTGTGTGGGATGTTTGATCTTCCTGTGTGTGGGATGTGTTTGATCTTCCCGTGTGTGGGATGTGTTTTATCTTCCCGTGTGTGGAATGTTTGATCTTCCTGTATGTGGGATGTGTTTGATCTTCCCGTGTGTGGGATGTGTTTGATCTTTCTGTGTGTGGGATGTGTTTGATCTTCCCGTGTGTGGGATGTGTTTGATCTTCCCGTGTGTGGCACGTGTTTGATCTTCCCGTGTGTGGCACGTGTTTGATCTGCCTTTGTGTGGGATGTGTTTGATCTCCCCGTGTGTGGGATGTGTTTGATCTTCCCGTGTGTGGAATGTGTTTGATTTGTCCTGTGTGTGGGATGTGTTTGATCTTCCTGTGTGTGGGATGTGTTTTATCTTCCCGTGTGTGGGATGTTTGATCTTCCCGTGTGTGGCACGTGTTTGATCTCCCCGTGTGTGGGGTGTTAGATCTTCCTGTGTGTGGGATGAGTTTGATCTCCCTGTGTGTGGGATGTGTTTGATCTTCATGTGTGTGGGATGAGTTTGATCTTCCTGTGTGTGGGATGTGTTTGATCTTCCTGTGTGTGGCACGTGTTTGTTCTTCCTGTGTTGGGATGTTTGATCTGCCTATGTGTGGGATGTGTTTGATCTGCCCGTGTGTGGGATGTGTTTGATCTGCCCGTGTGTGGGATGTGTTTGATTTGTCCTGTGTGTGGGATGTGTTTGATCTTCCTGTGTGTTGGATGTGTTTGATCTTCCTGTGTGTGGGATGTTTGATCTTCCCGTGTGTGTGGGATGTTTGATCTTCCTGTGTGTGGGATGTGTTTGATCTTCCTGTGTGTGGCACGTGTTTGTTCTTCCTGTGTTGGGATGTTTGATCTGCCCGTGTGTGGGATGTGTTTGATCTGCCCGTGTGTGGGATGTGTTTGATTTGTCCTGTGTGTGGGATGTGTTTGATCTTTCTGTGTGTGGAATGTGTTTGATCTTCCCATGTGTGGGATGTTTGATCTTCCTGTGTGTGGCACGTGTTTGATCTCCTTGTGTGTGGGATGCGTTTGATCTGCCTGTGTTCGGGATGTGTTTGATCTTCCTGTCTTGGGATGTTTGATTTTCCAGTGTGTGGGATGTTAGATCTTCCTGTGTGTGGGATCTTAGATCTTCCTGTGTGTGGCAAGTGTTTGATCTCCCCGTGCTTGATCTGCCGGTGTGTGGGATGTTAGATCTTCCTGTGTGTGGGATGTTAGATCTTCCTGTGTGTGGCAAGTGTTTGATCTCCCCGTGCTTGATCTGCCGGTGTGTGAGATGTTAGATCTTCTTGTGTGTGGGATGTTAGATCTTCCTGTGTGTGGGATGTTTGATTTTCCAGTGTGTGGGATGTTTGATCTTCCGGTGTGTGGCACGTGTTTGATCTCCCCGTGCTTGATCTGCCGGTGTGCGAGATGTTAGATCTTCCTGTGTGTGGGATGTTAGATCTTCCTGTGTGTGGGATGAGTTTGATCTCCCTGTGTGTGGGATGTGTTTGATCTTCATGTGTGTGGGATGAGTTTGATCTTCCTGTGTGTGGGATGTGTTTGATCTGGTGTTGCTGGTTAGCTATCCCAAAGACTTCTGACATATCTATGGTAACTAACTGTGCCCTCTGTTGGCAGACCTGTTTTTGTTCTCATACGAGACTGAATTTGATTTCTCAATATCATAACGGAGTTATAAAAGAATAAAAAACACATACGTCTCTTACACCTCACTTTTATTTCATAGCATCAAAAATTATGTAGATGAATACATATTGAATAAATGAACTCAACCTGCCAAAAACACTCTTAGCATCAACACAAAATAAACATTCTGAACAATCTCACCTGCAAGTTCATCTGAGGAAGTCACAATTTTAAACACTCCCATAAATGTGTACACATGTCAAATGTTCTTGCATTTCATTAATTAATAAAAATTTCTTCAGAAAAACACTATATGAGTTTAATGAAGTACATACAACACAGGAATTTATTAACGGTTCACTTCAGGAGAATACAGAGGTAAACAAAGTAAGTAGTGTTTCAATAAATACTAAAAAGTCATGTACTGTATAAACAGGGTGGGAGTCCTACCAGTATCCAGAACACAGGAAGTGGCGTTTATCTCCCAAAACACGAGTGTGACTTGTGGTCAGTACGCAGGAAGTGGCGTTTATCTCCCAACACACGGGTGTGACTTGTGGTCAGTACGCAGGAAGTGGCGTTTATCTCCCAACACACGAGTATGACTTGTGGTCAGTACACAGGAATTGGCATTTAACTCCCAACACATGAGTGTGACTTGTGGTCAGTACACAGGAAGTGGCATTTATACCCGCCACGTAGGAGTATGACTTGTGGTCCGTACACAGGAAGTGGCATTTATCTCCTTATACATGAGTATGACTAGTGGTCAGTACACAGGAAGTGGTGTTTACCTCCCTCACATAGTAGCATGACTTGCAGTCAGTGTACAGGAAGTTGTGTTTAACTGCCTCCACGTAGGAGTATGACTTGTGGTCAGTACACAGGAAGTGGTGTCTGTCTCCCTCATGTAGGAGTATGACTTGTGGTCAGTGTACAGGAAGTGGCATTTATCTCCTCCAAGTTAGAGTATGACTTGTGGTCAGTGCACAGGAAATGGTGCTTATCTCCCCTATGTAGGAATATGACTTGTGGTCAGCACAGTGTTTTGCTCTCATATAAGAAGCAATACTGCCGATTGACATATCATATTCTGACAGACTTTGAGAGGGTGATTTGCTGTGATGTATGGTTCTAAATGAAGGGAAGGAACTCCAGAATACTGATGTTATTCCATCAGAGAAGTAAGTACCTTCTGACTGACGCCAAATGGTGAAGCAATTCTATCTGATATCATTTATCAGATATTAAGAAGCTGCCACATCTTGAACACAGTGTCTCAAACAATTTTTACTCCTTGTAAATTGTTCTTCAAATTTTTCATTTCTTTTTCCAATCGAATCTTTTCTTCTGTAAATGCCTTCTTGTTGGATTTTTTCTCTTGTCTTCTCTCCTGAAAATATGAAAATGAGAAACATGAAAACACTTTCCATACTATTCTTTGATATTACAGCAATTACAATTCAGCATCATTGTTTAATATGAATTTAAATGCAAAAGACAATCACTTATGTAATATATAGATAATAATATGAAGTCCCAGTTTTACCTTATAATTCCATCTATCAATGGTATCAACACCTAGAATTAGATTGTATTTAATGTATTGTTACTAAGTGATGAAACATTGTATTCGTATCTAATGGTTTTCAAAATGACACATTTGTATTCCATATATTTTAACTAATAGATGAAACATTGTTTTCGCATCTAATGGTTTTCAAAATGACACATTTGTATTCCATATATTGTAACTAACAAATGAAACATTGTATTGGTATCTAAGAGTTTTCAAAATGACACATTGTATTCAGTATGTTAATATATAGACAGAGTATAATGTATTGTATGTAATGTATTTTCATAATGTCACAATATACCAAGTACAGTGACAGATTAATCTGTATTTGTGTTCAATGTTTTGAATGTGACTGATTGTCCAGTATTCATTGTTGACAGATTGTATTTACATTCAATGATACAAGGGTGAAATATTGTATTAAATATGTTACCATGGTGATATTGAAGAAAAGTACTCATTGTTGCTATGGTAACAGATTATATTTGAAACCTAGGATTTATACTTATACATTATGAGGTTCTCACTTTTCTCTCCTCTTTGATTGCCTGTTTCCTTTCCTTTTTCTCTTTCAATGTTTCATCCTTTGGTCGGTATGTACTTGCTCGGTCCTGTATTTTGGCAGCCCGTTCTTCCTGTTCAATCTGTTTCCGTGACAACCCTGTTTTCTTCAGTGACTTACTTGGAATGCCTAGTCGGGAGGTTAGTTCTATTTTCTTTTCCTATAACAGACACAAATCTTGTTTCATTATGATGGCACTATGTTTTGACATTCAGTGGCATTAATGGAAAGGTCAGACAACAGAATTAAATCTGAATTGACCTTCAATCTTTCTAACATTACATAAAGCCACCTGAATTAGCTTATTTCGTCTAAGTCAGTATCTAACATAACAAGAGAAACTTTGGGCAGATCAATATACACCAATTCCATGCCCAGAAAGTTACATTGTTTCATCAAAACTAATGAAAAATGGAAACAAACCAATAATTATCTCATAAAAAACATGACAGGTCTGGTGAGAAAATGGGTGAGTTAAAACATGACAGGTCTGGTGAGGCAACAGGTGAGGTAAAACATGACAGGTCTAGTGAGGCAACATGTAAGGTAAAACATGACAGGTCTAGTGAGGCAACAGGTGAGGTAAAACATGACAGGTCTGGTGAGGCAACAGGTGAGGATAGAACATGATTGGACTGGAGAGGAAACACGGGAGGATAGAACATGATTGGACTGGAGAGGATACAGGGTAGGATAAAACATGATTGGTCTGGAGAGGATACAGGCAAGGATAAAACATGATTGGACTGGAGAGGATACAGGGGAGGATAGAACATGATTGGACTGGAGAGGATACAGAGGAGGATGGAACATGATTGGTCTGGAGAGGATACAGATGAGGATAGAACATGATTGGACTGGAGAGGATACAGGGGAGGATAAAACATGATTGAACTGGAGAGGATACAGGGGAGGAAAAATATGATTGGACTGGAGAGGATACAGGGGAGGATAGAACATGATTGGACTGGAGAGGATACAGGCAAGGATAAAACATGATTGGACTGGAGAAGATACAGGGGAGGATAGAACATGATTGGTCTGGAGAGGATACAGGCAAGGATAGAACATGATTGGTCTGGAGAGGATACAGGGGAGGATAGAACATGATTGAACTGGAGAGGATACAGGCAAGGATAAAACATGATTGGACTGGAGAGGATACAGACGAGGATAGAACATGATTGGTCTGGAGAGGATACAGACAAGGATAGAACATGATTGGTCTGGAGAAGATACAGGGGAGGATAGAACATGATTGGACTGGAGAGGATACAGAGGAGGATGGAACATGATTGGTCTGGAGAGGATACAGGCAAGGATAAAACATGATTGGACTGGAGAGGATACAGGCAAGGATAAAACATGATTGGACTGGAGAGGATACAGACGAGGATAGAACATGATTGGTCTGGAGAGGATACAGACAAGGATAGAACATGATTGGTCTGGAGAAGATACAGGGGAGGATAGAACATGATTGGACTGGAGAGGATACAGAGGAGGATGGAACATGATTGGTCTGGAGAGGATACAGACGAGGATAGAACATGATTGGACTGGAGAGGATACAGGCGAGGATAGAACATGCTTGGTCTGGAGAGGATACAGGGGAGGATAGAACCTGTTTGGACTGGAGAGGATACAGGCGAGGATAGAACATGCTTGGTCTGGAGAGGATACAGGGGAGGATAAAACATGATTGGACTGGAGAGGATGTAGGCAAGGATAGAACATGATTGGTCTGGAGAGGATACAGGGGAGGATAGAACATGATTGGTCTGGAGAGGATACAGGGGAGGATAGAACATGATTGGACTGGAGAGGATACAGAGGAGGATGGAACATGATTGGTCTGGAGAGGATACAGACGAGGATAGAACATGATTGGACTGGAGAGGATACAGGGGAGATTGGACTGGAGAGGATACAGGGGAGGATAGAACATGATTGGTCTGGAGAGGATACAGGGGAGGATAGAACCTGTTTGGACTGGAGAGGATACAGGCGAGGATAGAACATGATTGGTCTGGAGAGGATACAGGGGAGGATAGAACATGATTGGACTGGAGAGGATACAGGGGAGGATAGAACATGATTGGTCTGGAGAGGATACAGGGGAGGATAGAACATGATTGGACTGGAGAGGATACAGACGAGGATAGAACATGATTGGACTGGAGAGGATACAGGGGAGGATTGGACTGGAGAGGATACAGGGGAGGATAGAACATGATTGGACTGGAGAGGATACAGGGGAGGATAAAACATGATTGGACTGGAGAGGATACAGACGAGGATAGAACATGATTGGACTGGAGAGGATACAGGGGAGGATAGAACATGATTGGACTGGAGAGGATACAGGGGAGGATAAAACATGATTGAACTGGAGAGGATACAGGGGAGGATAAAACATGATTGAACTGGAGAGGATACAGGGGAGGATAGAACATGAAAGGTGAGGAGTGGAAAACCAGCATACCTTTCTTGGTTCCTCAATCAATTTTGGGTGGTTGTATATGTTTGAATAAGTACCTGAAAAATAGCAATAAAATAAATATTTATCTAATGAACTAAACAGAAAAAACTATATGTTTTGTATTAAACACCTGTGTGAATTGTTCTGTAATCAACAACTGGTCAAAGATTGAACTGCTGAATTACTAGAGCAACAAATCCATGTCGCTAATCAAGTCAGGTTGGATTCTACATTACTGTTAAATAGGGTGCCAGAGAGTTACATACTATCAGATGCATCCATGCCAAATCAAGACCAATGAGGGGAAGATTAGTGATTGTCAGGAACTTTGACTTTAAGCAAATCAACATTCATTGGACACTTAGGGAGTGCATGAAGTGAAGTGGATTACAGTGGCCATTTTGAATGACTGATCATGTGTTTGCTGTCATAGCTTAACCAAATCTCATAAAATCTTGTGAAAAATCTACAGTTTCTGTAAACAAATATGGCAATGAATAAATGTAGGAGGGAATTACATAATATGAGAGATGGTGCCATTGGGTTGAAAATAGATAGAAAACCTAATAACATACTTAGAATAGATTCACAATCCCACTTCTCTCCAGGTTCCTCAATCTCCACATCTACCATATCACCAGCATCCTCAGACTCGTCACTCTCTGCCCCAACTTCCTCTCCTACGTTCTCATCTACAACATCCTTCAGTTTTCTGTAACAGTAATATAAGTTCATGTGTTACAGTATTAAGTCAATGATCCAAAATGTGACTAAACTAGACATTTACATAAACTGAATTTTGAAAATAAATATTTCTTGCTTAATTTTCAATCTGCTGAAAAACTATATAGATCAGTCATTTACATTTTTTACATATCAAAAATTTTATTTCACAGTCTGAATTTATCAACTGATCTAAGAAAAATTATCTTAATATTTTCTGTTTCATCTAAAGACCATTCACATTTCTCAAGACTTAAGAAATTCCAAGGGTGATAACTCCAACTGTTAGTATAAGCAAAGGACTCCCAAACAGGCAATTATCCCATATGATTTTGAATTGCTTCAGGCATAATTAGTATACCATTGGCTTAAGTTAGATCTATAAATACATTTTTCTCTGAATCCTTACTTAGCATCTTGTTCTTTCTCAAATTCCTCCAGGATTGTGTTGAGCATGTAGCTGTTCTGATCTACAGCACCCTCTATGTCCTCATGGTCCAACGGTCCAATCTCACAATCATCAAACTGCTCATAAAACTGCACAAACAAAAACACATTAAAATTACAACATAAACAAATGTGATGTAAATTACAGTGTGTGAAGATAATATTTACAATACAGAATGTTCTATATAATTGCTGTTCTATTTAAAGCACCAGTTGAACATCAGTAGAAACAAAATAAAGGTATGAAGGAATTCCAATATGGCAACTTGGTAACCATTAAACAGGGGAAAACAGTTACGTACTACTAAAGGAATACAATACATACAGAAGGATAATATATTACCATAACCCATCACATATTTGGTGCTCTAAAGCTGACATCTAAAATTTTCCAGAAATCAGCAAGTTTGAAAAAAAAATGAAACAAATTAATGCACCTGTCAGCATGTTTGACCTGGCTGACAATATTACACATATTTTTTGTTTTTTTAACTAGTGTTTTGATACAATGTTTTGTAAATATGTACAGCTCAGACAGCCAAGGAAAATGTGATCATTAACTTTCATTGAAAGAGAAACCATATCCTTTAATCATCATAGCTGATATATTCACCAACGTCAGATTCTGGATGCGACACACAGGTTTACGTATAAGATCTTAACAAATAATGACAGAAACTACTGTTGGTGACCTATAATGACCTTTTACACTACAAAGTATAAGTATAAAGGAAGAAACAGTGAATAACCAATCACAGAGGTCACCGAGCAAAATTCCTAAATTAGATCACCTGTCTAACCACCTATTGCATTTACTCCCAAATTTAGACCCCCCTTACACATTTCTATCTTGGCCACCAAGAGTGATTAATGGAAGATGATAAACATTCCTCACGTAAGAAAAATAAAAATGTTGATACTTTCACACGAGATAATAAATAACCATCGCATATATGTGAAGTAATTCAGGCATTATCATGATTTAAATTGTTTAATCAACTTCATCTCGGCCACAAATAACCTGAAATCATACTTTAAATGTTAGCATTGCCTCTTCTATGACTGTACAATAATCCTCCTTTGAGCTATAAAAAGTCACATACATCAGCGGTACCTTGGATAAGATCCAATGAAGTCAGGTATCTGTGTATGTATTACTTGTATGTGTTCTGATATTGAGACCTCTACATGTTGAAGTAGAAAGATAGAAAATTCCTGAAGTGTATCCACTCCCTCGCTTCTTTCACAAATTTCTATAAAGAGTAATGGTGACCTTGGATTTTTTTATGAAAGTGACTGTGTGGTCATTGAAATGTTACACTTTCATCTTCTACTCAATGTGTAATAAGAACTCCTGTTCTATTACCCTTTGACATCCAGGAGGCTTGTAAGTGAACTACTTTCAGCTTTCTATTCTAAAATCAATGACTCTGCAAAAGTGAAGATGGGACCAACTTGTAGATATGGGTTTATTGGTAGATAAATACCTTTTCAAACCTATCATCAAGCAGTGTCAGACCTTCATTCCTACGGATGACTGACGACGTCATGGAGTAGCTGGTGAAACGGGATTTAGTTTCTTCTTCCATAAACATCTGGTCACCAGGGAAACCTCTCATCTCATCGTCAGACATGTTAGCATCGTTGGAATCCATGTCACATTCATCACTGTGAAAAATAAAACTTGTACATGTATCAAGTTCATTTAGAATTCCCTTCCTTAAATCTCTTTACCAAGATAAGTATATATGATCCCTCATCTGTATGTTGTGTTGATTACATAAGTAAAACAGACCCTGAACTGATTGTTGTGGTGACTGACCTTGAAAAGTTACAGTTATCAACCATGACTGACTGTTAACATGAATGACCTTGAACGGTTACAATGACTGACCATGACTCAGTGGCTAACCTTGAAGGCTGTTACAATGACTGACCTTGGACTCTCAACTGACTTTGTATGTCTATTTTAATGACTGACCTAAGGTTACTGACTGAACTTATTACAATGACTGACCTAAGGCTGTTGAGTGGCCTTATTACAATGACTGACCTAAGGTTACTGACTGACCTTATTACAATGACTGACCTAAGGTTACTGACTGATCTATTACAATGACTGACCTAAGGTTACTGACTGACCTTGTATTTCTATTACAATGACTGACCTAAGGTTACTGACTGATCTATTACAATGACTGACCTAAGGTTACTGACTGATCTATTACAATGACTGACCTAAGGTTACTGACTGATCTATTACAATGACTGACCTAAGGTTACTGACTGATCTATTACAATGACTGACCTAAGGTTACTGACTGATCTATTACAATGACTGACCTAAGGTTACTGACTGATCTATTACAATGACTGACCTAAGGTTACTGACTGACCTTATTTCTATTACAATGACTGACCTAAGGTTACTGACTGACCTTGCATTTCTATTACAATGACTGACCTAAGGTTACTGACTGACCTTATTACAATGACTGACCAATGGCTCTTGACTGACCTTATTACAATGACTGACCTTAGGCTCTTGACTGACCTTATTACAATGACCGACCTATGACCCTTGGCTGACCTTATTACAATGACTGACCTAAGGCTGTTGGCTGGCCTTGAATGACTGTTTCAGTGCCATCTTTTGGGGTAGAATAGTAGTAAAGTGTTTTCAAGGAATAAATAATACACAAAAAATCTATAAACAAAATAAAACCATTTCCCGGTTAACTTACCCTTTTTGTATCTGTCATATTAGTGGAAATGCATTTTTGAGACCTTGAACATTCAATATGTTTTTGATGGTTTATGATGATTAATATACACATACATCAGAGGTTCCATGATAAGATCTCTTCACTGAGGTCAGGTATCTTTGTATACATCATCTGTTTGTGTTATGAAAACCATTCACTCATAAAGTCACACAGATAATTACGATTATTTACAGTTTTTGTTCACACCTTAAACATTGATAATCTCTACATTTTATTTCAGTATCATATTGGTAAATAACAGAAGGCACCAGGTACAAGGACATTTCTACAGACGTGACAGTACCACTGATGCTCCCCTCACTCCAGCTTCTTTGATAAAATAAAGGGTCCTAAGCATTGAAGATCAAGAATGAAAAGATGATAAAATGTGGCTCCAATTTTTCACTTCCTACTTAGTTTGGTTTAATTGATATGGTCTGATTGATCTAAATGTATTGACTTATAAGTACACACATCAGAGGTTCCTTAGATAAAGTCTCTTCACTGATGTCAGCTATCTTAGTTTCCATCATTTGTGTGTATCCAAAATATATCATTAGCACAGACTTCACATCTCAAATTCTATTGCCTTTTTATTTACTTTTATAATTCAAACAATATCATATCAAAACATCGTTTACAGAGATAAAGATAGAAATATCTGAAATTTTTGAGATTACATTTAAATTTGAGAGGCATTTAATGATCAGATAAAATTGATTGATTTTGATACATTGATAAATAATGTTTATTTTTGTCATAACACAAATTAGCATCTCATTTCACACACACTTCAGAGGTTCCATGATAAGATCTCTTCATTGAGCTCAGGTATCGAATGTTCATCATTTCTGTGAGTGAAAATTAATGTATTTACTTCTTTCTTCCTTGATTTATCACAAAACACATCTCACACTGCTACAATTATACACTATTTTCAGATAAACACTTCTTTTAATCAAATGGTTTGCAATCTCAAAAGAAAATCTCAGTCTATCTAATTTACTTCAACCGATCGTTAAATGATCTACATTGATAAACAAATTTCTGATATTCTTTTAAACATTTAAAATCACGTTTGAAGACACAGATATAAATTTAACAGGATGTTAATTACCAGGTAACACAGACTGATTTAAATACACCTGTGTAATATATAAAGTATGATCTCATCTTTGTTACAATAAGAAACTTTCACACACACTTCAGAGGTTCCATGATAAGATCTCTTCATTTAGATCAGGTATCGAATGTTCATCATTTCTGCATGTGAAATTATTGTATTTACTTTAACTGATCTCCACTTACTGTAAACTCAGAAATGTTGGGCTGGGGTAGTTTTATTTTGTATTCTACATCTACAATTCTAACAGGACAGGTTATTATAGAATATAGTATAGTATTATAGTAATATAGTATTGTTTATCAACAAATTATCCTAAATCAAGGGGAGACAAATCCTACCTTGTACTAAATGTTTACTGTATCTGACTGATAAATCAATTAAATGTTTTAAGGTGGCTGGTGACACATCAGAGGTTCCTTAGATAAGATCTCTTCATTGAGGTCAGCTATCTGTATTTCCATCATATGTTTGTGCCATCCACAAAATTTCAGCTCAGAGACAAACAAGGGCAATCAAATTACACATTGTCAGGTGACACAGTAGTAATACATTTGACATAAGACTAGGCAACTATTGTCAGATTCTCTGATTGGCTATGAAAAGGTATCAGGTCACCTGCCCATCCATGTACATTTTCCCCAGGTACTTCAGTTTCCTACGATAGTACGGTACCTCACATACTTTGATCTTGGCTAACGAGAGTGATTAATATCAGCTTATAACTTGTTTCACAACTGTTCTATAATGTATTAAGGTTATAGGTTTTGAAATATACAAAGGAACCGTAAGGTTTTTGCCCAGCATTTTATGAGAAACTTTGTGATGTAATTATCTATGTACATCCAAGGTACAAACTTCACATCTCAAACTTCTCTAGTCTTTTTATTTACTTTCCTAATTTAAACAATACCGTAACAAAACATAGTTTACACAGATCAATATAGAAATGTCAGACATTTTTTTAAAATAACATTTAAATTTGAGTGGCATTTAATGATCAGATCATATATATTTATTTCAAGACTTCGATAAATAATGTTTTATTTGTTTTCTAACAAATGTTTATTTTTGTCACAACACAAATTATCATCTTATTTCACACACACTTCAGAGGTTCCATATGATCTCTTCATAGAGTTCAGGTATCGAAAGATCATCATTTCTCCGAGTGAAAATTAATGTGTTTCCTTTTTCCTTGACTTATCACAAACTTACATCTTAAACTGTTACAATTTTACACTATTTTCAAGTGAACACTTCTTTAAATCCTATCATATGTAATCTCAACAGAAAATCTGATGGAGTCTGTGTCACTTACTTCAACGTGTAGTTAAAATTATCTACTTTCATAATCAAAGCAATTTTACATCAAAATATTGTTTACAGGCAAAAATGTAGAAACTCCCTATATTTTCTTAATTTTTAAAACCATGTTTGAAGATATACATTCAAGAGGACATAAATTACTGATTTAAATACACACACACTTCAGAGGTTCCATGATAAGATCTCTTCATTGAGCTCAGGTATCGAATGTTCATCATTTCTGCATGTGAAATTATTGTATTTACTTTAACTGATCTCCACTTACTGTAAACTCAGAAATGTTGGGCTGGGGTAGTTTTATTTAGTTTTCTACGTCTGCAATTCTAACACGACAGGTTAAGTTATAACACAGTACATGAAAGAGTGCAGTTTATCAACAAATCATCCTAAATCAAGGGGAGACAAATCCTACCTTGTACTAAATGTTTACTGTATCTGACTGATAAATCAATTAAATGTTTTATGGTGGCTGGTGACACATCAGAGGTTCCTTAGATAGGATCTCTTCATTGAGGTCAGCTATCTGTATTTCCATCATATGTTTGTGCCATCCACAATATTTCAGCTAGTGAATCAAACAACGGTAATCAAATTATGGGATGTCAAGTGACACAGTGGTAACTAGGCAACCAGGGTCTGATTCCCATAATTGGAAATAAAAAGGTATTTGGTCATTTGCCCTACCATGTACATTTTCCCCGGGTACTCCAGTTTCCTCCGATAGTAAGGTCCCTCACATATTTTGATCTGGGCTAATGAGAGTGATAAGTTTAAATTTGTGACATGTATCACAACTGTTCTAAAATATATTAAGTTTATAGATTTTAAAACGTAACAAGGGACCTTTATGTTTTTTGCCAAGCATTTTATTAGAATCTTTGTGATGTAATCATTTATGTATATCCAAGGTACAAACTTCACATCTCAAACTTCTTTTAGTCTTTTTATTTACTTTCATAATTTAAACAATATCATAACAAAACATTGTTTAAAGAGATAAAGAAAGAAATGTCAGACATTTTTGAAATTACATGTAAATTTGACAGGAATTTAATGATCAGATAAAATACACTGATTTCAATACACTGATAAATAATGTTATATTTGTGTTCTATCAAATGTTTACTTTTGTCGTAACACAAATTAGTATCTTATTTCACACACACTTCAGAGGTTCCATATGATCTCTTCATAGAGCTCAGGTATTGAAAGATTCATCATTTATGCGAGTGAAATCATTGTATTTATTTCTATTGTTCTCCACTAACTGTAAACTCAGAAATGTTGGGCTAGAATATGGCATAGGAAAGAGTGTAGTCAATATTTAAGTATCTATTGTATAGTTTAAAACAACATATAATGTACCTTTTCATTAATGAGTAACTTATAGGTATTGTAGTGCTTGCGACAACATGTCACAATACTGTGTCCACTATTGATAGAATAGGGTACTGCAATTTAAGTACTTAAGGTCATGAAAAATCTGTATTTGTCATCCTGATGAAGCCTGGAGAGGACAAAACCTATAGACAGTACTAAATAAATTAAAGTACCTACTCTGATGCTGTTGTGATATTTCTGACTTAATTTTCTCTATTGATCAATCACCCTGCACACTCCAAGGTAACCAGCGAAAGAGTAAAGGAACCTACAACCCGACCTACTAATTCGAACGGCATTCGCTACAAAAATCCTTCTAGTTTCACAATTGTTCTAAAATACATGAAGTTTATAGTTTCTAAAGACCTAAATACTTTTTGCCAAACGTTTTCTTAGAATCTTGACAAATACACCTAAAACTTATTTCAATGCTTTAAAGCCAAGTGATGTTTTCTACATGTTGTGGGTGTAAACTAGGACTTAAAACGATAACATTAAAAGTATCAAAGAAAATCTTGATTTCACTGAAATCCAATAGAACACAATAACAGCAACTGACTACACATCATAAAACCTACAGAGTATAATTTATTCAATATTCATACAGTCTCTGGAACAATAACTCAGGACAATTTTCACTGTTAAACCACAATGTGAATGAAAAGTTTTTAACATTACATCACACACCTCAGAGGTTCCATGATAAGATCTCTTCATTAAGATCAGGTATCGAATGTTCATCATTTGTGTGTTATTGTGTTGTTGTACAATGGTAAACATAATGATTCTTCCTTAGATTTTATAGAAACAGCATTTTTAGTGTTAATTATCTACAATTTTTAAAGCAGTAAATATTCTTCTTCCTTACATCACCTGGCATGGTCTATTCCTTGTCTAGCTTCAATGTGTGTATGTTTTTAAATTAGAATGGACAAAACACATGTGGCTTTCTATCTGATTCCTTTGGGAATAGTGTTTTTAAACTTCAACATTTTCACACTATAGAATATAGGGAAGACTTCTTTCTAAAGGATAGGGGTTGTTATTCACAATGATATCTAAGTGGCCTGAATGCTAGAATGACTATGTTATTGTAAATAGATTCCAATTCACAGTTATACAATGCATCAACTTATTTTTCATTTTTTTTACCTTCATTCATGTCTGAAGTTATGTGTCCACCGAGTGGCCTATTCCACTATATGTGTCATTGAGGCTACCAAGTTATTTGGTAATTAGCCTCAATTAGGTAACATTTATAGGCCAAAGTCAGGTTGAATTAGGTAACAAATCTACACATTTAGGCCAACGTGAGATCTAATAAGGTAAGACATTTTCATTTTCGGTGTAAAATTATAAGCATATATCTATGTCAATGGTGTAGTATTGTTCTAAAAAGGGTTAAAAATAACAAGGATCTTTCCACTTGGAATCATGCAAGTTTTAGCTGCACAATGAGATAACAAGACTCTTTTTTTTTTCTTTGATTCTAAATTAAATTTTTCAACACACGTCAAAGGATCCAGAGTAAGATTTCACCAGTGAGCTCAAGCATCAAAAGCTGATAAAAAGTTTTTTTTCATTAATAATATATACAATATTACTAATTCTTACCTGTCCAATTCCTCTCCCTCCACAAATCCCCCTTCAGCATTAGCCATTTCCATGAAGTTATCTTCCAGCTGGTTATCAGGATCATCAAACACGAAATCATCATCAAGGGCAGCAACTATGTCAGGATCCCAGTCAAGCTTCGGGCCTATATTATACATAACATGACATTGTGAAATTGACAGTAAATGTACAAATTTTTGAGCTGTTATTGCGAGAAAATATGACTGCGATTTTGGAATGTAGTTCAAATAGCAATCACAGTGGATGCACTAACTCATCTTTGCGCTAATTCATTAAAAAGTGGCAAATTGCCAAAATTTCATTGTGCCAAATTACCAGTAAGTTTGTTTACAGTGGTCAGCTTTTGAGCATATCTTTTTTTTGGGTAGTAAAGCAGAGAAAACTGTTTACATGGTCTGCTGACAATTTGGTGGCTTAATCCCAGTCCAGATTTGCAAGATATATTTGCTACAAGCTTAACAACTTTCTGTAACATTAAAACTAAATTCTGCATTTTCTATTAACAAATAAAGTAGTTTACAACAAGTTTCAGTTTTATAATCTGAAAGGAAAATGACAACAAATCTGTCCAAGAATACTTGGATTTCTGAAAGATTACAATTTCATACTTCAGTACATAATTGTATATGGTTTAACTTTAAAATTTTAAAAATGCTCCAAACCATACCATGTCTTTAAACTGCATTGCAAGACACCACTGAATTACATGTGGCTCTCCAGACAACTGATTGATAAATTGTCTGTTTACGTTTGTCTTATAAGCATATGATATTTATCAAAACAATTTGCATTTCTCGGTTTAAAAAAGATGCTTCCTAAAATTTATTTTTAGCCAATCTGTTTGCTTAAGGCTATGTGGCATTGATATTATAATATACTTTCAAAACTCATACTAACCTCTGCTTGGAGCTGCCTTATTTAAGAGGCCCACATCAGTTTCTATATCAGAGGCAAATGCTGTGGAAGGCAGTTGGATTTTAGGTCCCTGAAAAAAATGGTTTGTTATTCATAACATAAAACATATAATGTATAACTTGTTTTAAACGACAAAAGTCCCAAGACTTATTATGTCGGGATTAGTACTAATTTATTATCCTCAAATTTTTGTTTTTATCAGAAGCAATACTCTCTTCAAAATCTTGAAGCAGTTGCGTCTTTGGGTGCAATTCATTTAAATGTTGATTTCAATGTTAAATGAAATTATGGTAAGTCCTATGAAAAATATAACATCCATAAAATACAACTTCTAAAAACCATCACTTCTTGAAGACGATGAGTCTAGATGCCTCAAATTTGACAAAAACACATTCAACATTGATCGAAAATTACATCAGTTAAGGTTTTATTTTCTTTGGTTTTGTTGGTAGTCTAAATTAACAAATTCATATGTCTGCATTAAAATTAGCATAAGAAGATATACAGAGCTATATCTAAATTTAAAAAAAAAAAAAATTTTTTTGGAAAAACCACAAAAATTAAGTCCCACAAAAATAACTGATTTTACAGTACATGTAGAAATGTTCAGACTTTTTTGCCGTATTGGTTTTTTTCATACCCCTGGTAGCGTTATATTTTAGCAAGCCACTAGTCACATATAGTAAAAATTCCTCATAGAAAGCATGAGGGTGTCACATAATGAATGTCTAAATATCATTTGACAGGTTGTACTGATGTTGTACAGAATTAAATTTGTTATACCCGTTGCTCTTGTTTCGCTGATATACGGCTCTCGCTGACCGCTTCCAGCACGCATGCTTCATTAGTTTCTCGTAAATGTTGCATGTAGTCATATTCGTCATCATAAAACACTCCATACTTCTGTTCCTCTTCCTTCTGCTTTGCCAAGTCCTAGAAAATCATCACCATCACAACACTGTAACTATCTGTACCTCCAAATATATTTTACAACCTTTTGGTTGATTACAATCAGTGTTAATGTTGTATCTTAAGAAAAAAAAGGTGTATGTTTCCAGACTTAACAAAGGTCAACATAAGCATTATATACTCAGTACTTGTTAATGCAACAGATATGTTTTCTGGTTCTGATTTCATAAACTGGTTTTTATCTTATTTTTTCTCATAGACTGTATATTTAGGGATGAACCTTTTTACTGCTGGCTTGGAGGAGGACATGTTTGGATGCTTCTTCACTGGCCTGAAGCGGATCCTTCTGACTTCTGTGAACAAGGTGAAATGTCACAGCATTCTTCTTGTCAATGAATGGCTTCTTCCTTCCGGGCTACAAAAAGTATTTATTCACATCAATAATAAATAAGAATTTTGTCACATCAACTGTAACATAGTTTCATTTTGGCAAGTTTTTATTTTTATTTTTAGATAAAGCTTAAAGTGAAAACTTAATAGTCCTATGCATTTGTAAAAATTTTAATTTCATAATTATTTTGATTATCACAACACATTTTTCTATTTTTTTTCAAATAAATCACAGGAAGGAACTTGGTGTACACAATTGTTTTAATTTTTATCAGTTCCTTAAAAGGTTGATCATTTTTGCTCTTAATTATACAAAATATGAAAAATACTCTCCAAAACGTCCACAGGTCAGCCATTATATTTTTCTGATCAGTCCCAAAATCAAAACAGCAAAACTAGTGACCAGTAGGAAACTTTCATAAGAGATTTGGGAAACATCATTCTAATAATTCATGAAATAGTGATAAATGTTTAAAGACTGAAGACAAACGTTCATGGTGATTGGATACAATATAAATATATCATATCAGGACTAAATGAAATAATAGCACAAAGTGAAAGTATTTCAGCTATCAGAATCAATAGGCAGGTGATGAACAACATTAAAAGTGAACATACAAGACTGATTTAAATATTATCACCAGAGTTTTCCATTGGTATTTTTGGAAAATCCCTTTTGTCAATTTGGGAAAATTTAACCAGTAAATTGTATCAAAACATTACATGCAAGTCATGGTTTATGAGACGCATGCTTGGAAACTTTATAATTGAGTGAAAATTCCAGCTTTTCATATACCACATACCAATTTTGATACTTGAGTATACTTTTCCTTTTCTATTTTGTATAAGACTTTCTATTGTATTTTTCTACATTTAACTGGAGATTTAATCAATTGTCACAATTATGAACTTTACAGTTCATTTTAAGAAAATGTAAGACTTAAATTGGGAAATGGGGGTGTTTATGGCAGCCAGTCATTTAGGCAGGAGAAGAAACATTGATGACTACACCGTATACTATACAGGGACACTATACCAGTGTATCTTGGTTGTACTTATGGCTTGTATCTGATGAAGTGAAGAAAATTTATCTCAAATTTAATGTAATTTTCCATGTACTTTTTTTTGTAGAAATTAAAAATTTTGCAACCAAAAAAAGTCTGGAGTCCAGATATTATATTGAACAAAATCAAATTCAAGTAAATAGAAGTAGCTTCCCTTGTGTCGTATTGTATAAATGAGTATTGTATGCTATGTGTGGATGTTTCTTGTACATATACCACTGTGATGTTATTTGTGGGAGAGGACTTAAATAGGCTCTTTCCGATGTTTAATACCTTTGTCAACTGTGTATTTTTTACTTTAATTAAAGTTTGAAATTGGAAGAATTGTTGTACTACAAACAAACTACTGGTATCTTGGTTGCACAGGAGACAAAATACTGTTATATACTTGTATCTCAGATGTACTAGGAACAAACTATTTTCATGTATATATCACTGTGGAACTGTGGACACACTATAAATATAAATCTCAGCTGTACTGGGGCCAAACTACACACATATATATCACCATGGAACCCGGAACAAACAATGACTCTGCTTATCTCGATTGTAATGGGCCATACTGTAAGCGTAAAAATCTTGGCTGTACAGGGGACAAACGATACATGTATAATAACTCTGCTGTGATGAGCATAATACTAACATCCATATATAAATGGGAAAATAAGAATACTGAATTAATAATTACAGTAAGATTTTGGGTGTAACAAGATTGTCCATGCTTTTGCTGTTATAATTTCGTACCTCTTAAATTTGAATAGAATGTTAATTACTGAAAATAATGAGTGAAAATTGAGCAAATTCAACTCTGCCAAATAAACCTGAATATGATATATTCTTATAACACATAACAGATGTTAACGACTACATGGTTGATACCAACGGACAATGACAAACGTTATCAGCAAGTTTAACGTTATCAGTCACATGTGCTCAGTATATACATGTATACTTTACTGTGTATAGTTTAGAACGCTCTAGTGATGGGAACTTGTTTCACTCTCGTAATCGATACCTGAGAACAAAAATGCTTAACTATCACAAATGCCCAAGTCAATTCTAAGGATAAACATCCAAAGAGAAAGACAAAGTATGTGTATACAAAATTGGATGATGCAAGAACTGTGAGGCAGGAAATTTGAGATCTTATTAAATAAAAATTAGAAAGACACTTAATCTAAAGAAAGCAAAAAATTCACTTCACAGGAAAAATATTCTCAGTCCCGGGTCAATAAATCAGCACTTACAAACAGAAAAATGATATCATATAGTGAAAAAATTCCATGTAGTCAACAGGAAAAACAATATTTTCAGGTAGCTGGTCAAGGCAGCCATGTGGAAACGCTACAACGGGGCAGTGCCTAACATGGATGTGGAGGTCCACAGACTCTCGTACATCTATGATAATGTGATAGACAAAGCATAGCCGAATCACTACACATTTACCATCACATCATACTATATAACACTATACACATTTCCACCTGGAGTGGTGCACAATAAAAAAGATGGAGAAGTAAGCGAAAATTTGATCAGAATAATGAAAAATGTATTTTGTATATTGTATTTACTATTCTTTCGAGATATACGGTGTCAAAATCATTTAGGCATATGCAAGTGAACAGATAAAGTTTGGTCAAAATCTGCTTAAAGCGAAATTCCATAAGCAGTGACAAAATAAACATATGTAGATGTAATCTCATCGATTCTAAATCGTTGTTGACAAGAACGACCAACTTCTATGGTTGAACACCGACTAAACACGTGGTCACATTGGAAAGAGAATTTGCGTCAAGTTATGCGTCATGTGCAGTAAATCATTGTTGTACCATTTTTACCAACAGTTTTCTTCATAGCGAGAGTGAATGCCTACTTAAACAGTGACTTACCATTTTGACCACACTTGGTCTCGATCAAATAATTACTTCATTCTATGCAATTTTTTCGAGACCATACCGGAAGTTCTAATTTTTACTATCGGATCACATCAAGAAAAGCCTACATTCGTAATGAAAAGTTGAAGATTCCGAAATACTACGGAAGTGACCAATGAGACAACACATAAGACATACGTCTATTCGCCAATCAAATTATTCGATATGTTTGAGAGAAGGTAATTTTTAGAGCGCCTTCTAGCGGAAACTATTTAAAACCGATTAGTTGAATTTGAATGGCTGTAGTTTGTTGCCATAATTTCAATTGTTTTATTTGCCTTAATAAATACAAATCATGACAAATGAGATAGATCGTTCAATTTATATATTAGTAATTCTCAGTTTTCACTTGAATCTCGCACTCTATTTTCTACGTCATATAACTTCATTAACATAATCACGTGGGGTCGATCGGCGCACGAGTTAGGCCGAGCTGTCGTTCGTCATTCTACGTCACGCTATTGGAGAGGCTTCCCAGATGTCAATGCGCTGCACAGATTCGCACAATGTATGGAGGGCCGCCATACTGGTGGGACGATATCGGTCACTCTGTTGGCTGAATTCCCTTCAGTTGGGGGCTTTTGGGCATCCCAATGCAGTGCACTCCTGTCGAAATAAAGGAGAAGTTGCTGAAGGCTCTTGATGAGGATAATAATGTAAGGAATTTGGTATTTAAATGCGGTTGTGAGATGTTTTTTGTCCCGGCATGAGGAAGGTGGCCGATTAGTGAACAGTCCGACACAGGACTGTTGCAGTTTGAGAGAAAGTTGTGCTGTTGTCGCATGCATAGTCCGATATAACCAATGGTACTGTGAAATAATACGGTTGTGGTTGATTATAATGCTTTTGATTAGATCTATGATTGTGAAAATTATTATCTTAAAATATAGTTCATTACACTGAAAATTATGCAAGTTGTCCTTATTTGTGCAATCATATTATGACTGCTGTCGTGTGTCTGGCACATTTAGTTGCCTTCGGCTTATGGCTGGAAACGTGTCGCTTAATTTACACGCACATCAGTCGGATGTCTATATGGAATCACCACGAATCGGTTATTTGATCCGCACAGTATGCATTTACCATTGTCTAAACATAGTCTATGAAACGGCATGGTTTCAGATAAACACCAAAAACCTTTTAATATTACGACAATACGGGTACTGTATGTATGGTAGTAATGGTCTTTCATAGAAATATGCATGTATTAATATCACTTTACATTCCCCATAACCCCCTGATGAAGTATGAATCTATGATTATTGCTCAAGATGGATAGATAAATCTGACTTTGCTCCTTGAAGAAAAACTGGTAGTATAACCAACACAAAGTAATTGTGGGTACTATTGTATGTCTGAATTTTGATTGATAATCATGCATGCATATATTGTTTTATTGGGAATTTTCAGGATTAAATTTGTCACTCACATACCTCTGTTTGAATTGAGATCACTTGTATGTTTTATTCACTACCAGCATTAAGGGACTTCTAGTTATTGGTTACATGTATTGGTTTCACTAACCAATACTTTGCAAAGTTGATCAATTGGAAAACCACTAAAATGGATCTTAAAATACTAATTAATTAGATTGTTGGGTGAAGATAAAGGGCAAGTGAACTTTTGCGATGACAAAGTATCGGAAAAGCCCTGATATATTTAACTTAAGTACAATACGACAGGCGTGCTTTGACCATAGCATTTGGTCTGTAACATGCTGAAAGGAATGAGTTTAACCACCTACCCTCAGTGGATAAATGTATATGTAACTAATTCTAATTACGTACCAAGTACTTCATGTATTTCAATCAAAAACATCCAGTCCAGCTTGTTTAATTGAAATGATGCTCCTTCCTATCTAGCTGTCCATGTGGTATTTCTACTGAAAAAACTTTATCCCCAGTATTGAGAAAAATACATAAATATCCAGTAATGTTCTTCCATAGTTCATTCATAAATCTTATTTGTACTGCTTTTCATATTTGTTGACATGGTGTCATGAGTGAATATATATTGGAGTGGGCCATTTTATCTCATTGTTTGAAGAAAAGAAAAAAATCTGTTTGGAAGGAATATTAGGATATTTTGGGAATTGGCAATATATTGAAATAAATCCATTTTGGAATGGAGCCATTACTCTGCCCCACAGAGCCCTTGGGAGAAGGTCTGTAAATAGTCTTGTTGACTTGATATTTCTGCATCTGTTCATTTCACACCTAAACAACTTTATATGATTGAAAAAAGAATAGTCCTACACATATATACAATGTATATATTAAGTAAATGAATGATATCATCAGTGCAGTCACAGCTTTTCGTTTGGATTCTGAATTCTAAATTTAAATAGAATCATCACTTTACATACATCAAGAATACATATTATATGCTATTGGTTAACTAAGAGCTACGGTACTGAAATTAATGTAGATGTGTGATGCTGCACTTTATTCCATGCAGGAGTAGATTTAAGAAAAAATTTGGTTGCATACCCATGTGTCAAAAACCATCTGTCAAAGACCTTGCAAAGGAGGGTCAGGGATGGGTTTCTAGAATATTTTTTGAAAACCTTAATGGTCAAAATGGCTTCTCAGTACCTGGCTTGTATACACAGCAATAGAAATAACATCTTTAATAGCTCAACCTGAATAAGTATAAATCTAAGCGACCAAAGGTAAAATCAGGCGGCCAGTGGCTATAATTATCCTTGACATGTTGCTGATGCTGAATTTGGTTTACAATGTACATATATGATATGTTTTAATGCATACTGTATTCCTTTTGTTTGAATTTGGCATGTTGCATTTTAACTCATCATTACAGTGGTTTGGTTAGCTTAATGGCTGTCCTGGTAGTTTCAGGTTTTATCTTTCAATGATGAAGATTAATTGAATGTAATTTGATTTCTAAGAACAAACAGCATGAAAATTATACTAATGTCTTAAAAATCATTATTGCTGACAGATGCTTTAAATTTAATTTTCCTATCCCTTTGTAGGTGGTCGATATGGCGGGAGTTTTGGCGGTCATCACCGTGTTGGAAACATATCCAATCACCCGGGAAGCCTTGGAGGTTTGTTAATGTTCCTTTGTTTGCTTTCAAACTAATATGTTCAATTTCAAAATATAAGACATAAAAAAATTACTGCAGCAATTCTTATGAACTGAAAGGAAAATAGCTGTTTACAAGCATTTGTTTTGAAGTAGCCAAAAACTGGAGACAACTGGCTTGGTATTGGCTTTCTAATCACTGAATGGGAACATGATCCAACTAAATGTGATGTTGCAGGTGGCCACTGATACTGAATAATTTTCACATTTTCAAGCGATTATAATCCGCCAAAAATATAGCAACTTTTAACTATATGTAATGATTTTTAAACATTTGACAATAAATTAAATGAAGAGAAAAAAAATGCCTTCAATAAAATTTTATCAACAGGAGTTAATTTTTTAGTAGTATAATTTTGAATTCATCAGATAGTATAAAATTTATGATCACAGTTAAAACAATTTTCTTTTATTTTTATAGCAAACAAGGATTGGCAGGACTGTCAATGAACTCAGAAGGAAAACTACTAATGATCAATTGGCCAAACGAGCAAAAAAACTGGTACGGAACTGGCAGAAACTTATATCAGCAACTCCACAGTCAGACAATTGTACTGTTAATGGTGATAGAGATAATGGAGAAAGGTTAGCTGGAAAACACTCCCAGTTGTCGTCTCTTCAGGGTAGTGATTCATCATCTTGTCCTAACAGTCCAGCATTCTCTCAGAAATTAGTGTCTCCTGCACTGACCAGAGTGAATGCACAAAATGCAAGTGTTCGATCTAGTCCTTCACAGTCGCATACAGTTGGAGTGAAACCAACAACACCAAACTTGCAGCTATCTCAAAGAAATAAAAGTAAACCGGGTACACCAAAACTGCCACAGAGCCTGGCAACTTTCAATAGTAAACCAAATACTCCTAATCAGCAATTACAACAACAGCGAGGCAGAAATAAACCAAATACACCTAATTTGCCTCAGAATTCCAAGATGGGACAATCTCCCAATCTAAGAACTGATTCTCCTAAGTATTGCCTAAACCAAAAAAGTGTCAACTCACCTAAGGTATCTGTCAACTCGCCTAAAATACCAGTTAATTCACCAAAGGTATCAATACTTGAAAATTCAATTCGTGTAGCATCTCCTTCAGGCTCTACAGAGTCCAGTCTTGGTAGACCTCTCACACCTTCTGAATGTGGAAGCACAAGTAGACCACAGACCCCTCAGTCAGTCAGTAATGGCCCTGATCAATCAGGAGGAAGGTTGCCAAGAAACCTATCTCATGAAAATTTGTCAAACTCATCCACACATAATAACATAACAGAAGAAAGACACCAGAATAGTTCAAATCATTCCAGTGACGTTCCTTTAGTCTCGCAAACGGTTTCTCCATCAAAGGCTTCTAAGGCTGCAAAGCCAGATCAAAGCTTGAATGTAAAAACTAATGTTGCAAATAAAAAACGATCACGAGAAGATGTTAATGGGTCTGGGCAGCCTAGTAAAATTGCACGTATGCAAAACAGTGATAATTGTAGTGGATCGTATAAAAAAGCTATGAATGGCTCCCTGCAAACTTCATTATCGAGCATTGATGCAAATTTATCAGATATAGGGCATAGTACCTATGCTTCAACTCCCGATGGCAAAAGCAGTTTTTCTTATAAGAGAAATGTCAATCTGTCAGTGAAAACTGAAACGACTCCAAAAGTGACATCTGAAAAGGCAACTTTGTCTGGAAAGACACCTAAGGTGAAAACAACAGCCCAGCTTATAGCTGATTTACAAGCAAAGAGTGGCAGCGCAGCATTGGGAAGTAGTGTTATCAGAGAGATAGAGACCAATCAGATACATAAAGAATCTGATGTGCCTGATTCTGTACTTCCTCCTGGAGTGGGCAAAAAACGTCGGCTTAAACCAGACACTTCCACCCCTATCAGGTCACACCTGACTCTCAGCAGGACAAAGACAGAACTTGTTGAGAAATTTTTGGAAACATCTGTTACACCAAATACAACTGAAGATCTGAGTCCGTTTAAATATGACATCAATAAAGCAGAATCTCCCTATACACCTGGTAAATATGACTCAAGTTTAGAGGTGGATGTGACTAATAGCTCAGGCGGAGACACCAGTTTCCGTCCAGCAGAGGTTAAAGCTGTAGAACATGCTGATACAGAAAGTAGCAATAACGTTCCTCTAGTGGAACATACAAAACCGTTAACTTTGGAGGAGGCATATAATTTGCTTCCACCAATTGATTATGATAATGTGTGGACAGATGATACACAGGATGTGTCTGAATCTATTCCAATGGAAAGCGAGTCTGTGAGTGATCAAGATGTGCAACGTGTGCTAGGAGAAGAATGGGCAGGTGTAAATGGTGTCTATAACACATATGGAAGATGGTGTGATTGGACACAAACCATGTCTAGTTCATCATATAATGGTGACGTTCTGCATATTTTGCCATATGTTCTCATAGATGATTAAATAGTCGGTGATATTGTTTTGAAATCCTGCTGAAATAAATGAAGAGACAGTTAAACTTGACATCAGTTTTAGTGCTTTCATTTAAATGCAGGACCTCTCTATTTCTTATGTTAAAGTTGTTTTTGCAGTTTTTTTATTTGTAATAGTTTAATATATGTCACGTGTTATAATATTTGTGTAAAATTGTCAAATTTAAATTACAAAGAGAGGATATCAGATTTATTAAATAAATCAAAAGCAAAAATTTGTTTGGGTTGATCAATTTAGTTGGATCCTGAGGAGAACCAGATCCCAGGGGGATCTTGGTGCCCACCATTGTTTGATCTTTATATGCTCATTTAAAGTTGGATCTTTTCCCTTTTTTTCTCTTCTCTGTTTTTGCTCTTAATTATAAGACATTTGAACACGAAATAGTGATGATAATCTTTATCTGCCAAATCCAAAATGGCCACCTGGAAGCCATTTTGTTTCTTCTGATCAGTCCCAAAAGCAATTGAGCACAAGGAGAGACAAAAGGGAACATCCATATGAAATTTGAGAGATATCCATTTGAATTCTTTACTAGGCAAGATCCAAAGTCTGTTGGCCATTTTGTTTTTTGATCAGTCCCGTACTCAAATAGGCACAACTGAGGACCTAAAACCCCTAGAGAATACATGAAATTTGAAAAGATCTCTGCTGTAGTATTCAAGAAATAGCAATAGAACCATTCAAAAGTCAAAATCTAAAATGTCCATCTGTCGGCCATTTTGTTTTTTCTGATTAGTCAAACGTTAGATGGGCACAACTAGGGACCAAAAGGAACCTGGATATGAAATTTGAGAAAAATCTATCCAGTGCTTCTCGAGAAATAATAAACTTGCAATGTCAAAATCCAAGATGGCCACCTTTCTGCAACTTTATTTCACTTATCAGTTCCAAAATTACATAGACACTAAAGGTCAAGAAGAACCTAAATATGAAATTTGAGAAAGATCTATCGATCACTTCTCAAGAAATAGCGAAAACAAACTTTCAAAGTTAAAATGAATGATGGCCGTCTGTCAGTTGTTTTGTATTTTTTATTAGAACCAAAACCAAGTGGGACCAAGTGGAACCTACATATGAAATTTCAGAAAAATCCACCCAGTACTTCTCAAGAAATTGTGATAACAAAAACTGTTTACAGACAGACTGACCATGGACGCGGAGCAATTTGAATAGCTTAAAATCTCCACTTGAAGAATTTCTCAGAAGTTGCTAGCCCCTGTTGGGACTTCAGAACAAGGTGTAAATATCAGTCGTAAAAGCCAGTTTTCTCCCTTAAATATAGATTTATGTGAGGCTTTTGGTTTCTGATTTCAAAACTTCATAACCAGGTGTATCAGCTTCAAATCAAATTTTCCTTCTGGGTTAAATATTGGAATTTACTCAAACTTGGCAATGCCCTTAAATGTTGGGTTTAAGGCTCTATACTTGGCAAGTTGCTATATTAATGTGTTAATTATGTCAAGATGGCTGATACAGACAACTCGTGTAAGCCTAGGCTTTTGTTAATTCCAATTTGGTTAATATCCTAAAACCTTTTTGAAATGATAAACAAAATGACTGCCTTGACATTTAGACTAATCACAATATACAATGGCTTCCAGATAATTTTGATTGTAACATAAACTTGATTTTACAATTGCAAAACAAGTTATTTCAACTTATACTAATCACTTATGTTGGTCCAGATGTAAGTGTGCTAGGTTCTAGCTGTGGGAGGAAACCCAAGTAACTGAGGAAAGCCAACGCTGTCTGGCAAGTGACCCCTTACCTTTTCACGTCTGTTCTGGGAATCAAAACTTTGGGTGGCTAAGTGAAAGGCCAGTGTGTTACCACAGTGCAACCCCACCCACTGAACACCTAATTTTGAAACTGGCCTAAGGATTATATTTTGAGAATAGCAGCTCAGTTTCAGAAACCTTTCTTTTTTAAACGTCAGTAGGATGAACAACGGTGATATTACTCTTTAAATTGTATCCGCAATGCACTATCTTACCAGTCTCTGAGATACAATGGACACATCTTCGTATTCAATGTCACTATTAGATAAAACAAACAAACAACGCAGGTTATAAAATAATTTATTGTAAGGTATTTTTGTTCTTTACAGTTTCTACAAAAATAACTCATATTTTAATAAATAGCATTAAACAAATACATAAAAATATTAAAACAGATAAAAAAAAAAACACATCTAGACATTCTACCATCATTATTCTATTCAGAGGAGAAAGTTGAAGAAACTGTTAATTTACTTTAATTAATTGGAAGCTATTTATTTGTGCTGCAGTCTTTTTACATGTTGGAACATGTTGCCAGGACAAGATACTTGATTACATAATTTACAACTGCCTTGCAATACCGTTAAAAATGTATCCATAGATAGGTATTTCTAATTTTCATATTGATGAAGTATATAACGCATCATTAAAATCTATGCAATATAAATAGTTCAATTTCAAATCATGGATTAAAATACTTCAAATATAATGTAAGATTTTGACATACATGTGCGACACAACACAAGATATCACTTATTGTCCGAAGTTCTTGTTAGTGTGCAGCTTTGAAGCATAATTATTATAACATATCTTTTATGTCTTACAAATCCTAATTGGTCATGTTATTAAGACGAAATCTGTTTAAGGGTTTGTGCAAAAACTGCTTCTAGAAATAAATATTTTAAGTTTTGGTTTGTAACTAATATTTGGTTAGTAAGAATATACCTAAATAATACTTATTTATACAGATTACCTAATACTATTATATTTACTGATATATGTCTAGACTAGCTGCTACACTAACTGCGTGTATGAATTCACTCATCACAAATCACTGATTTACTGATGTTGGCAACGAAACATTGTGTGTCCTTGTTGATACATGCAATGGTTTTGTAAAGGAAGGATGCATTGGATAATAGAATCTAGACACTTCCATTTCACACTTCACTTCAAAATGATCACACCGCAAGTCTAATTAACCTTAACATACCCTGAACACACCTAAAGACTAATCACAGGGCAAGATATGTATTATTTGTACCTAAAAAATTGGAAGGTACCCTAGTATTAAAAAAAATTCCATGAATTTTGTCCTTAGTTATAAATTTTTTTGAATGCTGTTTTCTTAATTAAAAAAAAAAAGATTAACATGCCAGGCATGATTTGATGTATATACTTAAGATAAGGAGAGGCCAACACCTCCAATGGTGACAGGATTATCATTTCCTTAGCATAGCTATATAGCAGATAATCATTCGTCCATTTGGCAAATATATTTGCTCGAAGTTATACATGTTCCATATGAACTCACATTTAAAATGATCAAGAATTTCGGACGGATAGAATTCTGAGTATTTTTGCAAAAATCAATTTTGAGCAAATTAATGATTATTGATACAGTCTCCAGCTGAAATTTACACATCATGTCTATAATGGAAGAATGCGAGACAAACTGGCACTAAACTCCGGTAACCCTGAGAACACATTTTACAGAGTTCAAATACAAAATGAAACACACTTAGCACTATTTTGCCTATCACAGGCCAAACAACATGACTTTGTAATTGTCCTTAAAATTAATGGTTTCCATATCTTGAAATGAAACATTTGAGAAAATATAGAGACATATCTCTGTGAGTTAAGTCAGTATATTTCCCCTCAAAAAATTAGTTTATTACATATACTTCAAACTGTTAAATGTGTAAAATACTATTGACAATAACATGCCCAAGTACACAAATTGGCACATTTTCCCCTTATAACACTGAAAACTTTTAATGTGTATATAAGCATTTTTATCATGAGTTTCTATAAAATGACAAACCAAAGGTAGTTATAATGCCGGACAACCACGATTCTGTTTTAATATGGCAAGTTGGACGAGTCAGCGAAAATCTAAAATATATATATTTTTCAGAAATGCATGCCAAGATATTAGATTTTTATCAAGTCAAAGAATATCAAGTTTTTAAAAACCCTTAATATTTGTCATTGGCTATTGAAAGATCACTTAGATGTGTTCATACAGATTCCTAGAGAACAGGAAGACTGGTCCAATAAACCCCATTCAGTACCATCATAAATAAAATTTGTTTAAATGAATCAAACAAAGGTAATATCACTGGGGCCTAAAGAGTCACAAATTTATGTTCCTGGCCGAATTTCAATTAAAATATTTAACACCTCATCACAGCTTTTAAAAAGCATTATGTATCTTAACTCAATAATATGAAGTAAGAATCAAAATTTACCGTGTGTAGAAACAAAGAATAAAATGCTTACATTTTAAAAAAGTTTTTTTCCCAACAAAAAGGATATCTTGTTTTTAAGATTACATTATACCAAACATCCTTATTAGGACTGAAGAAAGTAATAAAGGAGAAAATTGTGGATCAAAGTAGAGACTCAAATAACAAGCACAATAAACAATATCAGGGACACAAAATATCACAGATTGAAAACAGATCCATTTTACACGCTTGGATCACCAATAAACAGTGCCATCATTGTACACAACAAGTGCTTTGAAAACGTTTATACACATGCCCATCCCTTTCATCAAAATTTACATACACCACTTAATTTCAATACTGAAGGTCATTATGTGAGGGAAAGGCGAGGAACATAATTTACCAGTTCAGGTTTATTTGGCATTCAGACAAGCAGGACTCTCATCTCCTAAATCTGTAAAAAATCTTATTCACAGATAAGCTTGATTCTCATTCACTAAATCTCTACATCATCTCGGTTACAGATACACTTGACGCCCATCCACTATATCTGTAAAAATATCTCATTCACAAATAAGCTTAATTCTCATCCATTCAATCTCTAGAAAATTCTCATTCACAGATAAGCTTGATTCTCATCTAATGAATCTCAAGTTATCTCATTCAAAGATAAGCTTGATTCTCAACCAATAAATCTCTGAGTCATTCTATACACAAATATACTTGATTCTCATCTAATGAATACCTTAAGTTCTCTCATTCACAGACAATTTTAATTCTCATCCATTGAACCTATAAGTCTCAACGTTCACAGCGATTCCATTGTTTACAGTCATACTAAGCATTACAAGTCATGCCTACATCTATACACAGACATGAGACTATGTGGATACCGTATTTACAAAACAAAATCTACAGGGTATCACAGTAGCAAATTTTTGTGGTAGTTGTGTGCATTTAAACATGTACAAAGATAATTTCATTTCAGAGTATCTACATTTCAAATTTCAGGACCAATATCTCAACATGATAACTGTCAGGCATTACAGATAATAACACCTTTGTATCATGAACATTCTATCTATTTATAAAGACCTAATTACATTAATGCCTATCTAAAAACTAATACAAAATATCTATATAAATTCACTTGGTAAAACACTGGTTAATATCAGCACCACCATTACCTGCCCATCTTTGGTCGTTATATTGACAATGATAAAACTATACACAATCAACATCATAGCAGTTTGGGGAGTGTCTTCAGACGTGTAATATCTAGTATGTTGTCATCTTCTTCCTTGGATTTGTGTACTACAGGTGGGGATGGTTCCCTGGCTATGGGACTCAACACTCTATCCCCAGTAACCACCCGTCGGTTGTCTCCCACAGGACTGTGGTAATCATGGTAACCATGTGGACGTGTACTTGAAGCACGATGTAAAGGCTGTTGGGTGGGTGTGGCATTGTTACTTGTCTGACCTTGTGGCAAAGAACAATCTTCCTCCTGTGTTCTATCTCGGTGACAAGTTCTGACAGGAGTGTGTGGTTGCTGTGGAGAGGAGAACTGTTGTACACCGCGAGTTGGAGTACTTTTAGGTGTGACTGGGGAGAAGTTGGAATATGGAGTTCCTATTTTCTTTGTTTTTTCAACACAAGGGCTCCCGTAATCTTTATTGTGTCCATTTACTAATGGACTTCTCATTTTGTCAGTGAACTGCTCCTTGTGTATGTATGGACTACCAGATACATTCTGACTATTAGGAGTCCTACTCTGGGGTGTTAGTGACCCCTTTACAGGTCTGTGTCGGAGTACCTCTGGAGTGACCTGAGCTGGCGTATCAGAGCCTGAGGTAGCTGTACTGTAGTCCAGTTTTAATCGATAGGTATCATCCATCAGAGTGTTAACACTACTGTCACCGTTGCTCTCACTAAGGAGTCCATGTTTCTCCATGTATTTCCTCGTGGCAAATGTCATGTCATTTGGAGACATTCCCATCGTGGTTACATTAGGGGTAGAATCCTTATCATTTTGCAGCACATGTTTTAGCATCGCAAGGCGCTGATTTTCTTTTAAACCTTTTGATAAGCCTCTTGTGTGAGCTGCTTGTGAATGAGCTTTACTCATCTGTGTGAGCTGCTCATCGTTGAGGTATTTCATTGCCATGGCATTGATTTCCATTGAGCTGTCTGAGTCCGAGTCAAACAACATGGACATGTAGTTGATCTTAGGAATGTATGTTGTGTCAGCTGGGTTACTGGAAACATCATACCTATAACAGATTTATTTTTACAATGAAACTTACATATTTTCAGTGATTATCATTCACACAGTGCCCTTGTTTACTAGAAGTTTTATTTCTATTGGAACTGACTTCATGTTTAAATACATAAACCAATGAAATAATATGTTACTTTGGTATATTTGAAAGTACATGATGAGTACTCGAGACAGAGAGAAAGCAGTAGAATGATTGTCTACCACTGTCTTGCCTTGTTAACATTATCTTAATAATAAATCAGGCAGTTGGCACATTTTCATACCATATTTTGCTAGCCTATGCTTGACCCAAAGAGAATGAAATTCATTATTTTTCAAAATCCTTAGTGGTGAAAAATAGTGAATGATATGTTATATATAGGATCTTAAATATGTTTTCATTTCATATGAACCAAGCCTTAGAAAATTGTGAGTCTTGGCCAGCAATTTAGTTGAAGCAAGACTAATTGAGTTTATAAGAATTATCAGTAAAATATCGGTGTGGTCTTCTGCTACTAATCTGGTCATCAGTGACCAATACAAAAAAGTACAATAAAGGTCAGTGTTGACAGACTGGTCAATCTGTAGTTTACCTCTGCATGTTGCTGAGATGTTGTCCTAACATGATACTCTGTTGTAGTGTGTCCTTGGTCATCTCCACATGACCACTGTCCATTCCTTCCATGTCCTCAACACTCTGCTGGTTTAGCATTTTATGGATGTTGTCCTGGAGTAAACAGAACCAAAAAGTTTTATAGGGACATACTATTACCTGCATCACAAATCTGAACTATTTTATCATAACCAGGTACTAATGAACAAGAGATCAAAGAGAGATCTTGGCACCTACTATCTTTTTAATCTTTATTTGGTCTCTAATCTTTGAATCTTTTCCTTTCTTTTCCCCAAATCTAACAAAGAGTCATCCAGTACTTTCCTACAGCAATAACAAACTTTCACAAGTCAAAATCCAAGATGGCTGCCTGTTCACCATTTCACCTAGTGAAACTCAAATATGAAATTTAAAGAAGATCTATTCTGTACTTTTGCAGACATAGCAGTAATAAGGACCTCCTATAGTCAAAATATACATTATTACAATGCCTATTAGCCAATTTGTTTTTCTAATAAGTCCAAAAATCAAAAAGGGTACAAAAATTGAGAAAGGGAACCCGTCATTAGTTATTTGGAAAAGATCTATCCAGTACTTTTATCAGGAATAACAATAACAAATTCTGACTGCTAAAAAACAAGGATGGTCCCCTGTCAGCCATTTCATTTTGCTATTGTAAAGACCGAGGTGAACTTACTTATCAAATTTAAGAATGATCCATCAAATGCTACTCTAAAAGTAGTGACAACAAACCATTAAACGTGTACTGTTAAAATCCAAGATGGATGCCTGAAAGCCATCTTTTTTTTCCAGATTAGTCTCAAATAGACAATGCACAGTAGGGACAAAGCGGAATCTACATGTGAATTTTGAAAATGATCTATTAAGTTCTTCTCAAGAAATAGTGATAACAAGAACTGTTTTAGGACAAAGAGCAGACAAGAGTCGGAGGTAGATTTAACAAATGGTGAGCTAATATAATCTCTATATACATAAATACAGAAATAACTGGTAGTTGTGATTCTTATGGATCAAGTGTTGCATATTAAAGTTATAGTGTGCTGGTATCTGCACTGTATGTAACAGTGTTGTTACAGTGTACTGTTAGGTACATGTGCTGTATGTTATAAGGTACCCAACACCCACCATTAGTCTGTCATAGTACTGCTTTGTATTCTTGTCATCATCCACATGTTCATCTTCTGATTCCCCCTCTCCCATGTTTCCTCCACACATGCTGGCTGACAGAGGACTCTTACTGAACTCATTGGATTCCGTCTCTCTAGACGTGATCGATCTGCATAAAAGAATGAATAGATTTTAAACACTTGTAAACATGTGAAATCTTTCTCTAAAGGTAAGATTTTGAAATACATGTATTTGTTACTGATAATAACAGCATGACATTCTTTTTGAGCAATATCCAATAAACTGCCTCAAAAATAGATAATCGTGTTTAAATTAGAAAAAAAAATATCAACCAGGACTCACCTGGAAGGAGATGACTGGTAACTTGGAAGGTCAACAATGATTTCTGACTGGACACTGTCAACTGTCTGGTTGTGGACTAGCATGTTGCTCATGACATGTGAAAGGTCCCCTTGGGAAACATCCACGTCCTCTTCCCGCTCTGTACTGTTGAGAGGCAAAACACCTCTATGTCGGATTTCTGCAGGCGTTCGAGGATCATTACTACATCTGGAGGCCTCACTTGGCGTAGAACTGCTCCCTGATGACTTCTGTCTTGGGTCACTCAAACTACACTGTGATTCCTCACTGGAGTGGTGACTTGTGTGCTGACTGTATGGGTGAGGTCCATCACTCGAGGACTGACTGTGGGGCAAGGACACCTGATGCTGTAGTTGTTGTCGAGCCTTTTGGGGGCTGGTCTGGAGCGACACAGATTGCTTATTCTGCTGATACAGCATGGTAGTGTTGACTCCCACTGAACACATATTGTTCTTTGTATTTTCTTCGGCCATTGGACCAACGGAACTGTCCTGTGTCTGAGAATCTGATGAGTTGATGGAAGGCTGTAAGTCTGTCATGGTTGTGTGTTGTGTGGAGGCACTCTGACTATGCATGAGCATTTGTATCTGAGACTGTAGCTGTTTGAGCTGAGCATCCTGCTGTAGAAGCAGCTGATACACTTCCTTTGGAACCTGGTTCCAGTTGATTTCTGATCCTCCAAGTGCCTGTGGCACACTAGATTCCTTTAATCCTTCAGGGGGAGACGCACCATTTTTTGCATTGATTCCTTTCTCCGGAGTGAAGCTAAGTCCACTATCATCACTAGACTTGCTGCTGTCCCCTTCTGTTGTAGATCTCCTCTGGTCCAGATTTTGGACTATCTGTCCACCAGATACTGGAGTAAACTGTGAAGACTTTCCCTGCATTGACTGTGTCATCACACCGTTGGATACTTGAGGGGTAGCAAATATTTGTCCATTGGAATGAGGAGCTGGTGTTTGCTCATTATAGACCTGAGCCACATTGGGTGTAGTGGAATACACATGGGCATTGGAGGAGGAAGTGGCATGCATCTGACCATTGGGGACTGACATTGGATATAAATGACCATTGGAGATTGATGTTGGAAGTAGATGCCCATTTGAGGCTGGAGCAGGTTGGTGATGAACGAATGCTGACTGTGGCTGACTAAATCTAGGCTGTTGGCTGTAGGCTTGTTGCTGGTGCATTCTACTTGGTCCAGTGGGAGTTGTAAGAGCAACACTTGGTCCCATCCTGGGGTCTGGATTGGACATGCGAGGTTGTGGCTGGACTGGAACTGGGTGCTGAACTGACCTGGATGGCACTTGACCTTGTAAACTTGGCATGAATGAATGATGTGGTGATGGATCTTGTGCTCTTGGCATAGAGTTTCCATGCTGCTGCTGCTGATTGCTGTAGTCACCATATGGGACTTGCTTTGGATGTGGTATGCTGCTACAGTTTTGCTGGCTGTGTGGCTGACTTTGAGTCACTGGATAAGGATGTCCACTTTGTGAATTATAGCCATTGATCATTCTCTGTCCTTGTGGGTTGTTTGGCTGTGACATATTCTGGTGTGTGTTATTCTGTGGGTACAGTGGCTGACCAACAGATATCTGGTCACCCTCTTCTGACAAGGCCATATTACCCATGTAGTTGTGGACTCCAACTCTGCTGACTGGAGGTCCCTGTGTGCCAGTGCTGGAGTGGGGACGAGGCTGACGATTCTGTTGCTGGTAGAGTTGGTTAAGCTCTGGGGCACTATGGCTGTGGAGTGGCATTCTCCTTTGTGGTTGCTGACTGTTATGCCCAGAGTAGTGTGGTGGCTGTTGTGAGTAAGCTGGCATATTTGGCTGACTAGAAATACTGGTCAGAGGGCGCTGGGGAGTAAAATCCTTGATGTTATTAATACCATGAGGACGTCCCTGGTTAATACCCAATCTCTTTGGTCCTCCTTCAGAGAAGATACCTGATTGCCCATCCTCACCAAACAATAGTGACACTTCAGGAACCATAGGCATCATAGCAGGCAACTGTGATGGTAAAATATAAATAGCATCAGTATCAACCAATCCAACCCCTTTATAGGCCTAATTATATAAAGACAGGTAGACAATACTAAACACAATAGGTATCTTGCAATAGACTACAACTGAACATGGCAAGTACATAACAAGATGCCTATAATACATATTTTTTATTTTATTGAAGATTTCTAAAATCTTTTTAATTTCTTAAAATTTCTAAAATCAAGGTGCAAAAACATTAGAGTTCTAACGATAATTTTACATATCTTAAATTTGCAAGAGATGCAACTCCTGCCTCTAGTTACTGGCATAAAGACTTTACTGCATTATTTGGTTTCACTTTTATATTTGCAGTAATATTTACGAAGACCTAAAGCATAACTTGCCAAACATGAAACTTTAGAACTAAATTGAACTTTATGTGTTACATGCATTAGCATTGCATGAGATAACAGGAAACTATTAGATTTAAGAAGTAATTTGAAGAGAACATGTTTTGAATAAATGGAAAATCTTGAAATAATATTCCTTTTTTCACAGCTATATAACATACTTTTGATCTGTGAGGAGCTGGTATATTCCTTGGTGTGATTTCATCACTAACAGGAGCTGACTTAAATGTAGGCTCTTCAGAAGAACTGAAACGTACAACCAACAACAACAAATAAAATTTATGTCATGTTAACAAGTTTTAGAGCAAGATACACATAGAGAAGTTAGTCAGGGAGACAAATAAAATTCTACACTACACATCAGGTCCTTATAAGATACAGAAGTATGTGACAGAGACCACTGTAATGCTAACCTACGCATAAAATACTACTATTAGATACAGAAGTATTGTGCAGGTTTAACCATAAATCTATGCTACATATAAGATACTGTACAAATACAGAAGTATGTACCAAAGACATACAAAACCATTGTTAACAGATAGGCTAATATTGTGAACATTTCAGCTTTATTTATCCAATGTCTTTTAACAAAATAATGTGTTATCTGTGTTAAGGTTAAGTACCTTTCACTGAATCGATGAAGAGCACCATCAAACAGGTCCCTCTTATGACCACTCTTGACAGTATTTAAATCCACATCAAATGTAGCGTTTGGATTATTAGACTGAAAGTAAAATTTGAATCATTATAGAAATAATAAAAAGGACAACGTAATATAGTTTTTGGGAAATCTATAACAAATCATACTAACCATGTCAGCTTTTCACAATGCAAAATAAAAACAATGTGTATCCAATGGTTACATAGTATATTGTAATGAAATAGTAATTGACAAGTCAACCTTACTGAGCTAAATCCAAAAAAGTGAGATTACAGAATATTAAAAAAAAAAAAAACCCTCTAATACAGACTTCCCTCTCCCTCTTCACACTTTATCATTTTTGAGATTTTTTTCTTGTTCAAATCACCCACTATGTGATGAAATGTATAGCTGAAGCCCATAACACAACAATATCTATTTACACTAATAGTAAAGCCTTGCTCTCACCTACTGCAGTGCAGAAATATTAACCTTTCACTTTCATATAGGAGATCTGTCTTAGTTTAAAAAGCTACTTCATAACTTCTTTTAATTTTCAACCTGTTATTTGTAAGTTATGATGCATCAAAATGATAGTGTCCTATCAAAGTCTGATACTTTAATTATACCAAGTGATATGAGTAATGAGTGATGCACATGGGCTGTAGGTTATCATATACCTTGATACTCTAATCATTTCACGCCCAAAACGCATCTTCAACATATGATAGCTGACACTACAGTTTAAGAGTTATTTCATGGGAAAGTTTGAAATACACATTTGAAATTGTGCTGTCCATATTCCATGGCATTTTATATATCATCACTGTGTTGTTATCTATACAACTGACGACCTACAGACAGATTTTTTTCTTGTGAACACATCTTGGAAGAATTCCGCACCCCAGGATGTTTATTAGAATAACTACAGCAATACCTTAAAACTACACAAATTACAAAGAGTATACTAATTACTTACTTTGGATATGCTGACAACTTCATATCCTGTAAGGAGGTCAAAGTCCATCTTAGATGTGTTGGACATAGTACTGAGTTCATAGAACTCTGGTTTAGAATGGACAGGGCTGTAGAGTACCAGTAGAAATGGTTCTGGAGGGGAACATATCCTGAAACATGTGTTATTTAATATGTAAATCACAAACACAAATCACAGAGGTGAAAGGTCATATATTCATTGATCAAGATGGAGTCTTTAAATCTCATTTATTTCTTATTCATTTTTTTCCTAAACTTACAAAATGGAAAGAAAATTGACACAAGTAAACTGCAAATGTTGGGAATAAGGTAAAATGTAAATGAGGCCACCACTACAATTAGGTTACCTAGGAAACGTCACACTACACTAGAATGTCAGGTTATTCAGTCAACAAGCAAGGTAAACTAGATATCAAAAAGGTCATAAGCAGCATAGAAAGGTCACCTAGACATAAGAAAGGTTGGAAGCAGAACAGCAAGGTCAACTAGACATCAGAAAGGTCAGAAGCACAACAGTAAGGTCAACTAGACATGAAAAAGGTCAGAAGCAGAATAGCAGGTCACATAGACATCAAAAAGGTCAGAAGCACAACAGCAAGGTCACACAGACATCAGAAAGGTCAGAAGCACAACAGTAAGGTCAACTAGACATCAGAAAGGTCAGAAGCAGAATAGCAAGGTCACACAGACATCAAAAGGTCAGAAACAGAATAGCAGGTCACATAGACATCAAAAAGGTCAGAAGCAGAATAGCAAGGTCACACAGACATCAGAAAGGTCAAGGTAAGGTCACACAGAAAGGTCATAGCAAACACAGACATCAAAAGGTCAGAAACAGAATAGCAGGTCACATAGACATCAAAAAGGTCAGAAGCAGAATAGCAGGTCACATGGACATCAAAAAGGTCAGAAGCAGAATAGCAGGTCATCTAGACATCAAAAAGGTCAGAAGCAAAATAGCAGGTCACATGGACATCAAAAAGGTCAGAAGCAGAGCAAAGAGGTAACACAAATACTGACAGACCATACAAACAATGACATTGCGACAGAGACACTTACATCTTAAAGCACAATATTGTTACTGTCAAAAACTTGTTAACACTCTTAATGTCAAAAAGACATTAACAAAGATAAAATGACAATGAGTAAACCGAAGTGTGTCACTATAAAACAAGGTTAAAAATAATCCTGTCATATACATTTCCACTGAGGTATGGAACAAATGCACAGGTCAACAAAGCAACTAATATGTTGATGAGAGGTAATTTGATTGTCTGTTACATAAAATATCGTAAGCATTGTATACAAGAATGTGTATTACCTGTCAGTGATACTGGAGTTATGGAGATACCGTAGACATGCGGCCCACACAAAGGGGCTGTACACAAATGGCACACCGCTCACCCATCTGTAAACAAACGAACACAAACTGCCAAGTTCCGACACTTACTGGCAATGTGCCAGAATATTGGTCAATCTATAGCTTATCATACATGTGTATGTTTTTTCTCAATCAGAAATATCACAGCACGAATTTATAATAATGTATGACAAACATTAATAGTTAAGTTTTAAAATGACAAACAATCTATGACCAGAAAGTTGTTCTTTGAGCCTAACCAATACTTAAGGAACATAAATTGGGTATCAGTAACTTTCATTTTTTAGCTACTCCTTTAAAATCATTTTTCACTTTCATACAACATTCACAGAGAGGGGTACTTACATTCCAACAAGAGGTAGATTGAAGACTTTGGGATCAGATTCCAAGACTAATAGCACTTTCCTTGTATGGTCCATTGTTAGGTAGCTACAAGTTAGATATCAGGTTTTAAATAATGCTACTTAAAGTTATCTATGGATTTTTTTTTTATCATAATTATTTAATAACAATTTAGAAGTGAGGTGCAATTAAATGGAAAACAACATAAGACATCATTGTTGTAAACATTTTGATCATATTCTCAAACATTGAGATAATTTTTGTATAAACATCACATAGATTCAGATCAGTGGTAAAATTGGTTCTTATATTATGTTTCACAAAATGCACTGGGACCATGCCCAGGTACCTTTTTAAAAATTATCCTTTTCTAAAAACTAAAAAAGACTTCTATCCAAAAAGAAACAAAAATAACAACAATCTGGATATTGTCTGCATTGTTTATACAGGGTAAAATGATGATGATCAGGTTTATATTAAATACACATCAATTTTTGTTGTAGGGTAATTTTTGTGACTTTGAAGAACATACACTGAAACTACAGATTTAGTATAGCCAAAAAATGCTCTTAAATGTATGGTAACTTAACAAACAATGAATTGTTCATTCAACACAATGTGAAATGGAACATTTCTAGAAACAGCTAAAATATCACTACCTGAAATCTTGTAAACACAGTTGACAAGACGACAGGCGATTATTATTAAGTACATACCCTGCTTTGGGTTCTCCCTGCAGGTGACTCAGACTCATAGGTCCCGACAGATTTTTAGACAAAGCGGTTGGCACTATAGGAACGGGGGTGATGGGCACAGCTTTGAACTCTGTACCCATAGTTATGACATCAAACTCCAGATGGTGCACACTCTTGTCCCCAGTAGAGAAGAAATTACACCAGCCTTTCACCAACAGAAAACTGCCAACATCTAGAGACTCTTTTGCACAACATCTCTGTTTTAGCACCTACAACAAGCAAACACAAATATGTGATGATGAAGTTCATTCAGAAATGGATTTGGGGGCTAAAATTCAAGATGATTTGTTCAGATGTTTTCAAATAATTTTGGATTAGTTTCTTATTTGTCTCATTTCAGCTAAGTTTCAAAGCATTTTTAAATGAAAATTTCGGAAATCTTGCATAAACATAATATAAGTTAAACTTCAAATGGCATTATTATCAGTTAAAAAAATCAAAATGATATCTAGGTAATGTTTAGCATACATAACATGTTTTTCTAAGACAGAAACTACTGTAACTTCAAATATTAAAAACATCTATTTGATAAAATTGTCAAACATTATCAGCAATTCTATCTGACAACATAATCTAGATTTCAAATCTGATTTGCAAATCAACGTAGAAGTCATTCTGTGAAGGTAATGGAATGTTGTAAGAATTACATACGATGACATTCACCTGGTTGTTAATCCTTGTTTTGTCTCATGCTACAATATGATTCTTCATTAATCCCCTAAGATTAGTACTGCAGTATAACAAGGGCTCTCCCATTGTCTGACCTACAGTAGAACAGCTTACCTTTAATCCCATGAGATAATCATCTATTGAGCTCTCCCTCTCCTTCTTAGTGTTGCCCATAATCTGTGAACAAAACCAATTGCCATACATAAATATATTAATGAACAGATGTTTAAAATATGAACTTTACCTGGTAGACCTCAAGAAAATATCTACACGTAAAGTGGTTCTCATACCACTGACTTCAGCAGAAATAAATCACTACTCTAGTACCTATAAATGACCTAGAGGTCAGTCACATGACAAGCTATACTTTAGGGGACACCTACCTGGATCCATGGCTAATTCAGTACAAGGTACTTGTCATCCAGTGCTAGTTCAATACTACCATACCCTTGTTTCTATATTTGTCTTTTTATACTTTAATTCAGTGGTTTAATAACACCACCTGTCGCACACACAAACACATACTACCTACTTGGAGTAATCAAAAAAAGTTTAAAAAGTAAAACGGTTTTTCAAGTTATAATACTTTGTTAATTTCTATAAAATATACATTGCAGTCAAGAATAAGGTGATGTTTATCTGAAATTTCTGACCTAGTGGCAAATCATCCTGACTCTGAAACATTGCTCTATTTACCATCTTCAACAACTAATTATTGTCCTAAAACACATATTTCAGAGATACATATTTTTGTATTTTACAAGAATATATTTAGTTAAATGGTAATTTCAAGATGTCACTCACATAATGTTTGTGGATCGACAAGTAGAAAAATATTCAAATGAATACAAATGTTGCTGCTGGCCTTTGTCATTTGCGGCCTGATAAGTGACAATATACAAAAAGTGTTGTGAACCAACAATGAATAACAGATTAACCCATACTTGAATAATTCTGTTTTGCTTCTGTGAACAGGCTTTCAATTTTCATATAGTATAAGTTATTTATAATTACAACAACTGTCCTTTTGCTTATCAGATAAATGGCACAAAGTTGACAAGTGTCTTAAAAACAATAAAATCGTTCTAGTTTGTGATAACTAATTTACCTACAAGGTTGCAAAGGATATGGCAGACTGATTATAAGACAAACATATTACTAACTTTTACTAAACTTCTGGAGGCGGGCTTATTACAGGACAGTGGAATAGAATTAATTCATAAGTTTACCAATTTATCTATTATACACTTACTGCAGGATTACTACCATTATACACAGATTGTCTCTCCACTCTCCTAATAAAAGTGTTGTTGATCTAGAAAGCCTAAACCCAGCTAAGGTATTCTCTAATGTAATTGATATACCTTTGTATATAGTTTTTATCAGAATCCCAATAGAAATTTAAATGCAAAATTAAAAGTGAAAGCAATGATTCAGGATGGGAGAAACAAGAATAAAACTGTGCCCATATACAACCCTTCATTAAATGACTTGGGCATTGAAATAGTTCGTCTGTATGTTCCAAATCCTGGAAAAAAGTATTCTCAATTGAAATAAAAGATTTCAGTTTGATGTGCCTCACTGAATCAGCAGAGTGAGTTAAACATGAGTACCAACCTGTAATGGTACTGCCATGTCCCCAGGGGTCAAAGCACCCACACTAGATGTCAATCCACCACCAGGGTCAAAACGGTCCAAAGTAAACTTGACACCCTCACCATCTTCCGAGAGAAAAATTTAAATATTTGGTAAAATCCAAGTAAAAACATAAAGGATGAAAATTCTGCAGTTTGAAATTGAACAGTTCCATTCAATATCCTAGCAGTGACAGGTGAGAAAGCCATCACACATTGTCAAATTTAACAGTAAAACAAGCCAGCACCTCAAGTAAATATACATTACATACAGTAAGTTTTAGATTTCATAAGGACAAGTTCTTAGAACAGTGGAAATAGCTCAATAGCAATGATAACTCTATACAAAAAATATGATAAAAAAGCATGTAAAAAGTAATTAAAGATATTATGGGTAAATCAAAAGCGAAACGTAAGCTAATCTTCCATATGGTAATAGAGAGGCATGCAGCTAAGGAAATAACACATACCTTCATCAATAGAGAGAGAGCCTACTAATGCACATGAGCATTCCTGCTGTCCTGTACTCTGTAAATGACGCTGAGCAAAACGGATCACACGCTCCAGTACACATAACTTTGGTTTCCTGCGACGTAAAGTAGACCATTTAATCCATCAGAAGAAATGCATGACTACTTTTTTTTCCATCAGATATATACTTTGACTATTATGCCAAGAAAAACCAAAATTCAGAAATGCATTTTCAACCCACTATAAAGCAACTTCCTCAAAAAAATCAAAATCTTATGAAGAAGACAATTTTCATCTAGAATGCATTTTTTATAAGAGGGTTCCTTAGTTGGAGTTCTGAATTTTTGATGAAATGAAGACAGGAAATTGCATATGAATAAAGTTGTTCAATAAAGATTAGTACATTAAACGTTTGGTCACTTATTTACAAACCTGTAGTAAGAGATGTGTAACTGCACTGGAGTGTCGATACATTTGTGATCCCAAAGAATTGCCCGAGTATTTGGGAACTTTAACATTTGATTTTCTTCTGAAGAGCTGAAAAACAAACATCACTAGAATGTCTTACATGTGTAAAATAAAGAATTCAAGAAAATTTGAAAGTAACCAATTGATTTGAAACTTGTTTCAAGAATAATTCATCTAATAGACATGACCACTACGTCTAATATATTAATGGTTTAATCATCCACAGCCAAAATTCAAATCTTGTAGGGAGCTATCATCTGGCAATTACCTAATCTTCATTTTGACAAAATAATATACATAATATTTTGGTATCTGAGAATTTCCTTACATAGACTGGAGCCTCTACAAATGATGATGGATCACCAATGTAGAATAGCTGACCATCAAACCAGACTAACAGTAACCTGTTACTGTACAATTTTGTCAAAGAAACTTTACCTTTTCTTCTGTCTTTGTATTTCTCCATTTTGGTTCAATTCTATAGAGGTTACAGGAGGTGATTCAAAGTGGACATGCGGATGCATCTGAAACTTGTTGGGTAGGCTTTTCACCTTCCCTGGCATTGCCATTGGAAATTAGAACTGAAAGAAAAGAAATTCTATTACATTCTAATTATGTATCACAACCATATATATACAGATGTATAATTTTTGGTTAAAGCAGAATATTTTTTTTAATTTTTGATTATATCTTATTCCATACATTAAAGCTTGTGTTGAAGCTATCCGTATACCTGGTAACCTTCTGAAGCATACAAAATTAAAAAGTTACAGATGGTTATCGTGAAAATCTTCTCTGTGTTCATAATACATGTAGAGCATGATCAGGATTAATTTCAAAACTAAGTCACATTAGTAAACACATACATTCAACGCCATGATGGCAGAAGTAGCTTGCAGTGACAACAGTAATTTGTTTCTTTTGTAAGAAGTAAATTGTAAAGGATGTGGCTCACAGTTAAGTACTATATAAACTACTATGTGACCATTTGCCGGCTAAAATGTTTCCCAAGGTAATGAGGATAACCATTTTATTTCATTAACTACTAATTGTTGTTTATTTCTCAGCAAATCCTGATTGCAACATGTAACCTTTGTACACCTGGAACATTCATGTGCCACTCTATGGTATGTCCTGAATGCACGAGGTTTCATACCTAAATGTTATCTGGTGTGAAAGTTATGATTGGATGAGAGAATTGCATAGTTTCAACCTATTCCCTGCACATTTCATCCCATTTCGCACACCCAACTTTAATTCTCCATCAAGCCGTCATACAATCAACACATTGTGCACCAGATTCATGTTCATAATTAGCCAGCCCTGGTAAGTCGGAATAAAGTTTCTATGAATGTTCTACAACATATGAATGCAGTATACGTCACAGAAAATTACATTACAATGTAAATGCATTATGTAATTATGTCCATGTACTATGTCAACGATTTATATGTTGTGGGTTTTGTCAATGAAATTACCAAGGTTGTCAAGTCATAACCAAACCAAGTGGCTACCAATATATACTTAAGTTTAGGTAAGCACACTCACACCACAAAAATAATCACTTCACTGTGATGATTTAACCTGGGACCTAGGTATAGATGGATCTAAGTCATTGGCCTGTTCCATACCTCAGATCTTCATCTGAGGTTGCTAAGTTAAATGTTCTACCAACTGACCTATTGCATCCCCAGCAACATCCAAGGAGTCTATCGATCCATAAAATTCTCTGCTAAAACAATGAAATTGCTATCACTATGAGGAGTGAGGGTTTCACCAGCAATGAATTGCAATACAAACAGCTATTTCATGTATAAATAGCATCATTGTAATTTAGAATCCATGAATATGATTCTTTGGTTACACAATCATCAAACATTTTTTGTACATTCTTCAGTAATGGTTTTTACCAAAATGAAATATACATACCTTACAACAGGGTACATATTGTAACACGTAATGGTGTAGCTTTGCATGTTGCAGGTTACTTGTATCCACAGAAGTTACTCCACCCTAGCATAAAATCCTACTTATATTGGTAGATATGAATCAAAAGTGGTGACCGATCACACGGTTCACTGAATTAAACCCTCATCATATTTCTTTTTGCTTGCCTTGAATGTCATATTACTTCAGTGCACTAATACACACTTGTTTGAAGCCAACCTGAAACACGCCCCGGCATGTTTACAGTCATCCGCGAACTTCCGAGCATTTCAGAATCTACCAAAATGACACTTTGAACATGGACAAACCAATGAAATTAACTCATTGTTATCAAAGATGAAGTTTTATTCGGGGAAATATTTCGAATAATGCAACGTTTTAGCACAAACTACCTTTGACATGTTTGTTTACAACCGGAAGTCGGCTTATTCCAAAGCCGTTGTAGCAAGAATATTCACGTGTATGGAATTTTTGATGTTTCAGGTTTCCAGAATCATTTAGGTTGAATATTCGAGTTATGCAAGAATTGTCTGTACCTAAATCGATCATTGATCACAACCTTTATAAAAATAATGATTAAAATGTCACAGTTCACTTACCTTTGGTAGGAAAACATTGGCGCTTCGTACTCAAAATTTTTAATTCATTGCGCATGTTAAAGTATTCATTTCCGGTCGGTGTACAGTGGCTATTTTTTTTTTATTAACACGTCTACTGGCTGTTAAGTGCGTTTTCGGTAAGTTGACAACGTATTTAATTTCAAGCTAGTACTAGAAATTCATTTATATAACATATATACAACTGTCAGACTTAGTAAGGCAAATTTACCTGTCCTCATGTGGTATTTTTCAAATACGCCAACTCGGACATGCTTACACTATTATCGCGATACTTCGCCCAGTATTATACTACTGCACAAAGTCATTTCGTCCAACGAAAGCAAAAGAGAGATTTCGGCCATGTCTTTTTAAATTTTACATATGTAGGCGTACCGCCGAATAGCTACTCACTATTTGTATATATAAATCAGCATCTCATACAAATATTTGCAAGACTCAAATAAATTATTTAACTAGTGACAGTGTGACTTTGTTAAAATCTGACACAAATCAAGAAAGATATCCCCAGTTCTGACTACATGCTTATGTTTTTTTAGTGCTTAGAGCCCTAATAATGAATTCAGGGCATATCATGAAGAGCATGCTCAGTTGCTTTGACAGCTAACAGACTATTTGATTTTTTTTACTTATATCTTGTTATATATGTCTTGTATACTCTATATATTCTTGTGTGATAATTTCGCATGTGTCTGGAAAATGAAGGCTTGATTTGTTTGTATTTTTACTGGGACTTTTAACTCAGAAATGAACACATTTATAGATTCTTGATTCACGATAGCCAGTTATAATAACTAATCAACGATATTGAAATCTCAACCCATCTCCATGGACACGGGAAAATAGTTACGAGTGTTTACTACTTTAATTGTTTGGAGGTCTCTACCTTTGCACTGCGCTGCAAAAGGTGCATATTTCAGTCACACTTGACTGGACATGATCAGTTTTTACATGTCTAATTACACTAACCCACCATAATGATGGTATGCAGATATTATCATGACTATGTTTTGAACCTTCATATAATGTATAACTTCCTATATTTCAATACATATTATACACCGCACCTATGAGCGACTTAAACACTTTAAATAGTTATTGGTACAGATTAATTTCCTAGTCGTGTGAGGGGAGAGGCAGAAATTCCTCGAACTCGGATTCCCTGCCTATTCCCCTTAACATGCTGTATATGTACAATGTGTACATGTGGATAATTACAACAAAGATTTCAGGTTTGGGTGATAGTCAATGTTTATTACAATTACGTAATTTTTAATATTACGTAACGTTGCAAAACAAGTATAATCTTGTTATCTTGAAAGTTATGTAATCATTACACAATATATTGATAATTAATAATATGAAAATCACATGTAATAAACCAATTAGTAAATTGTTCCATTCGTGAATTGTATATAAGGAGGAAACCTTGACAAAGTTAACTAATCTATATATCTAAACTATCCTATATATAATCTACGCTAAATGTCAAATAAAACGAGAACTAATACAAACAACTAAACAAGGAAAATTCAGGCCTAGTCAATACACAACCATAAAATGGGTGGGAGGTGTGGGAGAAAAATTTAAAAATATCGCTAGTGTGCGGTGCTGCAGAATATGTCTGCTCTGATCAGAGTTTCTCAGAGAAGTGACGCTATTTGAAAATTATCTTTATTTCTAAAATTTAAACCAGTTTAAAATCATTGGTCCTCGCTTATCTTATGAGAGAGAAAGTAGATTCCCATGGGGGTACACAACGTTGTGTACGTTTGCAACTGCATGAAGGAATCCGAGAGTATCCGAATGTGGTTTAGGTAACGCGAGGGCGCGATCTTATGAGACTACGTAAAGGGGATGTTACTACCGATTTTTTATTTCTGCACTAGTCTCCCAATATATATAAAATAAAATGTACATGGAGAAAAACCCTAATAGAACTGTAAGTATGTGTACTATCTATAGAACTAAAAAGTCCCGGCCTTCGCAACCGGAAGTAGAGTTTGGAGTTTATCAAAATACACACAGATGCGACTTACAAACGTGTACACCAGTGTAGTGTCAGGCCGACTGTAACTCGTCAGTGGAAGTACAGATGGTGGAAGTATATCTAGCTCTCCCAGCAATTAATATGATATTATCGACATAATATATACTTCATTTTCATAATATCTTTAAATTCTGATAATTTTTAGTTAAAATTTCTCTATTCCTTTTTCTATATTTTCTTTAGAGTACATATTATGTATTTCAACTATAGCAGTTACAATGCAATTTCAGTAGTCAATAGCCTGAAAGATATTAAAAATTGCCTTATCTTTCTGTAGGATAATGGTGATCATAAAAGTGGGTAATTACAATGATATATACACTTGGTAGTTAATATAGTCTAATTGCTTTATTCAGCTGACAGAAAAAATACTTTCTATTTTCTCCCTTTTTTCAAAACATACGACTATGTCTCGTTTATAGTGAAACTGTGTATACACCTATACGGAGAAATTGAGAGATACAAAGACCACTGTGACTTGAGAGGGAAAAATGTGAAATATGAATGCAGCTCCCAGGTTGATGTTATTGTTGATTGGAGAAAACTTGACTTTTTTGTATTCTGTTACAAATTGCTTATACATACCTTTATTGTAGTATTCGATGGGTAAAATAATATTCTCCAACACAATATATGTTTATATTTCATATGGAAACTATGCATCCACTTATGATCATACAGGATACCTTTTCAGAACAACAGTAATACTGATCAGAGAGACTGACTTCATAATTATATGATTGTATGCACTTTTAATGAAAAGTGGAAAAAAAAGTTTAAGTGTGAGGGATAGAAAAAGAGAGAGAAAAAATAAAAGACTTTTCGTTTACACATCCTCTCATAAGCTTTAGACCTGAAGTCAAGTGAAAAATAGAAAATGAGCACATTGTGACTTCATATTATATGTTCCCATTTCACTCAAAAACTATCATATTCCATGTCGCTCTTACATACAACTTCCTCTGTTTTAATATTACTATCAAGTTCAAGTTTTGAAATCAGTAATATTTAGATGGTACTGGTTCAATATTTGCTTATAAATATAAACAGCATGTAATTATATTCATTAGATCCAGATTTTGACAGCTTCCCTCTGTTGCACGGTATGTGTCTACAAGTGTCTCAAGTTTATTTTTTAAAGTGCATTTTGCAATCACTACTTGGTTACAAACTCAACTGTCACCATTGAGTTGGTTTCTCTACAAGGTGCAAGACTGATTAGAATATGATTAAATTTTTTATTTGGACGGTGTATGGTGATGCTGAAAATAATTTTTTTTTTTTTTACTTTTTTTTTTTTCAGGCCATTCGAAAAGGCCATCCAGCAAAAATCAAGATTTTGTTTTCACTCTTTCGGCACTGTGCCCCTAAGTTCCGCCATAACATCTGGAACAAATCCTTGGCAAGAGGCTTGAAAACCATGACGGACAAGTACAATGTGATTTTTATCTTAGGAGGACCTGGGGCAGGAAAGGGAACACAATGTAATAAGATAGTGAAGGTAAATAAAAGATGAGCATGGTGCAAGGTCTTTCAAGTTTGACAAGATAATTATGATATGTCCAGGAAGTTAATACAAAAAAAGGACATTACATGTATATGTCTTTGTTTCCTTTTAACTTTGACTAATGAATAAAAGTAGTGTCCTGATATACACAGATGATGATGAATTGAATGAAAATATGTGCTATGTAGTATTTGGTATATCTGAAATAAGAACATAGTAAATTCAGTGTTGCAGTCATTGAATTACATGTACAATGTACATGTACAGTTTTTATATCAATTGTAGACAAACTGCAAAGCATGTTATTTTTCCTTTTTCATTTTTGATGTCATTGTTTATTATATGAGATTCCATTCTTATGTGAGGTTCAAGGAGTTGGAAATGTAAAAATTAATCAATGTCATGTTAGGGCAGGGACAGATCACGTAATGGAATGGTCAGTGCCATGGGAATTAAAAATGCCACCTTAAGTAACAGTCAGTGTCATAAGGAAGCAAAAAGTCCCGTATTGTAATAGTCAGTGTCATAAAGAGGGGAGAAGTCCCGTATTGTAATAGTCAGTGTCATAAGGCAGGGAAAAGTCCCCTATTGTAATAGTCAGTGTCGTAAGGAAGGGAAAAGTCCCGTATTGTAATAGTCTGTGTCATAAGGAAGGGAAAAGTCCCCTATTGTAATAGTCTGTGTCATAAGGAAGGGAAAAGTCCCGTATTGTAATAGTCTGTGTCATAAGGAAGGGAAAAGTCCCCTATTGTAATAGTCTGTGTCATAAGGAAGGGAAAAGTCCCCTATTGTAATAGTCTGTGTCATAAGGAAGGGAAAAGTCCCCTATTGTAATAGTCTGTGTCATAAGGAAGGGAAAAGTCCCGTATTGTAATAGTCTGTGTCATAAGGAAGGGAAAAGTCCCGTATTGTAATAGTCTGTGTCATAAGGAAGGGAAAAGTCCCGTATTGTAATAGTCTGTGTCATAAGGAAGGGAAAAGTCCCGTATTGTAATAGTCTGTGTCATAAGGAAGGGAAAAGTCCCCTATTGTAATAGTCAGTGTCATAAGGAAGGGAAAGTCCCGTATTTTAATAGTCAGTGTCATAAGGAAGGGAAAAGTCCCGTATTGTAATAGTCAGTGTCATAAGGCAGGGAAAAGTCCCCTATTGTAATAGTCAGTGTCATTAGGAAGGGAAAAGTCCCCTATTGTAATAGTCAGTGTCGTAAGGAAGGGAAAAGTCCCGTATTGTAATAGTCTGTGTCATAAGGAAGGGAAAAGTCCCCTATTGTAATAGTCTGTGTCATAAGGAAGGGAAAGTCCCCTATTGTAATAGTCAGTGTCATAAGGAAGGGAAAGTCCCGTATTGTAATAGTCAGTGTCATAAGGAAGGGAAAAGTCCCCTATTGTAATAGTCAGTGTCATAAGGAGGGGAGAAGTCCCTATTGTAATAGTCAAGGTCATAGAGAAGGGAAGGTCACCTTAAGTAACGGCCAAGGTCAATGAGAAGGGAAGGTCACCTTATGTAACGGTCAAGGTCAATGATAAGGGAAGGTCACCTTATGTAACGGTCAAGGTCATAGAGAAGGGAAAACCCTAATTGATATTATTATTATTGCATTCTTAACGGCCCGTCAACACATAAAAAATCATTAGGGCCATCAAAAGGTAAAACACACAGAGATCAAAAAGGAAATAACATTAAAGAAACCAAAAGGTAAAAGACAAATGCTAAAAATCTTAAATGGGTATATTTACACAAAAGATTAAGATGGTATGTCCTGGTCTATTATGTAGACCAATATCTTTAAGGTACTTTAGAATTTTACAAATCTCAGCAGTTTCAAAAAGGGTATTTAGACATGTAATGTTACAATAAAAACACCCTCGAGTAGACAGAAGGTCAATGCAGTCCTATAGAAAAATGTAATAGTCAAGGTCATGGAGAAGGGAACCTTCACCTAGTGTAATAGTGAGTGTAATAGGGAACGGAAAGGTCACCTTATGTAACAATCAAGGTCATAGAGAAGGGAAAGGTCACCTTATGTAACAATCAAGGTCAATGAGAAGGGAAGGTTACCTTATGTAACGGTCAAGGTCATAGAGAAGGTTTGTCTGACATGACAAACACAATGACAATGTACTTTTTCTTATTGGTCAAAATGGCTTTCCTACAGTGATGACAAATGTGGTGAAATTCATATACATGTATTATTGAATTTCATCATATTTCATCCTATTTTAACACTACATATATCATCTACAACTGCGTTGATGTTTAAGGGACATATGTTACAGTTAGTACTTGTTTTATGTGCAGTGATTCCTGTATTTAGTGTACCAATACATACTTGTCTATACCATAGCTACCAAAACTGACCTACAATGTTATCAGTAACACAATGGCAAATTGCACACTCATCTTTCTACAAAAGTAGGAAATATACATATTTCCTTGAAAGGGGAGACATGTTTTTGTTCACCAAAACAAATCTCTAGCTTTCACTGTATTTACATCCTGTTGACTTTATTATTCCATTGATAAACAAAGTATCTTCATGTTTTACTTTTTATATATATATATATATGTGGTGATCATGATATATTTTAAGGTTATATATTAAGAAGATATTTAAATATGGGTGTAAATATTTGTACATACCAAAAAGAAACCCATTTAGACTACCCTTTGTTGACCAATAAACACACTTCATAATATCAGTTTATTATTTGCAGGAGTTTGGATTTGTCCATTTGTCCGCTGGTGACCTTCTGCGGGCGGAGAGAAATGAACCAGACTCAGAGTTTGGAGAAGAAATCGCTCAACACATTAAAAATGGTTCAATCGTACCAGTGGCAATTACATGTTCATTACTTAAAAGGGTTTGTATTGATAACCTCCTTCATATATATAATCCTGTTGAATCTGAAATACAACACTGAAAGTATTTTGGAATATTCTTCCGTTTTTATGTTCATCACACGTTCAGTTTGTATCTCACATACTCTTAACTATAATTCCTACTCTTAAATGTGTCTTGGACAATAAAGATTATGAATTTGAAGAAATAAATAAATAGATAAATAGATAAATAAATAAATAAGCATTTATAAAGTTTGCCAATATACAATGTATGCAAACAATGGTTTCAGTTTTCTGGCATGCATGTATAGTTATGCATAAATGCTAAAGAAACAATTGAAAGTTTCTTTGTATAAAGTTCTATGGTAAAAAATGTGTTTATTTACAGGAAATGAAAAGGAGCAAGGAAAACGATGATAAAGATTTTTTTCTTATCGATGGTTTCCCAAGGAACAATGACAATTTGGATGGATGGAACTCAGAAATGTCTGGCCTAGTAAACCTTAAATCAGTTTTAGTCTTCGATTGCCCTAAAAAGGTAGGTACTAGGCTGCAAGCAAAATATTGACTCCAATGCTTGTAAAACACAACAATAAATTTCCCACTGGTTAAACAACAATGCAGTGGATTATTTTGTAATGGTTCAGGTATACTGGGAGGAGGGGAAAGAAAAAAATGGTTTCACACTAAAAGAGTGGGATCTTTTTTCATTTCGGGAACAAAAAACATGCAGAAATTATATTGAGTATGTTGTAATACAGAGTGCCTTTATGTTACACTGTTTCAGGTTTGTGTTGATCGATGTCTAGAACGAGGTAAAACAAGTGGTCGCACAGATGACAACAAAACAAGCCTAGAAAAACGGTGTGTTGCATAACCCTCCCAAGAGATAAACTGAACTTTGAAAATAAGTCTGATCAAGAAGTGTTATGTCCTGAGAGACATACTTTCTAGATTTATTTATCTATTCATAAAAATACATACAGTACTGCAATATTGCTTTATTTGCTAAGTATTTTTAAATATCCACTATAAAAATGTAGGAAAACCTACAAGGATTATCTGGAATTATGAGACAATATAATTATTAGTAACTTAGTGCAATTCGCGCAGGCCTTATATCCAAGAATCATTTGCTAGTAAGGATAAATATTTAAAAAACTACCTACATGATGAAAATCCAGCCTGAAAGAGGGTAGAATCTGTGTATGCATTTTGTCAATCTCTACCCTGAATTGTTGTTACATATAGTCATTAACATTTTAGTCATCGACAGAGTCATGAGGACAACTCTGTGCTCAGATATTGACAACATGCTTGTTAAAAACCTTCTTCAGTATATTTCATTGTTGGTAGGGAATATTGGAAATATTGTGATTGTTGTTATTCCTTATGCAGAATACAGACGTTTACAGACAGTACCATGCCAGTTATAGAGTACTATCGCCGTGAGAACTTGGTCAATGAGGTATCCGCAGAAAGACCAGAAGACGAGGTAGATTAAGTAGAGTTATAATATCCGTTTTTTCATTTATGGAAATAAATTTCAGAGAATTGTATTGCTTTATCAGGTTCAATGATAAACTTATGTTTAATAATGTAAAATGTCACTTAATTTTACTGAATCATATGGTATGCCAGGTTCATTTTTTAAATTATATTTACTAAGTCCTATTTGTTCTGGAGCATAATTTGCCAATAATTTAGATAAGGTTTATGAAACATGGTATGTACATCAGCTACACTAAGATGATGTACATTGTCCTAGATTCAAAGCCCTCACAATCCCTTATTTACAGAGTTATTTCCCTTCTTTTAAATTTTGTGTCTATTGCATAATTTTGCTTGCATTTGAAATAGGACAATGACACTTGGTGTATGTAGTGTACAAATACCAGGGCCCAAAACCACTTATTTACATAGTTGTTGCCTTTTGTAAACATTTTATGTCCAGAGCATAACTCTGTTTGAATTGGTGACAATGAAATTCTCTTAGAAAATGCAATTTTTTGATAACCATATTAAAGCCTATAACCTTTGATCTCTTGGTTATCTTCCTGTCAAGTTGCAATTCATAATCATTCTTAAACACATATACTTATAACAACCAGTGGCAAAAGCTGACATGTACATTGAGACTTTTATATATCAAACATAAGTATATGCATGTGTCTAACATAAATAGTGTTAGTAATATAGTAAAATGTCATTCTTTCCTCTTCCAAAATCCATCTTCAGACCTTTTTACAGACAGGTGTAATTAATATACCAAATACAAAATTCACAGACAGGAAATATCTCCAATAAATAAAAATATCTACCTTCACAGTATTGGAGTATCTGTAAAAATGTCTGGAATAAATGTCTACTCCAAAATGAAAACCCAATGGAATTCATTATACAAGCAGACTGAAGTTCTGACATCAGTAAACAAGTGGATAAATGTTAATACATTTAAAAATGTGTACTTGTTGTTTTTATCTTCAATCTATCATATATGACCGACGACTCCAGATATAACTATGTGAAGGGAGGTAATCAAATGTTAAAGAAAGAGAACTCAAGAATGATAGCCCCAAGTATGACAAGTTCCTGCGTACAGTACACACCCCTTTTTTGACTTGACAGTTTTTGCCTAAAAAAGTGTACACTATACGCGCAAATTATGATGTATAGTGCGGTTTCATTGTTAGGACTCAACAATGATGGCAGATATGATATACATTCAAACTTTCACTGAAATAAGACCTTAGCAGTGATATTATATAATGAATGAAAGCTGTTTTTATCAAATGAATATATGTTCGATTGTTAATATTTACGTAAGAACAACCCATTCATTTACTTTCAGGTTTTTGAAGATGTGAAGAGGATCATCCAAAAAATTCAAAGTGAAAATAACTCTTAAGGAAAAATGTGTTTTGTCTCTTGAATCTTTAATCCATGGCAGTAAGGGATCACAGTAATCATGTAGGTAGAGCAGTTTACCATTCAGGTACCAAATAAGTAGATGTATTAGTACTTGAACTTTCCTGATATAGTGTACTTAAATTTAAAAAAAAAAGGACAAAATTGTACATGTGGAAGGTAATGTCAAATGTGCAGTAATATATGTTACCACAGACTTTGATGTCATAAACCTTTAAGATTCTAAGGCATAGTAATGAACAAATAGCTCTTTGGTAAATCGTGGTTTGTAGTTAGAGCCATTTTTTCCCCCTTTTTTTTTTCTTGTTTTGTTTTGCAAGCTACAGTCCAGCATATACTGCTGTCCGAGGGTGTAAAATACTGGAATCTAAGGGTTTTAGAAATGTGGGAATATATTGGTGATGGAAATGTGGAATTCTGATGGGATAAAAATGTGGGAATATAAGGGTGATGGGATTGTGGGAATTTCAGGGTGATGGGATTGCGGGAATTAAGAGGGGATTGGATTGTAGGAATTTCAGGGTGATGGGATTGTGGGAATTTCAGGGGGATGGGATTGTGGGAATTAAGAGGGGATTGGATTGTGGGAATATAAGGGTGATGGGATTGTGGGAATTTCAGGGTAATAATAATAATAGACTTTATTTCAGGTCGATAACACTTTGAGTCAAAGACTCTTCTTACAAGCGGTCGACAGTAAAATGTATAGTATTTACAACATTAAATTACATTGTATTATTAAAAGGTTATAACATCACATATAGAGTAAATGTATCACAGTGAACATAATGATAGTTTTAATTTGGATCATTAATTAAAAGTAGTGCACTACATAAAGCTCATGATGCATATATATTGGAATTAAAACGCATATTCAAGTGTCCAATATACATATATGTCAGTGTGACAAATAATAAAATTTAACTGACTATACGCTAATATAGCATATATTAAAATTGATTGATTGTAGCTAAAAAGATGGACATTTAATTCTAAACTAAAAGTTACTGGACAGTCATATTACTAAAACCTTACAAGGCCACTGGAAAGTAGTTAGAATCATAACTAAGATAGATTTAAAAAGTGTTTTTTGCATTCCACCTTGAAAGTTTTTAATGTCCCACTTCCAGTCACAGTAACTGGTAAACTGTTCCAGAGTAAAGGACCATGGTATATAAATGAACTTTTAAATTTTTCAGTTTTGTGTTGAGGTAATACATATTTACCTGAAGTTGCTGACCTAGTTATGGACATTGGAGACCAGGGTATTACAATTTAGATAGTTTGGACATAGTTTGTTGATAACTTTATACATCAGTATACACTCATTATACTTCACCCTGTTGCTGAAAGGTAACCATTTAAGTTTTAAAAATAGTTCATCTCCAGAGACAATGTAGTCAGCATCTAAAATTATGCGGAGTATTCGGTTTTGCATTCTTTCAAGTTTTTTCAGGTATGTTTGAGAACAATGCCCCCAAACATTATAACAATAATCAAAGTATGGTAAAATGAAACAGTTAAAAAACGTGATTCTTGAAGATACTGGTAAAAATTGTTTAATTCTACACAGTTTGAATATTTTGAAATTTACTTTTTTGATTACTTCTTGGGCGTGTTTATCCCAAGTAAGTGTATCATCTATGCACACGCCTGGTAATTTTTCGTTTTTCACATTTTCTAATTTTGAATCACCAGACTCGTCACATAATATACACAGTTCATTTGACACTCTCTGTTTTCTCTGTTTTCTACCTATCAACATTACTTTTGTTTTTTCTGTATTAATAACCATTTTGTTTGATCCACACCAACTTTTTACATTAGAAAAATCAGATTGCAGACAAGACTCAATAACATCAATATTTTTGTCTGCTTTTTGCATTGATGTGTCATCTGCATACATGAAAATTTCACACTGATTTGAGTAAAGAGGCATATCATTTACGTACAATAAAAACATCAATGGTCCAATTATTGAACCTTGGGGTACACCGGTTGTTACTTCATTTGGATTACTTAAACAAGTCTTAAAAGAAACACTCTGTAGTCGTTGTGATAGGTAAGATGTGAAAAAGAGTTTTGTATTTTCTGAACATCCATATATTTTCATTTTTTGGAGTAGGATTTTATGATCGACAAGGTCAAACGCCTTTCTAAAATCAATGTACATGACACCAATAAGGTTACCTTTGTCTACCTCCTCATACCATCTGTTTGTTAAAGCTGTTAAAGCAGTTTGACAGGAATGCATACTTCTAAAACCAGATTGGTTTTCAATAATTAAGTTATGCTCTGTTAAAAATCTATACAAGGTAGAAGGAACATGTTTTTCTAGAAGTTTAGACAGGACAGGTAAAACTGATATTGGTCTATAGTTACTGACAACGCTTTTCTCACCCTTTTAAAAATTGGGTTAACTTTTGCATGTTTGAATACATCTGGACACACATTTTGCCTAATGCACATATTTAACAATGTGGTAATAGACTCAGCTACAACATCAGCTGACATCTTAAGATACTTAGCAGATATACCATACAACCCTGTAGCTTTACTACAGTCTATATTGCTAAGAAAATTTTTGACAAAAGACACAGTAATTTCCGGTATATCATACATGGTGTCTGCAGGCAAATGTTTGGAGACAAAAGAATGAATATTGTTTAAACAATCTGGTAACATGTTTGAATTGTTTTCTGAAATGTACTCTTTCACAATATTTGTAAAAAAATTGTTAAAATTAATCGCAATTTCACTTGGTTCGTCAATTTGTTTATCACTAAAAACAACAAAATCTGGCTTAGTATCGCCTTTACTAGGCACTAACTGCTTAAAATATTCCCAATATTTGTTCGGCTCCTTTTTACAAGATCTAAAACATTTTTATAAAAATCACTTTTATAGGGTGATGGGATTGTGGGAATTAAGAGGGGATTGGATTGTAGGCATTAAGGGGTGATGGGATTGTGGGAATTTCAGGGTGATGGGATTGTGGGAATCACAGGTTTGACAGAAGGAGTTCTGAAATCCAAGAACTACAAAATTATGGTTATTTGAAGGTGACAAAAATGTTTGAATCTAACGGAGAAGGAAATTTGTGAATATAAGGGCAGCATGAATCCCTAGAAATTTGAAATGGTATACGTATTTGAATGTGAATTATGGCCCATTCACATGTTGATAACTATAGTAAGTACTTGGATATATATCCAGGTTGGTATGTCCTTAGTTTTTTTGTTATAGTGCATTTAAGATATTTTTAACAGTGACACTACAGTTCTTTACCAGATGGTAGTTTCAATTGAAATGACTACAATTGGTACACAACTGCTTCTGTCTATGTCTAGCATTTATGTAGTCCTTCTACAGCTTTGTAGTCTGGGTAGTCGCTTATCAGTATATTTGTCACAATCAGTTCATATTTACATATATGTACAGTAATCACAAACAACTTGGTGTGCAGGTTTGACCAACACTTCGTTTGATATCAAGTGTTTTTAGATGTTTTAAAACATGGTGGCAAGATCCATTGCATTTTCTGTTTTGAATCAAAAGCATAGTTGATGTTATATTTTGTTGATGACTTAATTATGAAGTAGTGTAATTAGTGGATTTCAATGATTATTGATTTATCAATATGTTGACATATTCATATTTATATGAATACAATCAGTTATTAGAACACAAATAATAAAAAAATGTGCTATTTCTTATAATTTTTGTTTGATTTTATTTCATATTGATCAATTTGGCCAGTTTGTCCCTTGACATATTATCTCACCAAGGTGAACCCACACCTCTAATATGAATTTAGTTGTGTAGAAAAATAGAGCTCAGACAATCCTTTTTCCTTTGATATAGGTCAAAGGTCAAAATGTAGGTTAGACCTATGCTCGATACATGCTGCAGTGGTGAACTCATACCCAATGAAGTTCCAGTGATCAGTAATGTAGGGGATAGAACCCTAACAAACTTTTCTTAATGTAGGTCAAAGGTTAAAATATAGGTCAGAGTGACCTCTTTTGATACACTTTGGATCCTAACTGAACTTGTCTACAAAGTTTGATGATGGTTCCTTTATTAGTCTATTTGATATAGCTGCAACAGTCTTCATACAGCAAAAACCAAATCGGCTGCTGGCAAAATTCTATTACATAATTAATTGTATAATATTTAACCACACTCCAAATGAATTTGTTGATAGAGATTCCAAAATATCCAGTCGTTAGTTCTGTGGAAATAGTAATCACAAACATCAGCTGTCGGTTATGTTGACATCCAGATCCTCTTCCAAATGTGGCATAAATATAGCAACTCATTTCCATGTCATAACTGGACTAATTCAATACTTTATGAGGAATAGAAAGATCACAAAGTTTCAATGTCAGAGTCCAAAAAGACCACTAACAGCCATCAAGAAAACTAGATTAAATTTGATTTAGGAAAGCACTTCTGCAGTTCTGAAGAAATGGTTATCATGAAATTAAAATATTAAAATTTTAGAAAGAACCTATTCAAAGCTCTGCAGAAACATCAGATGTCAAACCTTTGGACAATTTTTAATTACATTCTATATATCTAAACAAATGACTGCACCGAAGAAATTTTCAAAAGTTCAATTATTATAAATAAAAAGAATGAATTTAGGAATGTAAGGCAGACATTTTCAAATTTTAATGAACAGAAAGAGAATTTTCATCATTTGTTTAGTATTATCTACGTGATAAAGTTGGAGAAACAAACTAGATGCCAAATGCCATTATACAACTCTCCATGTAATTAGTACAAATAGGTCATTTTATCAGTAAGTGTTGTTATTTGCAAGTTTGCATAGACACTTTGCTCAAAACTTAGAAAATGATATGATTATAGCATTGAATCTCCAGAGGAAAATAGTTATGTGATGAGGTGACTTCTGTCTTGTGATTATCATCTTTTATACATTATTCAAATCAGCTTTGATTCATTTTACCCAGACACAATAATATGAATTGCATATGAGATGGAATATTGATCTTTCTGGCTTATAATGTCATTATGAAGTACTTTCCAGGCAAAATACCAAACTTTTTTGACACTAAAATTTAACCCAGTTAAAATTAAATGTTATAAACATGAAACCTCAGTAACCCAAAAAACACCCCCCCCCCCCCACCCCATCCTTTTCATATCACTAGACCTAGACCAACCATTTATGTAAAACTAATTATCCTTCAATTAACGAGCTTTAGACCATACTTAGACCAAATCCAAGCGTTACTGCAGAAGAATTTGAAGGATTTTCCTTCTAGGCCCCCGCCCCTTCCTTCCCAGGAGATGCAGACCCTCCATTTATACAGAATTGATTCTTCTACAAAGGAGATTGAAATCAAATTGGGACAGAATCTAATTCCTGCAGAAGAAGGATTTCAAGGGATATGCTCAAATTTCCCTGCACTGGGGCCCAAGATACCTTCTTACATACAAGATTGATTTCCTTTCCTGGCATTGGATTAGTTTATATTGGGCTTCTGCCCCAGGGTGCCATGACTCACCATTTATGCAGAATCGGGCCAGTCCCAACCTATCAATATACAATCGATTTCAATTCAATCAAGGATGATTAAGATTAGACCAAATTAGGTCAGAATCCAAGCATTCATGCAGGAGAAGCATTCTAATAGATTTCCTCTATTTTCACTTTTGGTTCCTGCCTCAAGAACCATCACTTGATTCTTCTTACCAAGGATGGAAACAAGTTTGTATAAATGATGGTTCTCGGCATCCAGGGACCTGATTTCTCTTCGCACAATGATGCATCTGACAAAATTTGGGCAAAATCCATTTATCCCTACAGAAGGGCAAGAGAATTACACCAAATTTTCTCTTTCCTTTAATGGGCTCTGGCCCTACCATCCAAAGGTGCCTGGCCCACTGGTTGAACCAAACGGAACCCCCTTTACTGAAGGATACTTCAGGCAAACTTTGGCCACAATCAATTCATTCCTACAAGAAAGAAGACTTTTACAAGAAATTTGCTCTATTTCCCCTGTTGGGCCAAAAACCTCCCCTCCCTTGGAGGCAGATACTCACTGTTCATATATATAAAATTGATTTCCCTTCACCCAAGGATGCTTCAGAACAAATTTGAGCAAAACGTAATCATTCCTACAGAAGAAGATTGTATAGAATTTGCTTAAACAACTCCTTTGGGGCCTTGCCTAAGTTCCCTTCCACTAAGGAAGCTTCTGGCCAAATTTGGTCAAAATTACCTCATTCATTCATGACTAGTGGCGGATGCCAGACGCCACACCATTAACTCAACAGTCTTTCAGACCATGTGAGCTATAAAGGATTTTAAAGACTCTATTTGCCCTATTGTGCCCTGCTACTCCTGCCCCAGCTGGCTGAAACCAGCAAGTTTTACACAAGCGATCCATCCCATAGCGATCTTAATGCCCACCATTGTTTGATCTTTGTTTTTTAAAAGTGAAATCTTTTGTCTTCTCTCCTCCTCTGTTTCTGCTCAAAATCATAGGAAATTTGAACATTCCTTTGCAGAAATAGCGAAAATAATCTTTTACTCCCAAATCTATGATGGTCATCAGATGATAATTGACTAAAAGTTGAGTTCCCTTCACTTAAAACTGTTTCAGATGAAATTTGGACATAATCCAATAATTCATTTGCTAATTTGCCCTTTTGGGGTTCCTTCGCTATGGCCCTTGCGGCTCAGACCCACTATTTATACATCAATGAGTCCAATTCCCCAATGGTTGCTTCTGAGCAATTTTGGTAAAGTTTTACTCCATCTGTTAATGACTTTCAGTGATTTGTAGGGAAAGTTGATTGATGAACGGCAAGGAAATCCATAAACTCACTTGGCCCTCTGGGCAAGGTTAGCACATAACAAGCTATTGTTAAACTCCTCACAGGTTCTCTATAGGAGAGAACTGTAACATATATCAACTTCTGTATATCACAATATACTCAAAAGAATCACATTAATAAATTTCATTATTTCATAATTTATTTTCAAAAATAGACATCCAGATAAAATCGCAACAGGCATGTGTACACCACAAGCACTACAGAACCAAAAACAAAAGAATCTTTGGAATTTATCGTGATAAATCAACGTCTATATCCATATTTTCAAACTTTGATAAACAAAGTTTTGCAAGTCTATCATTAGCCTTAACTCCTTCGCCATCTTTATACTGGTGATAAGCAAGAAAACAGCCCCCTCTTTCTCCTCTCTCACATGCTTTGATATTGAAAGCTAAAGCTTTCTCTGGATGCTTGTCAAACTTGAATTTCTCACATCCGTATAAGTATACTTTCCCAGCCTCATAACAGCATTTTCCACTATTGTTCTGACATCCTTTTTCAAAGTATTTCATAGTTTTATTAAAATCTTGCATTTTAAAATCACTTTCTTCGGCAAATGGGATATTGGTATGCTCTGGGTGAAAGAAACCAGCCAATGCTTTACATGAATCTCCATTTCCATAGTCACATCCCAAGTTTCCATACTCAAGGAACTTTTTAGTATCTTTATATAAATTACCTGTAAAAGAAAAAACAAAATTGAGGTGAAAAACAATGTTTGATACTGTTGATATCGGAAAACATACTCTCCTCCCCCCACCTCTTCTCTAAGATATAAAGCAATGATTTCATTTATTTGGATTTCAGTATCACATACAATCTAGCGAAAAGAGAATTTTACGGAAAATGTAGAATACAATAAAATTGTATAATTGAAGTTCTATATTTAGCTTGCAAAGACAACCATCCCAATCTCCAAAGCGACTAATATGTGACTATTGATGAAGTCAAGGATGTGGGGTGGGGTGTTGGGACGTATCACAGGATAAGGAAAAGATATTGCTTTGCTGAACAGCAGTGCACTACATAGATGCGTGGGGTTATTATCGTCAGATATATTTCTAAAATATTGTAAAACCATCCTGAGTCATACCTGCTGTCAGTCAAAGACCAATATATATATATATAGTATATATGTATTACAATACATGTGTAACAATTTAATATTTCCTCATAGTAATTAAACTTCAAGAATATCTGTCAAATTTTGATAAGATATAATTATACTTTTAAAGTAAAAGAAACAAAACCCAACCTCTTGCATAATAAAAATAGTTGCTGAGGTAATAACAGCTTGGTGCATGTTTGTATGTATCACAGGCGTACTGGTATAATTTGGCTGCTTTGTCTTCACGTTTATCTACTTGAGCAAATAAGTTCCCCAGGGCGAAGCAAGCTGCAAAAACAAAAACACAATAGCAGGATTAGACTACATATTTGTCATCATATATACATGTATATAAATATATTGAAAACTTAGGTGTAATAACAACAGGTATTTCAAATCTGAAACCTTTCGATCAACAACATAACAGTATATGATGCATTGTGTTCACATATGTTTCTTAATCATGAATAACTATGCAAAAACCAAGCATCCTAATTCTGTTGTTATGGGTCCGTATTCATGAAACCATTCTCATGCTCAAGCATAGATTTTGTGCTAAAGCAGACTTTTTTATAATTCGCCTAAATCATATAAAATAATACAAATGTCAAATATAAACATTGAATATAACTTTGACTTGAAGTCCTTTCAAAATTTATTTAAAATCTTTGGCAAAATCAGTCTTATTTATTAATTTTTAACTTATACAAGGCATAAGGCTTGAGCATGAGAACAGTTTCATGAAATACTGACCCTGATCATGATATGTATGCTTTGTTCATGGTTAGCTTTATCCTATTGATTGCCAAGTAATCTATTGATCGGTGCATGTCCACTCAACTATCACCTGGTAGTTGTTATCATATACAGTGTATAAGTTGTAAATATCATTATCAATAGTAAACTGATAATTATGTTTGATTTACAATTGTTGGTTGTCTAAAGTATGACATAATATCTATATATGTAATTTAATTGCTGAACTGCTCTTTATTTCACTTAGTAATGTGGTTTTGTTCCTTCAGAATTTGTATGGAAGCCCCAAGCCACAGTCATATTTACCTATGTCATCCCTTCTAAATCACTTTAAATTTCTGTAAGTCAAAAAGCAATTTCCTTTCAAAGCTAAGCATACTGATTTATACCGATCTTAAAGAAAAATTACCCTCTTAATAATGAAAATTTCAGATTAGTATCTCGGGTGCGATCTCAAACATTTTTGAGAAAGTCATACATAATCATTTAACTTGTTTGATTAAGGATGTTCTAAAGCCTTTATAATAAACTTTCTGTTGGGGATTTGTGTGCCAGTCTACCCTGCCAGGGCTACTTGAGTATTGGTGAATGACCTGGATCTTCAAGAAGTTTATTGGAGGTATCCTGATAGGCTATGAGCTGGACAGCTCAGCTACTGACCTTGTCTACATCTACCACCATAGACACAGACAGCAACAGACTAGGCTGGAGCCTAAAGCCAGTGCCTAGGAGCCATTCAACTTCCCCTAGATCTCTATCCTCAGGGTTCTGGTTTTCAATAATCAGTTTATTTTTAAATGTTTTTAGCTTTCTTAAGGAAAACTACCAAAAAAGGTAATAAAATTATGCTGACAATATATTATCTTATCTTTTAAAACTATGATATTGTGTATTCATTCATTCATTCATGCACTTTTCAACATACAATGTGTATTCAATGAGCATTTTAATAGTTGAATTTACCGATGATTCAGTGTTAGTTCCCTTTTTTTCCTTCCATCAACCTGCTGTAATAGGAACTATCTGTATATACTAATATATATCTGGACGTTTTCCATGTATGCCTTTTTATGTGTTGTTCCAGTTTTGTATAACAGAAACTGAAGCCTTGGCAAATCTGGCTTCATTGTCAGATTTTGGCTATATAGTAACATCTGATGAACATATAGGTAAGGTACAATCACACTGCTTTCATGCAGTTCGAAAAAACATGTGACCTGAATGTTTCTGGCATATATGTCCAATTTCAGCTGAATTTTGGGAATTTCATACTTCTGTTTTTGTCCACGTACACTCCCTCCCTATATAGTAAAATACAATAGAGCAGGTCAATCCAAAATGGTGTCAATCGCTCTTTGTGTCATCCTGCCGATAAACATTCTTTAGATACAGATTCGTGTGCAGTATTTCTTTCCGCAATCACTGTTTGAATTCTGACCCTTGATTCTTCAATCACTTTTTCCATGTGAACATCATAATATAGACCATGTATGACTCCATTGTTTACATTTGCCCAGTATACCTGTCGTAAGATTTTACTATATGTGTATTCAAATCTTCCTTTACAGCCAGATTTGCTGGTGCTCCAGTACCTGGTTTAATGCTAATTAAATAGTTATGACTATGTCTTATGTTTTTTTTCAGTTTTGCATGAAAATATTTGTTTTACTTATTCTTGCATATTCTACAAGAAGTAGATCATTTGTGTATTTGGATGAAGTCACATTTAGACAGTTGTTAAAAGTGTTAGTCTGTCCACATTTACAGTATGTGGCAAGTATATGGATTCCTTAAAGAAACAGGATTTCTCGAGCATGATGAATTATCAAGACCCAGAAGACACTAACAGAAATTAAGGAAGAAATATTGAAATACAAAAATATTCATTTGGGTCAAGAACTATCAATATTTTGAACTGTCTCCCTGTTATGGTTGTTCAGGCAAATGACATCAGAGAATTCGAAATTGCTTTGGACAACTACTAGCAAAATCTAGAACTGAAATATAACCGCATGGCCAGTTGGAATTGCATCGGAAGTGATATTTGAACCAGGGATGTATATAAGAGAAGGATAGGAAACTAGGCCAAGTGGAAATTCCTTGGTGTTAGATTTTGTATTTGTTCAGTGAGTCCTAAAGCCATAAAGTCCCATATCCTTATTGCTGTTACCTAATATTATCTACCTATGCCTCTATGATGTAGTTAGTGTGGGCTAAGCACTAACCAGCTTGACCAGAGCTGTTTTGTCAGCCGGTGAGAAGAGAATCACATTTTTGTAACAAAAATTATAATAACAAATGAAAGTGATGTATCACAAAGGTTACACAAGTCAACTGGAAAATTACTAGACTTTTTAATGTCACCAATTTAAAGATGATTATTTTCCTGCAGAATTGGGTATATGATATAGAACAGTAACTCAGTTGGAAATAATTTTAACATGGATTTTGTACATAAAAATATTAAAATTGACAGAAATTATTATATTTTTTTTGCATTTTTTTTTCAATTTTTGAAATTTTTACAACAGTACAAAAAATCACATTTTCAATATTCTTAATTTTTGAATACATGAAAAATCATATCTTTTAGCATTTCCTTATACTCTTATACATGTAACTAAAGCAAGGCAAATTCATGATTTCATGAGTTGTAAAACATGGTGCTATGAACTGTTTCTAAAAAGAGAAAGAAAATGACATTTATAGATAAGAAAAGATGGAGGAAAGCACAGAGAAAAGAAAAGGTGCTTGAGGAATAATTAAGAATTCCTTTTTCATAATAATTATATTTTGATGAAAAAAACCTTTCATATATTGAATATGGGAAAAAACATCAGGGACTGGTCAAGGCTAGTTATATGGCTTTTAATTTTTGATACATGGTTTCTAGTAATATTTCCCATTTTTTCCACTCTTCTTTAACGTTCAGGAAATCATTTTTACCTTTGCCATCAGTTAGATATTTTTTAGTGGTATGCGTATCTTTAATTTGGTTCCTTAGGGCAGAAATGGACACAGCAGCTTGCAGACATCCGAAATTATTTGTCAAAATAGGTAGCACAATCAATTTGAAAATCTTTAAGCTTTTCAATACTGTGTATTTTGAAAATTTTTTTAAAAATAGAAAGTCTAGTTAACTTAAATGTCATCACTACTGCGTTACAAAGAGATATACGCAGTTTCATTTCCCACTGTATTTGGGGAAATTACCCTAATTTTGATCAGCACTTAATTTCAATCATTAGTATGTTTTCTTGTTCAATCCAATCTCACTCTCGTCCAACCATTACAAACGTATCTGTAAATATCATGTTGGATGTATTTAATAAATAAGTTAAACTTTTTGTAAAAAAGACATGCAGAGGTAATCACAGTTATTTATGTCAACCACTTTCATAGACTGCTATTTATGACCCTCCTAAAAGTACACCCAGTCAAGAAATTTTCAAGTGAATGTCAGCCAAGTTACGGATACAAAATATCAATATTCAGAGATACGTCTGTTTTTAATTCATCTTTTAATGCCTCCAGATCAGAAGATCTGGAGCATATTGTTTTTGTGCTATCTTTTGATGCTGCTTACTCTTTTTAGTAATTAAGTGATATTTTCTGAAGAGGCATACAACATTTGTTTTCACTAGTTGACGCTTTTAGAACAAGAGATCCTAGAAGGATCTTGACGTCCATCATTGTTTAATCTTGTTTGCTCTTTGAAAGTTGGATCTTTTACCTTCTTTTTCCTTCTCTGTTTTTGCTCTTGATAAGAAATTTTATTATTCCTTTGCAAAATAGCGATGATATTCTTTATCTACCAAATCCAAATAGTCACCTGGAAGCCTTTTTTTCTTCAGATCAGTCCCAAAATGAAATGGGCACAAGTAGAGACCAAAGGGAATATACATATGAAATTTGAGACAGACGCATTCAGTTCTTCTCTAGAAAATGCGGTAACAAACTTATTTTTTTAAATTCAAGATGGCCGCCTGTCAGCCATTTTGTTTTTCATATCCGTCAAAAAATCAAACAGGCACAATCTGGGACCAAGGGGAACCTTCAAATAAAATTTGAGAAAGATCCATCCAGTACTTCTCAAGAAATAGCAATAACGAAAATTGTTAATTGGCGGACGGACAACGGACGACGGACAACGGACGTAGGGCAATTTGATCACATGGTGGGCTTAAATCCCTAGTGACCTCGTCGCTCTTTGAGAAAGTTACGTAAGCCTGATTACCAAAGCTTTAAAAATGATATCGGCCTTAACATAACAGAAACACTTCACAGAATTTACCGTCTGGTTGCTTTGTTTCGAAACACTGGATTTGATTTCCCATTTTCAATTCATCAAAAGAAAGTCCGTCAGTTGCAGATCTAGGTGCAGGCTCAACCATCGTGTACCTAGTAGTAGTATATATCGGTGCAAAAGTGTGCTGTCGGAAGTGTGATACCGCATGCGTAGCGGAAATAATTTCCAATATTCCCAACAGAGGGCGTTTCGCGCCAGAATAATCAAGTAGCAAGAGGTTCCAGCCGAAATCTACTGTGGAAACAGATTTAAACAGAAAATTCCAACTTAACTTTGAGGTATACAGTAATTTACTTACATCAATATCACATTTAAATTACTGTCGATGAGAATCATTCATTAATACGACATTTAAATATGTATATAAGTTTGACAGTTGGCATGTTTACATCTATGGCCGCCATGTTTTCAATTTCGTTATGGTTTCGTCGAGGACGAAACGATTTCAAGGCGGAGTGTAACAGTACAATAATCAATTGAATTATTATATAGGAATCTGTTAATCACGCGCTTATTTGCGAATAAGAGGCCTTACACATCCGTGCATCGTTTTCCGTAGCATTGCAAAACAAGGATTGTAAATATTTTGACATAATCATCAGTTCTTGGGCCTACATGAAGACAGTAAGTTTCTGAGTCAATGAACATGTTCCCGAATCTTACACGTAAACAACCCATTTAAAATCAAGTCGACTATGCATTACACAAGAGAAGGTAAACCACCTGCCTCCTTCAATATCCTCTGAATGACGTTCAGAGTTCATAAAAAACACCAATTCGATATTTCTCTATTTTTCTCTGTATTTTAAAGAAAGTATACATCACTAAAGCATGTTTGACTTACCTCTATGTAACAAAACAAACATATGTTTCACCAAGTTTTGCTGTTAAATGTAACTCTTTGCTCTTATTATTTTTTCAATCTTGCAAGACGGAAGTGCATTGTTCCATTTAAAAAATATAAATAATTTCATTCATTATAATTGTAGATTCTAAATGTCAACTGATTGACTTGCTCCTTCAGAATCTGTTTCTGATTTGGTTTGATTGATTGAGGAAGTTTTTTGAGGAACTGTTCTAAGGATCACTAAGGCAAACGGTTTACCCTCTCTTGTATGATGCATAATTGACTGGATTTTACTCTTTAGAAAAATTGATAATAACTGGAAGTTGACACTAACAATTGACTAAACACTAAAGTGAACTTACTGTTTTGTTTATTGCGTAAATTATTTAAGGACAAAAAATTGTAATTGCTCCTTTTTTCCCCATATGCACTGATTTTGCTATTCTTTGAAAGATGTAACCAGCTATCATCAATTATTGGAATGATCACATAATATTTACTGTTTACTCGTTGCCAAATTCTACATGACACTTGAGTTAAAAGCATTGCTCCATAGTTCATGAATGAGAACTTATTTCCTGAACATTAGAACAGTCCAAAGGTATTAGACATGGCTGACAAAAATAGCTTATCAATTGATGAAATGTTCACATTTGAAACATGAACTTTTTCGGTGTAGAAATAGTGTTTGTTAGTAATGAGCATTCAGATGTTGTTAAACTCTGCATATCAAAAGCCAGCGTTGAGATTCTAATTTAAACACTGCAGTCAATAACTTCAGCAATGAATGACTTGATGAAAGCTTAAAATGTTGACCTTCTGATTTTGTAACCAGGTAGATTGTTGATGGTGGGCTATTCAAATCGCCCTACATCGGTGGTCTATCTTCCATAAACCAGTTTTGTTATCATTGTCTTGAGAAGTACAGGATGGATCTTTCTTAAATTTCATATGTAGATTCTCTTGTGTCCCTAGTTGTGCCCACTTAATTTGGGACTGATCAGAAAGACAAAATTTCAGACTGGTAGCCGTCTTGGATTTTGGAAGATTGTTATTGCTTTTTCTTGAGAATTACAACATAGATATTTCTTAAGTTATGTGTGTTTGTTTCTTGTTGTGTCTGTTGATTTTGGTTCTGATCAGATGGCCACCTTGGTGTTTGACTTTCAAAGTTTGTTATCGCTATTTCTTGAGAAATTCTGCACAAATCTTTCTCAAGTATATGTTTCTCTTGATCCTGAGTTGTGTCTGTCTGATTTTGAGACTGATAAAAAAATGGCTGACAGGTGGCCATCTTGGATTTTGTCTTGTAAAGATGGTTATCCCTGTTTCTTGAGAACTACTGAATGGATCTGTCTCAAATTTCATATATCTGTTTCCTTTTGTCGCTACTTGTGTCAAACGGAAAATTACTCAGGTTTTAATCTCATAATTTTTTAAAGGATTAACTTCATATTTCTGGCTGAATCTGTTTATATTTGGTGGCATTTCAGTCATAAATTCTTTAAACATTTCATTGTGTTTTTCAAAAATATCACTAGTTAACAGAAAATGCTTGTACAATAGTTAGCACAATCAATTTGAAAATTACTCAGCTTTCTACTACTTATTGTTTTCAAAACATTATGTACTTTAGGAGAATAAGGTGTATACAGTATATGCAGGAAGACCAGTTATCTAGAATTTCTTCCCTGTAGCCTTCCTATCCCTCTATACTAGGTCCCTTCATTAACCTTAGTCAGACAAGGACATGTAGAGGCAATAATCTAGATTAATTGCCTTGATAAAAACCTTCAACCTCGCTTTCATAACTTTGAATATTGTAAAATATACATTTCCAATCTTTTTGTGGTTTAAAAACCATGCAAAGGTATAAAACAAAAAATGTAGTAACTAAAAAATGGGTGTGACAGTGAAGTACAGAATTGATCATTTTGTTACCGAGTGTAAGGAATTGAGGCTCCTTCACTCAGTCCTACTCTTATTTGTATGCTTGGGGAGCAAATGACACAGGAAGAAAGCTTCTCTGATTCTAGATATTGACCGTATGATATACATGTATATTGCATGGCAACAGAATACATATGTCAGAGAGAGAATTATCCAATGAAACTGTTTCCCCCAAATATATATCGTATGTTTTAGTGTACAAATAAGGTACGTTAAGTTTTGCAGATCAAGTCAAATTTTTGAGATGCAGATCTTTTGATAGTAGGTTCAACAATTTGTTTTTTCGGTGTTATTGGCGTAGCTTGAGTCTGTGTAATTGAAAAGGGTTTTTTTATATATTGAAATTTGAAGCAATTTTGTAAACTTAGCAATGTTAATTACAACTAAACTTTTTTTTTCCAGATACATCAGTTAGCAGAAGAAACCTACTAATGTGATGGTGACTTAGATGTAAACCTGAAGTGATTTACACCTTGTTGAGAATGGGATTTAGGATGATTGTCATACCAGACAGTAGATCTACCATTTAATCTAGTCATGAACCATAAAAAAATGGGAAAGACAGGTCACCAATACCTTTGTGCTAAGAAAATGGTGCTGAAAAAATACAGAAAACAGAGGTTTGGTGTAAGGAAGAAATGTCTACCTTCAATACCACATATTCTTGACCCTGATACTGTTAACACAAAATTCAAACTTCAAAGGCAGCACATTGGCAGGTTACAATCACACAGAACTTTCAGCAGCTCTACCCGAATGGAAGATGAAACATTCACTTTATCTCAGTTGGTAACTTCTAGTCTCTCACATACCAATGTTTGTTCAGAATTTCCCATTTCCGAGATAGGGAGTGAGTTATCTGGAAATAGAGGCAATGGAAATTCCCCGTTCAATAGCAGTAATAGTTGTGGTTCACCAGAAAGTGCTGTGTTACAGACAAGTTATGTTCCAAGATGTTCTAAGCAAGGTCAAGTGTCAGTTACTGAAGGTACTGTATGTAACAAACTAAATGACTGCGACAAATGTAGCTTAACTCCTGAACAAAATAATAACCTCGGAACAGAAGGTGGATGTGGATGTCCTTCCAGGAATGAAAACACACCAATCAGGGATACAGAGGAAAGCATCATTGATGTGGTGTCACTGGACGAAGAGGAGAGTGTTGTAGATGAAAAAGACTCTGTAAGTCAAGAAAAAATAAATAATGCCTCCAATGCCTTTGATCTGGAAGAGTGCCTAGACAAAAGAAAGCCACTTTCTGTGGATGTTTCAGTGGCTGAGCAGCTCTCTTCCAGTGTGCCATTACCATGTAAAGTTAATCACCAAAAAACGTCCAGGTCATCCGTCTCCCCTGTCAATTGGCAGCAGCAATTCATGTCCTTCCTCTCCACCACACCAGAACCCAGCTTTACTGATGATGCACCATTGCATCTGTCAACAAACAAGAGCCAGTCACATTCCTCACGTAAGAAAAGATCTCGAAAAGTTCGAAGTAGCATGTGTCCATGTTGTGTAGGGACTTCATCTCACTCTATTCATGGAAAGAGGACAAAACATCACAGTGGGCATTCTCGCAAACACAGTCTGTCCAGAGAACACAAACATTTCATTCGTGATATGGTTCAGCTTGTGTCTTTGAGAAACAAAATTGTGACACTCTTCTGCAGCATATTTCCTCAATGCCAGGAATTCATTCGTTCTATGAATCCTGACAGTGAAAAAGTGGATTTACTCATAGATCAAGTGGTTGACATCCTACAGACTCCAGAACCATTTGACATTGATCATCTGGAAAGTGAGAAAGATGATGTCAAGTCACTAGCAACATATTCTGATAGTGGTACAGACCCTGTAGACCTGTCAGAATATCCTAGTTTGGAAAAGCCTGATGACATATTCTTTGCAGACAAAGATTCCGATGACATGCCTGTTCTTGATGATTACAGTGCAGATGACAAGACACAAGATGAAGAAGTATCTGTCTCAAAGGGTCATAGTTATTCTGAAGACTTTTTAGTATTTTTGGAAAAGACCAGAGCAAATCATGAACACCAAACATTAGATCAGGATACAAATATGTTAGATCCAGGAGGCAATTCGTTACTATTGCAGTCAGGTCCGTCAGAGGTATTTGGTAAATCAGACAACAAACTTTTTGATTTGAAAAACTTCAATAGTGCGTATTCTGAAGGTGATTCAGAAACTCAGAATGATAATAGTGCACAGGTCAGGGATTGCAGAGACTGTTGTCCCAAATACTTCACTGAAGAGGGGCCAAATACTGATCTTGGGACCAGTTGTTATTCAAAGTGCAATACTAATCATAAAGTTGGGTCATGTGTGATTTCAATTTCAGGGCAAGCTGATAAGAGCAAGACCTCAGAACTGCCAGGAGAGAAATTTCAGGGATCTTTTCAAGAATTTCTGAATTCTAGCAGGAAACGAGATTCAAATCAAGAAATGCATGATTCAAGTTGTGACGAGGAGGAAGTAGAAAACCAAGCAACTTCATTTACCAGCATCAGTTCTCATCAGGCCATACATCTACCTGCCTATTCAGACATCTCCGAAGCAAGCAGAATGTCAAGTGTCTCGCCCTTTGATTGGACAGGGGGTGTAGATACACCTCTGTTTGGTAAACAGGAGTCTAAGTCTAGTTTCTCTCACAGAACGGAATCTCGAACAACAAAGCCAGACAGTAAATTCTGTATTAGTGATTTACATTTAGGTGATGCTGATAATGCTCCTGATGGAGACACAGCTTCATCAGCGGCAGTCATTGACAAAGATTTGTCATGTGATCAATCGCAATCCGGTGTTAAACAGACAAAAACTATAAAAATATATGAATCGTATGTAGAATTGTGTAGAAAACCCAAAATATGTTTAAAAGCCCTCAAACACAGACTCAATGCATTGCTAACATGGTTGTTACCAAGTGCAAATATAGGCAGTGCATATTTCAAGAGTTTTGACAATCTTGAATATTTGCTAGATGTTCTAATCTACTGCAACACAGTGAATGATGACACAAATTCTCTAGGTAAAGATAGAAATTAAGATTATCAAAGGAAACATGACCAAGTACAAACACTACTAGTTGTTAGTAGAATATATTTGATCCTTAATATTACATTGTGATGGTTCCAGTCTGACTGGACGTTTGTTTGCAATAGTATTTGTCATTAATGTCAACAACTGTCTTCATTTTAGAAATGAATTTTTTTTTTCCCTGATGGTTATAAATGTATGTGTCCAGATGAAGTTGTGCTCTATTTATGATTTGTTATGCAGGGTTTTCCATCAGAAAGCTTCATTATGATAGAATATATTCCTGTTTCTGATAGATAGAACTTCAAATATACTTCTGTTTCTGGTTTCTTCATTAGATTTTAATTATAAATATGCAATGTTCTCAACACATTGTTTTCTGGTATACATTACTAAATATTAAACAAGACAGAAACAGTCCATATATATATCAATGAATTGATGTTGTATACCCTAAATTGACTTGTGTTTTGTGATATTTTCCTATATCTATCTTCAGGTAAACTGAATTCGTTCTATTTTGAATTGGTCTTTCAAGTTCTGCTGACAAGCTTATTATTTAACGGTATTTATTTCTGACAGTATTGCTTGTAAAGCAGTAGCTTGCTAAGTTTTTAAAACAAATTTTGGTCTTTTCACTTCTATGTGTATCTGTGCTGTCAGGTCAAGATCAAGTTTATTCAAGTAACTGATATAGATATTAATTAAATTCTTGATAATTATGTATAATGTAATATTTCATAGCTTAGCAATTACAAAGTGCTGACATTGATGACTGAATTAACAATACAATTAGATTAAAAATGACAGACAAACATAGTTAACTTAGTTCAGCCCTCATATCTGGAATTCTTATTGTCAAATATAGAGCTGCAGTTGAATTAAAGGTCCACATATCTGGAATTCTCATTGGCAAATATAGAGCTGCAGTTGAATTAAAGGCCCACATATCAGGAATTCTTATTGGCAAGTACAGAGCTGCAGTTGAATTAAAGGTCCACATATCTGGAACTCTCATTGGCAAATATAGAGCTGCAGTTGAATTAAAGGTCCACATATCTGGAATTCTTATTGGCAGATATAGAGCTGCAGTTGAATAAAAAGGTCCACATATCAGGAATTCTTATTGGCAAATGTAGAGCTGCAGTTGAATTAAAGGTCCACATATCTGGAATTCTTATTGGCAAATATAGAACTACAGTTGAATAAAAAGGCCCACATATCTGGAACTCTCATTGGCAAATATAGAACTACAGTTGAATAAAAAGGTCCACATATCTGGAACTCTCATTGGCAAATATAGAGCTGCAGTTGAGTTTACATTTGGTATATACATGTGCTTGGTATGTATGTAATGTAATTAATTTTGAAGAGAGCCTTCATCATATTACGTTTAAAGTTCAATGGTAAGATGACACATTTAATTTTTGTGTACACAGTACTCTCCCTTTATGATAATGACTTATTAATGACAAAATCCCATATTGACGGGGTGTATTTGTTATGTTTAGGTAAATACCTGTTTATGTGAAGTTTGGCAGTTATATCAAATATGAATTTTGAAAAATCACAGTTTTAATGATTGAAGGTTAAAAATTTTGATGAAAGTTATTATTAGCATGTTCAATATAGTGTGTTCGAATTAGAGTGAAAGCTACATGTAACAAAAAACATTTTCTCTATGAATTTTGATTGTTTCAATAGTTATTGAAGATGAACTTGAGAAAGTATTTCAATACCTGAACTATTACTTTTCTGATTGTTTTAAAATTATAGACAAAGTAAGATTAATTCCATGTAATGCACATAATGTGTTTTATCATCTGTTCTAATCTGATGCAATGATTGCATATAATTCATGGGAAGAACACACAAGAGAATTTCTTACAATGTCGCTTTTGTTAATGGATCTGATTAGTAAGTGTATGTTATATGTATAATGCGACAGTAGTATTGCTGTGTTGTACTTTCGTTGTTAGAGGCCGTTTTAATTGATATGCTATGTTGTATTTCTATTTTGTATTTTCCTAGTGTTACATCGTTAAATGCTGGCTACATCAATCAACACAGAACAGTTTTAGAGTTGTTGGACACTGATAAAACATTTAGTACACAGATGTATGTGTTGATCAATTTAAAGGGAATGTTCAAATGTATTGAATTGTTAAGTAACAGAGAAACTTATTATAAATCAGTTAGTGTATATAATGGCTTGTAAAAATTTTTCACCAAAGATAACCTGGTGTGAGATTAACATTTTATATAACAATCTGTTGGCTGTGACTGAGTACAGAAAGCAATACATGTAGACAGCAGAACTAATGCACAATAGAGATGAAAGCAGAGGACTTAATTCAGCTCAATCCCTATTAGAATTCAAATATTGTGAGTTCTATGTTTTTGTTCTGTGAATTATGATAATGATAATCATATACATCTGTGCCAGGGATTTTTAGTATTGTTATGTGATTTTTTAAGTACCTTCAGTATATCTGTACAGAAAAGTAACTTATGATATCTCGGATAGATTCCCAAGCCGTCCATATACAGGTGAATTTAAACATAGTTAAATCCAAACAAATAAGTACTAATTACATTTATTGTGTCAAAGTGAGTCTGGATTTTGTATTTGACTGTCAACTATTTCTGCGATATATTAACAAGTTGTTTCCAGGCAAAATAATTAGATTAGTATCCTTTAAGAATCTCAGCCTGTCATTACAATATGTATATATATTTATCACACAAAAACGCATCGAGTTTTTTACAAATGAAATTGTTTCAGTAGAGGGTTATTTAAGGCCAATTTCAAACATTACATATTGTTTCGTGTCAATAATTTTGAAGAGAGAATGATGTACAAGAATCTTCAGAAATACCGGTAGATTGAACTTCTTGATATTTCTATAGGCTTTGACTCGGTGGAAATTGTGATTATTCATAACATAGTGAACACAAGATCAGTACCAAAATAATGTAGTTTTGTTTTCATTGATTGAAATAACAAATGAACATCAGCTTAAGTTTCTCATCAACATCTCTACCTAGTTTCTGTTACACATTTCTCACCAATATCTCGGCACCAGTCCAGGTTACACATTTCTCACCAACATCTCTACATAGTGCAGGTTACACATTTCTCACCAACATCCCAGCACCAACCCAGTTTACACATTTCTCACCAACATCTCAGCACCAACCCAGTTTACACATTTCTCACCAACATCTCTGCACCAGCCCAGGTTCCACATTTCTCACCAACATCTCAGCACCAACCCAGGTTACACATTTCTCACCAACATCTCTACATAGTGCAGGTTACACATTTCTTACCAACATCTCAGCACCAGTCCAGGTTACACATTTCTCACCAACATCTCAGCACCAGCCCAAGTTACACATTTCTCACCAACATCTCAGCACCAACCCAGGTTACACATTTCTCACCAACATCTCAGCACCAACCCAGGTTACACATTTCTCACCAACATCCCAACACCAGCAGTCCAGGCTACACATTTCTTGCATTTCAACACCTAACCGAGTTAAGCATTTCTCACCACCAATTATATTGATAAAAGTCCAGGCTACACATTTCTCACAAACATCTTGAAACCAGCACAGACTTGTTTTTTTTTTTTTTTTTAACAAATATCTTGACAAGTCTGGGTTAAATATTTCTCATCAGCATTATGACCAAGCCCAGGTTTCCCCATTTCCCACCAGTTTCTTAAGCTTGACACCACCACAGGTTACACATTTCTCATCAACACCTCAACATTATCAACATCCCTGTACATGATAAATATATATGCAAAGTGTTTACCTAGGAGTATATAGAATTAATACTTCAACATAGCAATGATTGAAACATAGGGCAAAAAAAATTGAGTTTACTCTTTGTATGTAAGTAGACATGTTTGATAGCAGTAATCCTGTTTATGTAATGGAAGATTTTGTTGTTGTATAGTGTACAGAGAACGCCTATATAATAGGCTGTAGTACTTAATTGTTTTTACTGTTAGGTTTGTCACTGTTAAATGTATTGTTAAAAATGTGATACCTGTTATATAGTGTGTATGAACCTAATGTTAATTCTGTGAGTACCATACTGGTACAGTGTTATCTTTAGAATGTATCCAGTTTCTTGCCTTTGTGATGTTCAACATGCATGTTAGTTGTTTACCTTTTGACCACTAGAGTCTGAGGCTATTGTAGATCTTACATCTTCACATATTTTTCCCGTCTTCTCTCTGTATGGAGATCTCAAAGATATGAAATTTTCAATCAAACTGATTTGGCAGTGAGTCAAAAATGTTGATTTTAATGCAGTAGTGGAACATTAATTTTCTTCTTGTTGGTACTTATGAGTTAGAATTTGGTAAGATTTTGGGATTGTGATAAATTAGACCATTCATACTGATGGTATTGTTATTTGATTGTTAAATATCCAGATGTTTTAGTGTTCCCCCCCCCCCCCCCCACCCCCGCATTATATTTACCAATATATAGAAATAATAGTATGGTATAGTGATTTTGCTTCTTAGAGCACACTGGAAAGACCTTTTTTTATTTTTATAGCATACACAAAAATTCTTGTATCTATAAGACAATTCATTTATTTCACAATGACACATAGATAATAGTGGTACTTTTTCAATACGATTTATAGAGAAGCAATACAAAGCAGTGTACCCAATCATAGAAAAGGACTGGACTTTAAAAATTCTGGGAGTTCTAGACCTAACAGCCAATGTAGGTAGGATACTTATTTTAGTATGTACTTATGTTGGTAGATGTTGTTGAAATAATGAGAAAGTTTGATTTGTATAAATTCTACACATCATTACCATGACAATTTCTACCTTAATTTTACACTAGCTGTGGCAGGACAAAACATCAACTAGTTGTATAAAGAGTCATAAATTGGTCATTCTCAGGTAAATATTTTCTCAGGATGATAAACAATTGGTGGTCAATATTTCAAATTCACCTCCATCATTGGAATGTGGAAGCTTACAGCAAAATATTTCACAGGAAAATAAGGGCGGAATTAGCTTACTCAAAATCCATTCATAGTTGGAAATGAAATGTTGGGGGATATGATATTTGATTCTTGTGAGCATGGCTGTTAATTGACATTTTATAAACTTGTATGCCTAGGACAAGAGAATTTGATTACGTGTAAAGGTTACAGCGCGGGAATGAAAGGAAATAAACACCACGGCAGTTTACCCCTTCATTCCCTTGATGTAAGTTCTGCCTTTCTTGTGCAATTTTCAAATTCATTTTGGTATATTGTTCAGAATGATTGACATTTTGGAGATGGATTTATCAAAAATATATGATTACTTTTGATGAAGATGGTTGTAAATCAGGCATGTATCATTGCATCCTTTATTATGGTGTTTGAGTTTGGTGAATATTATTCATAGAACATTTCTCTTACGCTATTCCATGAAGAACCCATCATTAATAAAGACTTGTTATCAAAAGTTCCTCAACTCTGACCTATTTGGCAGCAAATCAGGTGTACCATGGCTTAAATTTCATGAAAGTTTTAAGTTTTTGCAAACTCAGTTTTTTGTTATTTAGGTTTGAACTATTGTTTTTTGTCCATGATCATGAATAATTGACACTGGGCATATTTGTCCGGATAATGCTTAGTTGGTATATTGTGCATATTTGTCAAAAAAAAAAAAAAAAAAAATGACACACAAATTTTTCTAGCTAAAATATTTTACATGGCAGCCTGATATAAAGTAGAAGACATAGATGTTGTGATAATGATTTTGCGTTGAAAGTCCATTATTGAATAGGTCTTGAAACCAGTGAATTACATATTATGAAATTTAAATGCTCCTAATTCATCATCATTCATCACTTAGTATACGTCAGTCAATGACTTGTTTGATGAACAGATTTGTTTAATTCACCCTTTATAAATGACCAGTTACGGTACCTTACATGGTGGTGCAGTGTCCGTCATTTGTCGGTCATCAACATCTATCAACTTTTCTTTAAAGCATTACATCCAAACACTGGAAGGAATTTGGGGTTTCCCTTTAAATGCAGTTTCTATTTGATGCTCAGGTAGATTCTTTAAATTTGGGCAGAAACATTAGGAAAGGGCAATTACATTCGGTGTTAATTAAGTGGGGTCTTCTCCTGGGAAGGAGGAGCAGGGACTTTGGCAGATTCTTATCAGATTTGGTCTGAAGTATCCTGAGGGCATAAATCAAAACTAGTATAAAGAAGTTCTTATTAGTCTTATTGTTTTTTCTATTACATCAGTCACAAATGCTGTTTTCACATAACTAGACTGATGCAGAACCATTTTGTAGACTGAAAGATAGAACAAGGCTGGCTATACACATTAGTGTGGCAGTGGGTTTGTTTGGGGCCTTGTTACTCTTATTTTTCTTGCATACATTCTCACTGTAAATTTGCTGCATACACAGAGTTTCTGGGTACAAAATCATGGTTAAGATGGTATGTTAATGATAAATTCATAGCTGCACTTTGTCATTTACCAAAACGTTCAAGGGTTATTGGTGAATTTCTGAAAAGTTGTCTTAAGTTTGTTATTGTGCTGCATTTTGTAAGGTTTATTTATTGAGGTTGTTATTAAATCTAGCAATGATTTAGAATGTTAATTGTGAGAGTGGTTGAAAGATCAATATTTGAAATATTGTAACTTCAGCAATTTACATTTTCTATTGTGGCATGTTTAAATTTTATGTATTTCTTGACATTGATATCATTTGACAAAATGCATACATTTCTTCGGAAGGCTTACTTGATAAGTGAGACATAGATTAGGTGTTGTAATCTATCATTTTTGAGATTGGCTAGGTAAAAAATATTGTTGAGACTTTGTCATTTAACTGTGCCACATTTCTCAATATCTTGGTGCAATAGCTGAAATGTTGGTGCATTGACCTTGCTGTTTTCTAGTATCCTGAATTTGTAGGGTGAAGCCAAAGAAAGTTCACTACTATGCAGTCAAACTTCATTCCCTGACACTATTTGCGCTCCGTTCGGGATACAGACTAGTCTTTCTCTATTTTATTCTCTGTAATACTGATGTCTCGCTACACACTTTTACAGGGAACAAAGCAGACTTGTTAAGGCTTTGTGACAGGTATAAAACTGAACAGAACCACAATGGTTATAATGCATGTACTGTGATTCCATTGTATTGTTCACATTTATTTTCCTAATTCCTAATGTTGAATCATATATATAAACACCCATGAGATGCCTATAAAAAAATTTCTACATGTGATCATCATTGTTTCATTGTTAATAGATGTATATATTCTATTGATCATGTTTTAGTATTGTATATATTTATAAAGTGAACTACATCTTATGCTCTCAGTATTAATATGCTCTATATAATACAAAATTCTTTAAAATACAGCTGTTGTATGTAAACTCTCACCCCTGTCAATCTTGGTGAACTATTCCAAGACAATAGGAGAGGAGTCCACTATGTGATACTGGGTGAAATTACCGGTCTTCATTATGCATCCTAAAAGGTACATGAATATTGGCCAAAGAAGATCCACAGTTTCTGTGGGTATGATTCTGTAGTAGATATTATGAATAAATATACTAATATGTAAATTATTACACAATTTGCTCCATTTTTTTTCAAAAACTTTCCTATACAACTTCAAGGAATTTCAATACAAAACCTTTAAATAAATTATAAAAGTATAGTATACATAGACACCTTGGATCACATGTTTAGCATTAGAGACAAAAAATGTTTTTTAGCTTCATGCAAGTAATTTCTTCTTTGAATGTTCCTACTGGCTAGGCATGTTACCAAAGGGTCCACCAATGAAATGCCCAATCATCATCATTGTTCTGTGTAATTATAGACAAACTACTGCCAAATGTATATTGACTGTGTAATTAATTATCATTATTGATCATGTCACTTGGAAGTATTTTGAAAGTCATCATTATTAGAGATAAAGATGTTTTCTCCAGAAATATTTTCTTTGTTCTTTTTAATACATCCGAGAATATGTACTATCAACTGTTGGCGATAAGTATGTTGTTGACAAGTCCATTTGGAGATCCAGTGATTTAGCTATGGGAATAAAGCCAAACACAAATACATATATACCTACTTGAGACTTTTCAAAGCAGTCCTAGCAAACATGATTGACAGATGACTCACTTTATCACAAGTTTCAACACAGAAATATATCCTGCTGGCATGATATAGTTACTCCGTGTTTCTGTAACAGAGATAGCTTACCCAAGATCTGTGTAACAGTTCTCACCTTTTTGTGCTATTCACAATTTATCAATCACCAGATAGACCAGACTTCGAAGATGAAGATAATTATGGCTTTTGAAAAAAAAAATTGCCTTTTATTGATTTAACACTGCACAAGTCATGTTTACTGTGGTCTCCAGATCAAAACCATACCTGGGTTTAGTAATCAAACACTTGAAGACAACTTCATTCAAGGTAAACTACTCAAAAGCACCTGTCTCTAAGATCAAGTTGACATTTCATTGTCCTTCATAGAAGTATAGGATTTAATTGAAACCTTCCTTTATGAGTTGACATTAATCAAGGTTAAGACCTAGGCATCCTCAATACTCCAGTGATATCACTCGCTACACCCTTGGAACTTAGCATGGCAAAATTGAAGGTGTAAGTGAAGTAATCAAGGGGAGGTTTCAGAGGGAAAAAATTATCAGTCACGACCCTTTGCAGAATATCTTAATTTAAACTGGTATAACATACTGTTTAGCGACCTGAAGATTTGCTTGATGTACATGAAAGTATCAAACTAGTCTTTTATCATCAACAAGGTGTTGCACATGGAACCTTTAGTTATCCAATGAAATGTTCCAGGGGTGTAGAGAGTGATAGTGAGTGTAATTCCTGGAGTGTCGAGGAGGAGACTAATGAGAATAACACTATCTGCTAACAAGATCCTTCACATCACTGGCTTGATAACTACCCAGTACAGAAGAATTTGTCAATTGAAAATTAGAGTACATAAAACCATGTTGATAGATGGACTGTTTGGAAATTAGGATCAATAGTTCAGGGTTATAGACAATCAGGTGTACTCATTTCCAGTATCCATACCATTTAATCAACCTCAACAACCAATTAGACATGCTTAGTTCCATTCAATTTACTGGACAGCCATCAATTAAACATGCTCAAACATCCTGTATCCATATCGTCATTTTGCAACAACCAATTTTAATTTTTTTATCAGACATTTTATATCCCTACCAGCTCAAGACAAAATGCTGGGAGGACCAAGTTCATCTAATGGAGTTGTTGTAATACACTTGCTTCTTATCATTAACCACACTATATATAGCTCTGTTACTGATGACTAGGGAACTGAGCATGGAACCAGTTGAAAAATTGGTCTAAAATGGAAGCAATTTTGAATTTAGGAAGTTATTCAATTTCATTATCACTTTGTGATAAATTGTTCTCTGAAGTCATTGGTATATTGGAGATTTGGACTATTGCAAGTTTTTGAACTTGTATTTCTTAAGGTGCACTGGCTGGATAACCTTTCTATCCTTCTAGTAGCCATAAACTCCAACTGAAAATTTTGAATTGTTTGATGTGTTGTACAAGTATGTTTTTACGGGACCATGAAATGATACATGTTACCGAAAGGGGTCCTAACGATCAACAGGGACATAAATGAAAGGTTTTTGTTTATATGTCCCACAACGTTTTTATTTTTAGCTGAATTTAAATGAAAAATAAAAATAATATGAAAAAAACGTGTCCTTGCTGAGCTTCGGATTAGAATCTCGTTGATCACGCACCTTTCCGTTCTCAAAGAGTTATGTCCCTTTAAATAGGTATCCAACATGGCGTCCGTACAGTTGATCCCACCAGTCTCCGACTTATATGAGATGGTTGAAGCGTTCTTGCAGGCACGTATATAACATATTGGACACGTATACATGGAGGATTTCATTCTCATTTTATTATTCTTGATATTAGTGATGATCTGAATATATTGTATTGTTGTACTGAATAAGTCCAGTCCATTGCCCACCTGACAATTCTGACTTGTATGGGCAGGGTCAATAATTAATCGGTTATACAACACGAAAATAGAAAATTATGTAATTAATGCAAGTTGTATAATATTAATTACCATGTTAACATTTTGGATTTTTTACCAATTGTGTAATTCATAACTCGCCCTCCTTCAAACCTGAACACTGCTGTCAGTTTACGTCAAAGGAATATAAAAATAACACCACGAAATAATATGGAGTATGTCCAAATTTGTGGAGAATAATTCATTCGTTCCAAAAGCCATGTCAATATGTAAGATGTCTCTCTCGTATCAGGTGTACGTATTTCACATGACGTCTATATACTATTAAACGATGAAACTTCCATTGAGTATGAAATTAATTGGTAATCTTGGTCTATGTGCAAAACTATTTACAGGCCCCAGTGTACCATCTGATCTTCGAAGCTTGTCTGATAGTACTTATTATAAAGCTAGTGTTTTCCAAGTCCTATGCTGGTGGTCCTGAAATTATTCTAACGAAAAAGGTAAGTTATACAATAGACAGTTCTATTTGTCCTCACAAGGATATGTAAAGAGGCAATAGAATCCTGTTTTGCCTGTGTTATTTGTACTATGATTGTAAGCTTCACATTTCATCATCAACTATATGAATATATAATTGTTTGGCTAGTCCTACTCCTAAAAGTGTACAAGGCCTTTGATTGTATTGCTGGATCTGAGACACATGGCGCCTGTCAAAATTTCTCACTGTTGAACTTCTAACATTGTTGGCTTAGGCTAGGCAATGTTGGCACCAATGTGTATATATGTAATACTATTCGGTGAGCCTGTGCATCTGGTGTTTCTTCTCATATAAAATCACCTTCTGAGCCAAATATTGACTATTGCAAATAGAGTCACTAAAATATTCTTGATATAAATGATAACATACTGACGTAGACTCAGGTCATTTGACGGATATAACAGGAAATAAGATGACATGAACACTGGACACACTTTGCCTAACTGTGTGGCACTATAGCTCAGCTACAAAGTAATTGTAATATAACAAGTGTCTCCTGCCAAACACTATACCTGCAGACTAGAATGTTTCTTCTTCCCCAGAACCATCATTGAATGAAATACTCTGACTTCAATTGTAAACTGTAAGATAATTTCCTCCATCAAAGCTTCTCTTCAATCTTGACAGTGTAATAAAATGTTACTACACTAGTATATATGCCAGTGTCACTTTTCTTTTGTAGGATACAGAGATCGACTTCTTTTTATGAATGAGGTCAGTGATTGGTAGATGAGATAGAAACATTATAAGATAGAGCTGTGTCAGGAATGAATTTGTATGACACACAGATCTCCTCATAACAAGTTTACATTGTCATTAATAAGACAACATTGTTAATAGCTTATTATGTTGTTGTTGACAGGAGGAGGAAGAACTGATAGCTGAGTGGGTACCTGATCCCCTGGAACAAGATGTGCCCCCAGATCATCCAGTGTTGCAGTCTATGGAGAAAAACCTTGTGACAGGGTAATACTCCTCTCTGGTGAAGTATCTCCATACATGTAGGAATTATTACAAGGAACAAATGCTGAGAAAGTCTGACAGTGTACTGTTCTGAATGGATAACAAATCTAATGTCAGTGGGAGGTAGTTATTTTAAAACACATAAGCTCCTCTCCCAGTGAAATAAAATGAAGGAAAGGAAGGAGGGGTATTATTTGTGGGAGGGGATCAGTTTGTAGTTAAATACAGTTAATCTTCATTGCTATCCCCTTCTTTAGTATTGTAAAATTATGTGGCATTAACAATTTTAGTGTCATAAGAAAGTAAGAGATATGAGTTGTTTTAAAAATACGCAGATATATTCAAACATGTATGTTAGAGAGAATTGGTCATAAGGTCTTCTCACTGCAAAAAGGCTATATAAAATCTAGTACAGCTGTGGTGTGTCAGCATTTGCATGAAATAAAGACTGTTTTCTTATTGATTTTTTGCAGAAAACCAGGGAAGTATGTGGAAATCAATGGGAAAAAGTGTGTGAACATGGCAACTTTGAACTTCCTAGGGATGGCGGGAATGCCAAGCATAGAGGTCAGTGTCAAGGCAGATAGCATAAGTTGTTGGAATTGCTTTGTTTTAATCAAACATATATACATGTATGTAAAATGAAATATGAAATTATTTATTAGTCAAAATTATGAAACAAATTTTAAATCTAGTCTTTAGATCTTACGGAAATTCAAACAGTAAACAGCTGATTGTGTGATGATGACTTCAGGCTGTGGTAGATTTGTGATACTATAAAGGTGGTGTGAAAATTCAGGAAAGTTTGGGTTTCCTTCTTGGAAAAGAATCTCAAGTGCTAATATGACTATCAGTAGTTCTTGCAGCAAGAACGTGTTGCCAGAAATATGACAGAAACACACTACATTTTTCTGCATTGTGGCTATTCTGCTGTATTACGTTTATAATCATAGTGGAATAGTCAGACTTTGTTGAATTGAAGTTGTCTGAGTTGTGAAAAACTTATTTGTTATCTAGTAATCAAATTAAACCAGTTTCAACAAATTCCAAAATAGTTTTTTTTATAATATATAGCCTTTGGTAGCAAGAAAGATTAATAATTAAATACCACATCACTCTGATCAGACTTAAAAAATCTTCTGTTAGCACTATGTCTTCAATGGCACCTTTGCATAATGTAGGAATATTCAATTTGAATAGAAAGTTATATTGCAAGTTTTTGTTTTAAAGCATAGATGTTTCAAGTTTACATTGTTGGTTAAGAAAATTATTTTTTGTTTGTTCAAGATCATATAAACACTGACTGGTAATACAACACATTGAATTTTTAGAAAGAAAAAACCTGAAAAAATCCTACATACCGGTAACACATTACTATAACCAGGGTGATCCTTGCTTTAACTCAGCTTCCTATCAATGATGCATGTGATAAGGACGTTCATGAAAGACCTGAAATACTGGTGAATTTTTGACAGTGTTTGTCTTTTGCCAAATATTTATAAAACATCTTAAATGGACTGTTGCAGGATGCTGCCATAAAGACAATGAGAAAGTACGGTGTGGGATCATGTGGTCCTAGAGGTTTCTATGGTACAATGGGTAAGTCTGTACGACACACCAGCTGGAATGTAGTTGTGGTTTGTGTGGTACAATGTTTAGTCTACACAACATCAGTTGTGGTGTTTTTGGTAAAGATATATTGAATTTTCATAGTTAAAACTTTCACACTGTACTCTCCTGTGCTCTTCACCTCACCATGTGCTTTCATTCCCCCAATATTCATAGCAGGTGATAAAAGTTATATTTTTTATGTAGATGTACATCTGGACCTGGAGGAGAAGATAGCCAAATTTATGGATTGTGAAGAAACCATCCTGTACTCCTACGGCTTCGCCACCATAGCCAGTGCAATCCCAGCTTACTCCAAACGTGGTGATGTGATATTTGTGTAGGTTCAGTTGTGTTTGTTTACTACTGCTATCCTAGTTTTAATTCCAGTGTACCTTTGTTGATTCAAAGAGTTTTCATTGCATGTGGTGGCAGTATTCACCATTAGATTTACTTGACTTTAGGTGAAAAAGTGGATATTTACCAGTATACATGCGATGAAAACTCCAGAATACAAATATTTCTCTTTAACTTTTATATATATTAAATATAGATAAATATATTCTTATTTACCTGAATAAACATGATAAAATAGCTGTTACAAGGAATATTAATCACCAATTTAGATATTGACGTAATACTTTCTAAAAAGAAAAAAAAACCTTTTAAACATTTGTTTTTATAGAAGCATGTATTATTAGTTCAGGAATTGATTATATCAAATCCAACTGAAGGGAGATACTTGATTGGAAAGTTGATATTTTTAATATAAGACTTGTCAGCACCACCTGTATGAGTTTGTGGTTCTTAAGGGTCTTACAAGTTTTAAATTTCTAAGTATGTTACTAGCAACCTAATAGATAAGTATCCACCTAATCCTTTAATAACCTATCTATTATTCCCAACAACTGATGGAGGTTACCCTTGAATGACGCATAATAAATCTCAATAGTTACTAGTGGAGACATTTTTTTCTTTCTTTGAAAATTCAGGTTCAGTATATTGTCTGTTGCATTTCTTTATACAGTGATGACGGAGTGTGCTTTGCCATACAGAAAGGTCTGGTAGCATCTCGGAGTGCCATCAAATGGTTCAAACACAATGACATGGAAGATTTGGAGAGGTTACTGAAGATTCAACAAGAGGAAGACAGAAAGGTGAAGAGAAAAACATTAATTTGATATGCCTAGTTTTAACATTGGAAGCTTAATATTAAATCTAAATTAAATGGTTGTTACCTCACTTTGAAATACTTGCACACACACCACTACATATGCTTGAAATAATTTGGTCCGTGAACCCAGAAATATGACAGAAACACACACTACAGTTTTCAGTATTGTGGTAACCTTATTTTGCTTTTCTGCTGTATTTCATCTATAACCATAGTGAAATAGTCAAACTTTGTTAACTTAAGTCGTCTGAGTGGTGAAAAACTTGGAGTTATTCAAGTAATCAGGTTAAACAAGTTTCAATTCATTCCAAAAGATTTTATATAATATATAGCCTTTCATAGCAAACAAAAAAAAGGAGGCTTTTTAGGTCATTGATGTACAGAAATACATGCCAATTTCTAGTTACCAGAGACGAGAATAACATAATCCAGCCATTTATTCAAAAGTCATGTGAAACTTTATCATGTTAGAAATGATGAAATATAATATGAAATAAACAGGTAATATCAGAATGCTTGTAGTTCTAACTTTGCAGTCAACAGATGGAAGTTTCAAACCAGAAATAAAAGTGTACGACTACACACTCAACACAAAATCACTGTGTTAGAGTGTCAGTGCAGTTGAAAATATATCCTGAGAACTACAGATTATGCTAAAACAACAAACATTATTGATAAAATATCACACTTGAAAATAATGACACTTGACACCACCTTGATATCACCTTCTCGGTGGAAACTGATGTACTGTTTTTAGGCTTTCTCTATTGACATCAAAGTTAGATATGCTTATGCTTAAGTACCAGACTAGTGTTGTGTTTTCAGCTGTTCGGGTTATGAAAGAGGTACAGGGGCAGAGGGTGTGCTATGATAACCATGTATTGAGACACAGTCTGTTGTAACACTTTGTCAGAAGTTCAATGTGCTATTCATCACTAAACTTTAAATTAAGAGGTACTTTTGGGTAAGATTTTGATTTCCTGGGACCAAGTTTTTACTTCAAATTATATTGGAGTTTTCCGAGTTTTCCAAATTCAACTTTTCTGAGTCTTCATTACTAAGATTAAGAGAGAATTATGTAGAGACTTTCAAAGCACTTTGAGATAAACAGGGTATTTGAGTTTTCCGTGTTCGACTTAACAAAGTTTGGCTGTAAATTACCACCTGTGTAAGGTTAATTAGCAATAATTAACTGGTAATTAAGGCAGTGTTTCTCTGCTTAGACATAGAAAGTCAAAAAAATTGGATCGGCTGATCTATATTTCTGAAAATTTATCAAATATAAGAAACAATTTTATTGTGGTTAGAAGAAGGCTTGAAAGTTGTTTCTTTTAAAGTTTTGTATGTTGTATTAATTTGTATTACAGATTCCTAAGAAAGCCAAAGTCACCCGTCGGTTTTTAGTAGTAGAAGGATTGTACATGAACTACGCTGATATCTGTCCGCTCCCTCAACTGGTAAGTAGTACTAAGGATGAAGGTGTTGTATAATATTTAATGTTGTTTTGTATATATTACTTAGTGTGTAAAGTCTAAAACTCTCCCTCATTTAGCAAAATTAATCGTAGATTTTTTCATGTAAGAAAATGACAAATAAAAATGACAACTATAAAGAACCACTGGTTAAATACAGTCGTCAGATATTGTTGGTATATAAGACTGAATATTTATGTATTTATGTTAAACTGCATATTACTATATTGTTTTCAATACATGAACCTAATTTAGCCTGAAATTATACATCATATCGAAATGATATTTTATTCCAATCTTAGAAAGCATCGAATTGTTAAGTTCTTGATAGCATAGCATTGCCTTTGCTGTCACAGTGTTTTCAGTAAGAATGTGTTAAATGACTAAAATATTGGGTCTGAAAGATTTTTTTTTATGCGGTATATTGTTTTCAGGTTGCTCTGAAGTGGAAATACAAGCTACGACTGTTTATGGAGGAAAGTCTGTCATTTGGTGTGCTTGGGGCAAATGGCAAGGGGGTAACAGAATACTATGGCATTTCAGTAAGTGTACCCTAGAAACCTGAAAGATAGCATTTCCCTGGTTCTGTAATATAAGAGTTGTTTAGAAGTCCTTGATGTATCTTCCCACATCTGATATAGGCATTCCCCATGAACTACAGTTGTGTCTCTTCAGTTCTAAGACTGATCGGGAAAACAAAATGTCAGAAAAGAATATTAGTTCTTATGTCACAACCAATAAAAGATTTGAGTGACATGTCGATGACTTAAAGGTCACTTTCATTAGACAAATAACCAATGTTAAGTGCACTAGCATTGACATAAGATGGTTAGGAATCAACTAACTTTTTCAGTTGTACTACAATCCTTTTGTTGTTTGTCTGATGAACAATAAACTCTCATTGTTAACTGTTACACATGTAACTTATTCTGTAATAGTAATGAATCTTTCCTCCTATTACAGCGAGATGAGGTAGACTTAATTGCTGCAACACTTGAAAACTCTATGGGAACATGTGGAGGCTTCTGTTGTGGGAAGAAATATGTAATAGATCACCAGGTAAGTCAGAAAATCGTAATAAATCACCAGGTAAGTCTGAAAAATGTGATAAATCACCAGGTAAGTCTGAAAAATGTAACATATCACCAGGTAAGTCTGGAAAATGTAATAGATCACCAGTTAAGTCTGGGACACAGGTAAGTCTGAAAAATGTAATAGATCACCAGTTAAGTCTGGGAAATGTAATAGATCACCAGGTAAGTCTTGAAAATGTAATAGATCACCAGGTAAGTCTGGAAAATGTAATAGATCACCAGGTAAGTGTGGAAAATGTAATAAATCACCAGGTAAGTCTGAAAAATGTAATAGACCACCAGGTAAGTCTGAAAAATGTAATTAATCACCAGGTAAGTCTGAAAAATGTAATAGACCACCAGGTAAGTCTGAAAAATGTAATTAATCACCAGGTAAGTCTGAAAAACGCAATTAATCACCAGGTAAGTCTGGAAAATGCAATTAATCACCAGGTAAGTCTGAAAAACGCAATTAATCACCAGGTAAGTCTGGAAAATGCAATTAATCACCAGGTAAGTCTGGAAAATCGTAATAGATCACCAGGTAAATGTAAAAAGGTAATAGATCTCCAGGTAAGTCTGAAAAATGTAATAGATCACCAGTTAAGTCAATAGATAATATGATTACATGTAACTCTAATCATACCTATGATAGAAGGCTGTAGTTAAAATTATTCTCTGGAAGGACATCATGATATAAACAGAAATCTACAACCCTAATTAATTCCTCAAAGGACAAATACTGATGGAAGAGGTGATACACAATAGAATTTCATGCATTTGATATGCCTGGTCGTTTGTTATTAGATCATCTTGTTTGGTTTCAGCGCCTGTCAGGTCTTGGGTACTGTTTCTCTGCGTCTCTACCGCCCATGCTTGCCACAGTAGCCATAGAGGCACTCCACACTATGGAACAGGATCCCTGTAAGTTTCTACAGTTAAATAAAGTTATCAGAGGCAGATAATAATTGAAAATATTACATGTTATACTCCTCAGTAAACTGTTCTTATTTGGATTTTAAGATTTGAAGTGAGAAATGGAAATACCAAAAGTTCAGATTCAAAATAAAATCAAAATAAAACATACAGTTATTTTTTAATGAAGATGCCTGTGTAATGCTATTTTTCTGTTTTTCAGCATTGCTAACCAAACTAAATAACAACTGCCAGAGAGTTCATGAGAAGTTATCTAGGTATTCACTTACTTTTGTATCTTTGCTCTAAGCTTCTTTCCATTGAATATTGTTCAAAGTATTTTATTCTTTTGTCAGTTTAAATTTTCTGTGATGAATTTTACAACTAAATGGATAGTTAAGATTAAGTAATATTCTGATATGCATTAGCTAAACTTAAAAAAATCCAGAAATGTGATACAATATTTGGCCTGAAAGAAGTAATGCTTTGCATTGTTATTCAAATGACTAGGGGTAATGTGAAGTGATTGAAATTGATTTTGTTTCGTATAATTAGAATACCAGGAATGCAAGTCCAGGGTGACCCTGTTGCTCCAATTAAACATGTGAGACTAGAGGAACTCAATGATGATCGATCTATCAACATACAGACACTGGAGAAGATTGTGGACAAGGTAAGTGATTAATAGGATACATGTAATTCATACTGTCATGTCTACAGTCTCATGTATAGCACTCAAGTAGTTCATACTGTCATTACTGCAGTCATATATAGGATACATGTAGTTCATACTGTCATAACTACAGTCATATAGAACATATGTAGTTCACCTGCCATCATGTTGGAGTACCTTATGTTGTAGACGGAATTTGTAAACAATTGTTATTTGTTTTGTGTAATTGCAGGCCAGAGATCTTGGTTTGGCAATAACAGTGGCGAGATACCTTGAGTCTGAGGAACACATCACACCATCCCCAAGGTATCTTAACTTGTCCATTTACGATAGTCAATTTGTAATGTAAGGGTGTGAAGATTATGATGAAAATAGATTTTATACAGCACTTTTTCGTAAAAGAGATATACACCAATTTAAGTTTATCATACAAATTTGGCCATTATTTTGACTTACACTAACAGGAAGATTTCTGACAAATCCCTTAAAATCTGCTTGAACAGTCCTAGAATTAGCAAAATATGAGAAGCATTTAATTGTTCTTATGTTCATTTGAATTGACCAATATTCAATCAAGGCCAATACATACTATTTTATCCAGATTAAATATCCTGTTTTGAATTATGTCTCATATATGTTTAACTTAGCTGATGCTTTACAGAGATCAAAACGTAAACACTATTGTATTATGTTTCACTGTTATGTTTCAGTATAAGGCTCTCTGTGAATGCGAACATGACAGATGAGGAGGTTGATAAAAGTATTGAACTCCTAAGCAAAGCCTGTGGATCAATCCTCAACAGGTAAGTAGTTTATTTAGCTTTAGATTAGATCCTGTCAGGGATTACATATTGGATAACCAAATTGTCCGTAAAACAGGACTGGTTGACTCATTTTCAGTATTACTCATTGTGAGTATTACAGGACTGGTTTACTCATTGTGAGTATTACAGGACTGGTTAACTCATTGTGAGTATTATAGGACTGGTGAACTCATTGTGAGTATTATAGGACTGGTGAACTCATTGTGAGTATTATAGGACTGGTGAACTCATTGTGAGTATTATAGGACTGGTGAACTCATTGTGAGTATTACAGTACTGGTTAACTCATTGTCAGTAATATAGGACTGGTTAACTCATTGTGAGTATTACAGGACTGGTTAACTCATTGTGAGTATTATAGGACTGGTTAACTCATTGTGAGTATTATAGGTCTGGTTAACTCATTGTCAGTATTATAGAATTGTTAACTCATTGTGAGTATTACAGGACTGGTTAACTCATTGTCAGTAATATAGGGCTGGTTAACTCATTGCGAGTATTACAGGACTGGTTAACTCATTGTCAGTAATATAGGGCTGGTTAACTCATTGCGAGTATTACAGGACTGGTTAACTCATTGTCAGTAATATAGGGCTGGTTAACTCATTGCGAGTATTACATGACTGTTTAACTCATTGTCAGTAATATAGGACTGTTTAACTCATTGTCAGTATTACAGGACTGTTTAACTCATTGTCAGTATTATAGGACTGTTTAACTCATTGTGAGTATTATATAATTGTTAACTCATTGTGAGTATTACAGGACTGGTTAACTCATTGTCAGTAATATAGGGCTGGTTAACTCATTGGACTGTTTAACTCATTGTGAGTATGGACTGTTAACTCATTGTATTACAGGACTTGTTAACTCATTGTCAGTAATATAGGGCTGGTTAACTCATTGCGAGTATTACAGGACTGTTTAACTCATTGTCAGTAATATAGGGCTGGTTAACTCATTGTGAGTATTATATAATTGTTAACTCATTGTGAGTATTACAGGACTGGTTAACTCATTGTCAGTAATATAGGGCTGGTTAACTCATTGCGAGTATTACAGGACTTGTTAACTCATTGTCAGTAATATAGGGCTGGTTAACTCATTGCGAGTATTACAGGACTGGTTAACTCATTGTCAGTAATATAGGGCTGGTTAACTCATTGTGAGTATTACAGGACTGGTTAACTCATTGTCAGTAATATAGGGCTGGTTAACTCATTGCGAGTATCACAGGACTGTTTAACTCATTGTCAGTAATATAGGACTGTTAAACTCATTGTGAGTATTATAGGACTGGTTAACTCATTGTCATTAATATAGGACTGGTTTACTCATTGTGAGTATTACAGGACTGGTTAACTCATTGTCAGTATTACAGGACTGTTAAACTCATTGTCAGTAATATAGGACTGTTTAACTCATTGTGAGTATTACAGGACTGGTTAACTCATTGTCAGTATTACAGGACTGTTAAACTCATTGTCATTAATATAGGACTGGTTTACTCATTGTGAGTATTACAGGACTGGTTTACTCATTGTGAGTATTACAGGACTGGTTTACTCATTGTGAGTATTACAGGACTGGTTAACTCATTGTGAGTATTATAGGACTGGTGAACTCATTGTGAATATTATAGGACTGGTGAACTCATTGTGAGTATTATAGGACTGGTGAACTCATTGTGAGTATTATAGGACTGGTGAACTCATTGTGAGTATTACAGGACTGGTTAACTCATTGTCAGTAATATAGGACTGGTTAACTCATTGTGAGTATTACAGGACTGGTTAACTCATTGTGAGTATTACAGGACTGGTGAACTCATTGTCAGTATTACAGGACTGGTTAACTCATTGTCAGTATTATAGGACAGTTAACCTATTGCCATTTTAAGATGACAGGTTGACACATTGACTATATAATGGGATGGATTGACACATTGACTATATAATGGGATGGATTGACACATTGACAATTTTATAAGAAAGGTTGACATATTGACAGTTTTGTAGGACTTGTTGACACATCGACAGTATAATAGGACTCATTGACAGTTTGAAAGGACTGGGTGACACACTGACAATTTGAAAGGACTGGGTGGAGTTTCACACCCTCCTGTCCAGGTTACCATTACATTAGTGTGTAATGTGACTAATATGGCTTCATTTGACCCTCTCTGTTGTGTGGACATTAATTCAGAATAATCAGATACTATTTGTGCCTGTTGTTTTCTTGAAGATAGTTTCGGCGATTCAGTATTTACTTGTATTTCATTAAAACTTTACTTTCTAAAATTTTCGAAACGTGTAATATTTTAGATAATTATTTAAGATGCGTGTCTCCTGGGATATTTTTTCCAATTCACCCCAAGACCAAAAAATCTATAGAGTCAGGACACTAAATGGTACATGTATTTTCTTCTTTAATACTTCAACATGCTTGTTGATATTTTCCCATGTGAACCTGTTGGACTTATTTGCTCTTTTCTTTTGTGATATATCAGGTTGTTTTTCCTGCCGTGATAAAACTTGTACAGCGTTTTGTGATTAAGTATTGTTGACCGTGTAGGTGGGTTAATTTGTCCCTGGTGACAAGTTATATTAATATCATACAATGTAAAACAGCTTTTTACTTTTTCTATCTGCCACATTTTGTCCTGAGTTTCGACTTACAGTTTGTATTTTTGTTAAAACTTTATACTTTATTTTACAGCTATTCTTGAGATGGTGAGGATCTCTGTTTACAAGTTGTGATATACTACAGAACTTAGACTTTCAAACCGAGGAAATGTACAAATTATTGGAGCCATTGTTCAATGTCTTTATAGCTGAGGAGCAGTTCATGGAACCAACCAAGGAGAATATATCTGTTAAAGCATTTAGACCTCAATCATTGGATTAAAATAGTCGTTCAATATAACACATAATTATTGTGATTATATTGTCATCAAAGACAGTCAAGTGAACATTATTAAAATATCTATTGGTCAAGAAGACTGTCTGACGAGAAATAGTACTTACTGTAAATGACATCATGATGTAGTGCTTTTTATCTGAGCTTGTCTACATGGTAGACATCACTGGTATTCTCAAGGTCATTACTGTCAACAGGTTACGATATTGTCCTTAGGTACTTTATCAATATTTTTATTTTTGTATTCCACTGGTGTACAGAGTACATGTATCTACAAGTACAAACATGTCTATAAAGGCTTCTCACTGGAGCAGAGAAAAGTGGCCTTTATACAGAGGTGGCCTTTGTACACAGGTGGACTTTATTGACAGGTGACCTTTGTATAAAGACGGCCTTTCAGACAAGTTTGACTAAATGAATGTATAAAGTTTTGTATGGTTATATGACCTAGAATTGATAATATTGAAAATGATAATGCTGTATAGTTTGAATATGTGAACGTAAATTTCCTAATTATTTAATCAAATTTCATAGCGATCACTAAAACAGGTGCACCATACATTATCAGAAAGTAAACCAAAGGATTAAAAACACCAACAATTATCACCAATGATGTTAGTGTGTTGTTGCCTGAGGTGTATTGTTTCTAAAGGCTAAGCTATCCATTAGAAATGCACATTTTTTATTTGTGGAAGAAAAAAAATCTTATGTACATATTTTTACACTCTGCAATGTGCCTTTGAGGTTTGACTGGCACATGGAGGACTAGAAAAACAAGTTGATTAAATAGATGCTGTTCACAGATCACTTAGTCGTGTAAATGTCATTGTCATCATGTATTTGTGTTTAAATAATTTGATTTAAGTCTAAATTGTCCAATGTTTTCTTTCTATACTTGGAAATCCTTTATTTTCCCTTTTTATTCTACCAAATATCCATATTTACAATAGAAACAGCTGTCTTTTTAGAGGAATGTAGAATTTCATCTCAGAATTTTTCATATGATAGATCTGTATCATGGTTTTTAGTGATAACTCTTCTTAATATGTTTGAGTCTGTAGTAGTAATATCTTTAATAAGGTTGATCTCTGATACACCAAAAATGTCATTGTAATATTTGCTGATTTCATCACCCCATGATCAGTACTTCAAGTACGTCCTGTAAATCCTGTATATTCATTTAATATTTAAGATATTTATATTTTGTAATTGTTCAATAAGAGATATATTTGTGATAATTTGACTGCTTTGTTTGAAACTTTGTGTGATGCTGACATTCTTCCAAAAAAAATTGGACCATGTCTTTTGCTGGGTTTCAATTACCTGTCCCGCATCAGAGCAAAATCTGCAGTCATGATATATAGTCAAAACCACATCTATAGACATTACATACAGTCTAATCCACATCTACAGACGTGACATACATTCAAAATCAAATCTTTAGACATGACATATAGTCAGAACCAAATATTCCGACATGACATATAGTCAAAACCAAATCTACACAGACAAGACATACAGTCAGGACCACAGCTACACACTGAAAACAAAATCTTCTATTCAGTTAGGACCAAATCTACAGACATGACATACAGTAGGGACCACATCTACAGGCATACTCAGAAACATCATATGCATTGTTGAAAGTAAAGTGTCTGGAATGTATTGCATGTTTTTTTAAATTTTCAATCTGTAGTTTGTTTTAGAAACGGTTTTAGTTGTGAATTATTTCCATTTTAAGCTAAGTCATGTTCTTTTGACAATTTTGTATGCAGCTATTGAATTGCCAGATTGGATTTTTTTTTTAATTTTCTAGTTTACTGCATTTGTGTAAACGTTCCAATGAGTGCTAGAATATATAAAGAATGAAAGAGTTATCTTCCCTTAGATATGATTTGGGAGAGAGAGAGTGGATTTTTTATTGCTGAAATAGCTATAAATAAATGTATCTTCATATCGATTTTACATTGCAATAACTGGAAAACCTGGCCCCTGTCATCACCAGTGTAAATTTCATGTGTCCTATAACTGGGCCTTCATATCTTTTGTAACCATGTCTGATATACACTCGGTATGAGCGTAGATTTTGCCTATCCTGTAACTCTAACTAGGCCATGGCCTTCATCTTTATTTATCACTATTTTTTCTATACACTCAATATGACTGTAGCTTTTTTTGTATCCTACAACTGTAACTACTAGCTCTTAATTTCCCTGATATATGTCTGCTATAAGATACACACAGGACAGCATTGTGTTTTATACGCAACAAACCTATATAATAGATTTTAGATATCTTATGTATTTGGTGAAGATACAAAGTTATACAGTAGAGACTAAGATTTGTATAAGATGCAAAGTTATACAGTAGAGACTAAGATTTGTATAAAGGTCTGATATTCAGGGTTTAGTTAATAAGCAATCTGCTGTGTTACTTCTGTAATGTCTTGTAAACAACAGTTCTCGTAAATCTTATATTGATATATTTCTTTATCGATTGGTATGAATTTGTATTTGACATGATTTTTAATACAATTTTTCACCAAAGAATTGCTTCTGTTTGAGTTTTTTTCTAGTATGAATATCTTATCATTGTGTACTATGTTGAAGATGTGTTTACTCCCAGATCAGTGGTCTTTATACCTCATCAATAGCTGTGATATCCTGAAGGCATCAGCTAACAGCACATCTGCTCTGGTGATGGTATAAAGTCAGTTTAATCTGGATGTACCATGGAGAATTGCAGTAGTTAAAACAATGTCCTCCTGATGTAATCTATTAAGGGTCATTAATCTCTGTATGAACAACATATAAACGTAATGAATTGTGACCTCTTGTTTCAGACTTCAGTGTGACTGAGTGAAATAAATCTCTCCCTCGTGAAAAAAAAAAACAAGAAACCCAACTAAGTTTAGAAGATGTGAATATATTCTTATTTACCTGTTATATCCTTACTTACTAAGCTTCAGTCATCTACAAAGACAAACCAGCTCATCAACATTTCAGATGTAAAACAGGATGGATCTGTCAATATAATACAGGCCTCAAAATGCTTGGTCATGGCTTTTCAGATAGGGAAAAGAGACAAGTATGTCTGTTCTCAATTCATAATCCAATATTACTGGTTCAACTTGGTGAACTGATGACAGAAAATGGCACTGAAGATGTAATTTAGAACTTATGGTAGAGTTATTTCCCCTTTCGCATTCACAGTACTACCTCATGGCAATGTATGTATCTGTTGAGTCTTTTCACGAGATCTTGGTGTTAGAGTGTTACACAATATAACAATGTGTATCTGTCTGATTTATCTTTATAAAAAATCTCTTGAGTATAGACCACCCTGGACGAGGACAGAAACAATCCTACTTTATTGTGAGAAGATGTATACAACTCCTTTGACCTTCAACTTGTCAGACATTTATCATTTCAAAATTGTGCTCGTTGTTTTGTTGGGAAATAATATTCATGAGACTGAGACTTTTTAAAACATTAAATTTTTTCAGCGTTTGAATCACAAAAAAAAAATTGTTTGGTAATGTGAAACTAAACAAATACAATGATAAGACAGAGAGGACATGTGTTTGTGGTTTTGTGGGGAGTTTTATTATTATCAAGATAATAGATTTAGTAATCAGAACTTTAATTAATTTGACCTGGAGTAGCCAATGGCACAACCTTGTTAACATTTGCCATGAGCTAAGATCCCACAAGGTACAACACAAATTCAAATCACTTTTAACTTTATAGCAAAAACCAGCTAAGGGAGTGTGGTGGAAATTAGGGAAAAGTGGGAGTGGTTTGACTTGCAGATAAATGTTGTTCTGTTTACTTGTCAGAAAACTTGAGACAGGTGGTAGATGGAGGTTATGGATTCTAAAAGGCAGTTTTCAGTAGAAGAGGAAGGGTTATGTGTATCCAGGGTGGTAAAATGTATTTCAGGTTTTTTTTTCTGAATTTTTTTTATTATTTTTTTATTTGACTTATTTTCATGTTAAACAGGACACAGACATGTTATAATGTAAAACAGGAAAAAAAACTTGTTATAACTTAAAAAATCCTACAAACACTTGTATGTAAAAACAGGACACATGCTTGTTATAATGTAAAACAGGACACAAACTTGTTATAATGTAAAACAGGACACAAATTTGTTATAATGTAAAACAGGACTCAAACTTGTTATAATATAAAACAGGACACAAACTTGTTATAATATAAAACAGGGCACAGATTTGTTATAATGTAAAACAGGACACAAACTTGTTATAATGTAAAACAGGACACAAATTTGTTATAATGTAAAACAGGACTCAAACTTGTTATAATATAAAACAGGACTCAAACTTGTTATAATATAAAACAGGACACAAACTTGTTATAATATAAAACAGGGCACAGATTTGTTATAATGTAAAACAGGACACAAACTTGTTATAATGTAAAACAGGACACAAATTTGTTATAATGTAAAACAGGACTCAAACTTGTTATAATATAAAACAGGACACAAACTTGTTATAATATAAAACAGGGCACAGATTTGTTATAATGTAAAACAGGACACAAACTTGTTATAATATAAAACAGGAGACAAACTTGTTATAATGTAAAACAGGACACAAAGTTGCTATAATATAAAACAGGACACAAACTTGTTATAATGTAAAACAGGCTTCAAACTTGTTATAATGTAAAACAGGAGACAAACTTGTTATAATGCAAAACAGGACACATGCTTGTTATAATGTAAAACAGGACACAAACTTGTTATAATGTAAAACAGGACACAAATTTGTTATAATGTAAAACAGGACACAAACTTGTTATAATGTAAAACAGGACACAAACTTGTTATAATATAAAACAGGACACATGCTTGTTATAATATAAAACAGGGCACAGATTTGTTATAATGTAAAACAGGACACAAACTTGTTACAATGTCAAACAGGATACATACTTGTTATAATGTAAAACAGGACACAAACTTGTTATAATGTAAGACAGGATACAAACACGTTATGATATAAAACAGGATACGAAAAAGTTATCATGTAAAACAGGATACAACCACATTGTAATGTAGTAGAAAACATTAAGGCTGGTCTATCCTAGTACTAATAAAAATGCCACGTTCCCAAATGAGAACAAAGTCAACAACAACGAAACGTCAAGGATTGTCAACTTCATATAGCACAAGGAAGTAAACCCGAGATTATTGTGACGACCATAAAACTTTCCCAGACGCATCAACCAATATCTGTCAGCTGTCGACGTACCAAGTTATGAAAGCTACAAATTCAACTACGCATTATTTTGTGCCGGATCACAAGATACTGTAAACCTACAAATATTAGAGGTTATTTTAACGCCTGAAAGTGTTTAGCATCCGCAATAAATACTGTTAAGGGAAACGAGCTATAATTAACATTCCGTATGATACTAAGCACGGTAGCAGAACACGAGCCACAATTAGCAACCCGCAGAACACGAGCCACAATCAGCAACTCGCATTACACGGTAGCAGAACACGAGCCACAATTAACAACCCGCATTACACGGTAGCAGAACACGAGCCACAATTAGCAACCCGCATTACACGGTAGCAGAACACGAGCCACAATTAGCAACCCGCAGAACACGAGCCACAATTAGCAACCCGCATTACACGGTAGCAGAACACGAGCCACAATTATCAATCGCATTACACGGTAGCAGAACACGAGCCACAATTAGCAAAATTAGCACAATTAGCAACCCGCATTACACGGTAGCAGAACACGAGCCACAATTATCAATCGCATTACACGGTAGCAGAACACGAACCAAAATTAGCAACCCTCATTACACGGTAGCAGAACACGGACCACAATTAGCAACCCGCATTACACGGTAGCAGAACACAGACCACAATTAGAAACCCGCATTACACGGTAGCAGAACACGGACCACAATTAGCAACCCGCATTACACGGTAGCAGGCCACTAGCCACAATTAGCAACCGCATTTCACGGTAGCAGGCCACGAGCCAAAATTAGCTACTCGCATTACACGGTAGCAGGCCACGAGCCGCAATTATCAACCGCATTTCACGGTAGCAGAACACTGACCACAATTAGCAACCCGCATTACACGGTAGCAGAACACGGACCACAATTAGCAACCCGCATTACACGGTAGCAGGCCACTAGCCACAATTAGCAACCGCATTTCAAGGTAGCAGGCCACGAGCCAAAATTAGCAACTTGTATTACACGGTAGCAGGCCACGAGCCGCAATTATCAACCGCATTTCACGGTAGCAGAACACTGACCACAATTAGCAACCCGCATTACACGGTAGCAGGCCACGAGCCACAATTAGCAACCCGCATTACACGGTAGCAGAACACGAACCAAAATTAGCAACCCGCATTACACGGTAGCAGAACACGGACCACAATTAGCAACCCGCATTACACGGTAGCAGAACACAGACCACAATTAGCAACCCGCATTACACGGTAGCAGGCCACTAGCCACAATTAGCAACCGCATTTCACGGTAGCAGGCCACGAGCCAAAATTAGCAACTCGCATTACACGGTAGCAGGCCACGAGCCGCAATTATCAACCGCATTTCACGGTAGCAGAACACTGACCACAATTAGCAACCCGCATTACACGGTAGCAGAACACGGACCACAATTAGCAACCCGCATTACACGGTAGCAGGACACGAACCAAAATTAGCAACCCGCATTACACGGTAGCAGGCCACGAGCCACAATTATCAACCGCATTTCACGGTAGCAGGCCACGAGCCACAATTAGCAACCCGCATTACACGGTAGCAGAACACAGACCAAAATTAGCAACCCGCATTACACAGTAGCAGAACACAGACCACAATTAGAAACCCGCATTACACGGTAGCAGAACACGAGCCACAATTAGCAACCCGCATTACACGGTAGCAGAACACGAGCCACAATTAACAACCCGCATTACACGGTAGCAGAACACGGACCACAATTAGCAACCCGCATTACACAGTAGCAGAACACAGACCACAATTAGAAACCCGCATTACACGGTAGCAGAACACGAGCCACAATCAGCAACTCGCATTACACGGTAGCAGAACACGAGCCACAATTAACAACCCGCATTACACGGTAGCAGAACACGAGCCACAATTAGCAACCCGCATTACACGGTAGCAGAACACGAGCCACAATTAACAACCCGCATTACACGGTAGCAGAACACGGACCACAATTAGCAACCCGCATTACACAGTAGCAGAACACAGACCACAATTAGAAACCCGCATTACACGGTAGCAGAACACGAGCCACAATCAGCAACTCGCATTACACGGTAGCAGAACACGAGCCACAATTAACAACCCGCATTACACGGTAGCAGAACACGGACCACAATTAGCAACCCGCATTACACGGTAGCAGAACACGAACCACAATTAGCAGCCCGCATTACACGGTAGCAGACCACGAGCCACAGTTAGC